GCGAATTGACATATTTTGCCTTGAAAAATCTCCAAATTTCTCTATCATTCTGAAAACTCTTTGCAAGCTGTCGCCCATATCTCGGTTTTCGAGAGAACTCATATTTGCATAATTACTTAACGTTGCAACGTTGTCGCCGTAGGCCAGTGTTTCCCAAAGTGTGGTACGCGTACCCCCAGGGGTACGGGAACAGTTTAGAGGGGGTACGCTTTCTTATACGAAATATTTCGCAACGAACGAAAGCTTCATGAAATTTTATTTAAAAACAAGGCTAGCCATGATAATTTATGATTACTTGTTTTTCTATTGGCTATTTTTTGCAGAGTTAACAGTTAATAATTAGTGGTGTCAACAGCCAGTTCTGATTTTTAACTTTTGTTATTTTTTTTATTATGTTTTTTTTTATTTTACAAACAATTTTTTTTATAGTAAAAAATACATTCATTTTTTATTTAGTGGTACACAGCGTTACGAAACATTTAGAAAGGGTACGCAAAAGTTATAAGTTTGGGAAACACTGCCGTAGGCCATTAAGACAATGAGGGTGCAATTGTACTTGCTTTCCAGTCGCACCTTCTATGGTAAAGAATTCCGTTTCTGCCCCACCCATACGTCACACCCTTTTAATAGGGTGGACCCATTCATGTATTCATTCATTCTTTTATCTACAAATCGTAATTTTGATCTGAACCAAAGAACGATCACTCTCCAATCCAGTTCCACCAAAGGTTTAATTTGTACTGGGAACATGGAGGACCTTGTGACCAGACATAATTAACGAGCACCAGTCACCATTTACCACAATTTTATTTTTAATTTTTTTGTTATATAAGTCTCATTACTTTGTAAAAAACTAATATTATAAACTGGATGAATTTTATTAATAACAGCTATGATTAACGATTGGTGTTAGATAATTACAAATATGAATTAGTTAAAAATATTTAAAACACCAAGAGGAGAAAAGTGTATAGGGCGAGCTTCTATTCTTCAGAGTCTTTCAAAACTGTGTATGAGGTATTAAAATTACGACAATTTAATCCCCTTTCCCTAATTTAATTCCAGTCAATTTTTTATGTCTCTCTTCAATGTTTATATGACTTAAATATGATTTTTTGAAGTATTGCTTAAAATGCGTGTTTTAAGAAAATAAGCACAGCATTTGATTATATTTTTAAAACTTCTATTATAAAAAAAATATATTCTTTTTTAAAGAATAAACAAATACAAATGGTTTCACGTAATGTGATACCATTTATTTGCGTGAATCTCTTTGCTTATTTCTTTTTAAATCATGAAAAGTTTTTCAGAAAGGAATTTTTGACTTTCATGAAAAGGTAGTAAGAGTCAAAAACAAAATTGTCACGGATTCCATAAATATATAATGATAAGTTGGCGTAGTAAAAATTTTAAGACTACTTAATCATTTTGTGTTCTGAGTACTAAGAGATCGCCTGAAAAATTACTTCTTTAATATTCACAGCAACCCCTGACGTCCGTGACTTTGCCTTGTCATGATTATGCTTGATGTTTGTCCCGCAGTGGACTGATCGTAAGGACACAGTTCCCAGTAGAACACTGAAGACAAGCATCACTAGCTGCTGTCAATAAGCGGATGGATGACCACTTTCATCAGCCTGCTTAGGGGCCGAAGATGCGCGGTATCGGTCCTCGTTAATCTATTCTACCGTAAAGTGCTCGAGTTCCCCTCTGCAGAGGATCAAAATTGCGATGGCAAGTCTCCGTATCATCCTCAAGGATGTTTCCCAGACAGTCACCACTAGCCCATTGTGCAACTCTAGTGCGACGTAAATAAAATACCTACCTATGTTTAATGTTTAAATAAGTGAGGAAAAGTAAGGACGAAATTTCTTCTATAGTTGTAAAATTTGGGTTGAACATTGAAAATTCACATTTCAAGCTGTGTCCATTTTCTTAAACACGCATTTCGAGTTCTGCCCAGGGTAAAACACTCACCGATGATTGTTTACTAGTATATTTTTTTTTCTAATTCTTTTTATTTTTTAACCAGATAAAATGGAAATGCTACTCTCGGAAGGATCATCTGACACTTTGACACTATTTCCTGCAGACATTGCAGACTCGGGAATGTATGTGTGCGTCGCAGACAATGGAATACCTCCTTCCATCAACACTAACTTCACAATTCACGTACACGGTAACAGACAATCTCTCCTTCTACCATACCACGAATCACATAAAGAGATTCTGTTTTTGAACTAGTAAATATGTTTATCACGACAGTTCTTAAATGTTCTATATTAAAACACATTATTGACCGATCGTTATAATTGCATATTTGCTTTGTCCACATCTCAAGCAATGGCGTATGGTATTTATAGTGTGTCTACCACTTCAAAATTAAAATTACATTTCACTAGTATATAACACACGTTAACTCGATTCAATGTTGGGGTAACTTTTCATAGATAAATTAACATTGTCGATGTGACTCTCACCACATTGGTGACCCGGACGCAATCGGATCACACCTAAGCAGAAACGCCCACTTCGATTTAAATACGCCTAGATTAGAACACGCCTATTTCGATGGAAGGTCCACATTGAATAGTTGACTTGCTACTTGTGACTGCGACATTTTCTACTTCCTCACTCAATCTCGATCACACAACGTCGGCCTGTATACACTCGATAGCTAATGGCAACACAGGAGTGACCACTACCGTAAACTTAATACGACTCTCACGATCAGAAGTACCGCTACGTTATTATAGCTGCCCCGGCTTCTCACAAAACAGCAATGAATCAACTAGTGGTATTCGTTCATCGAATTCTATCGCAGATAAAATTCTGGTGGGGGAATACTGTAGTGTGTCTACCACTACAAATTTAGAATTCCAATTCCCCAGTACATAAGACATGTAAACTCGATTCTTTGTTAGAGTACCTTTTCATAGATGAATGTTCAAATGGTCGAATAGAACCTCCACACAGTATTCGTATTTACACTAACTGCCATATCGAATTAGTTATAATTAATACTACATCACTTTTCGTTGATTTGAATATTTTACGATCCAATCATTATCGAACCTTTTTCATACTCCTTTTTCGTATAATTTTCTTCGATGCTGCCTTAGAATGTGTGAGCGTATTGTTTGACATTCTCATTCGAATTCTTCGCAGCTGATTTCTTTAGTTGATTGAATTTCTTGTAATAATGATTATTCAACTTTTATAAAAATCAAATGGTCCGGCTCTGTGTAATAAATTCCCATTTTAATTAGCATTGCTTCAGTCAGTTAAACAGCTCTAGATCGTTTACCGTATTGATAAATACCCAATATATAAACAGATGTAGCAATTACATATGAAAAAAGCTTGTTATTTTTAAATACGACGGTGATTTTTTTTCCTCAGAAAAACAGCTGTTTTGCGTTTTTTGCAAGCCATTCACATATTATTTAAATTTAGAAATCCTTAAAATGGCAAAAAAATTGTTGCAGAAAGTATTTTACTGAAATATTATTCAAGCATATTAGATTTGTTTGCTTACAAAATATATAGATTCAAATAATATAGACGGAATTTTGTTGTCCCTTTCAGCAGTATTACTTGCATCTAAATTTGTCTTAGTTTATATAGACCCATTAATGCGTTATACGTAATTACTAATAATAATGTTATAAAATTAATGAATGTCTTCAAATCTTAAAATGTAGAACTTCTTGTGTATTTGAAATAAACTGACCGGAAAGAGGTTGATGTAAATATTTTTACACGATGCAGTATTTACATTTATTAATTCTGGGAAGATAAATAGAATTTTTCATATTCACTTTGAATTATAATCACAATATATTGTTAAATTCTTTTTTTTTACTTAGTTTAACTCCACTTTTTCTCTCCTAAACAAAATATATGTGAAGAATGTAAACTTTTGCCTTCTTTTTGGTTTCATTTTTGAGTAAATACCACCGATACCAATGATTAATATATTTTATGTTTCCGGTTAATGATTGAAAATGATTACAAATGTCCTTTTCAGTGAATGAAAATTAAAATGCATGTTTGTCTTTATGAATGAAAGTTATTACATATTTCTAATTTAGTGAATATATGCCATGTTTAGTGAATGAATATTCGTTTCAGTGAATGAAAATTGTACATTATATTTACTTTGCGAATGAAAGTCATTACATATTTCAAATTTAGTGAAGGAAAGTTATTAAAAATGTCTCGTTTATTGAATGAAAGTTATTACATACGTCTGATTTAATACGTTTATAATGTAAGTAAGAAGCTACTGAACTACATTATCTACTCATTATTTTGCATTAATGTTATTATTTTTTAGTAAACAGTTATGCGATTAATGTGATTATAATGGTTTCTAAACATTCTGTTCATTATTTTGCATTTCAGAAAAATTATTCTCACTGCTTCTGATTTCAAACAATTATGAGAAAGCATGGAATTTAAACTGAAAGATAGATTTTAACATAGGTTAATACTTTAAAAGCTTTGAAATACAATTCTTTTTTGAATACTATGTCTGAAAACTATTTTTAAAATGAACACTTACAAAAATTATTTAAATGTGTTTTTTTCCTTATTTTTCTGGAAAATTGAATAATTTTTATTGCAGTTTATTTTTTCATGAATGGTGTTTTCGATACTTTTTATTTAGTAAAGAAAATCACCAATGTGTGGCGCTGTATACGCCTATTTTCCACAAATGTGTAAGAACGCTACGCCATCGTTCTATTCTGTTTATGCGATATGTGTGTTGATGTGCTTCACACATCTGTATAATAGTAGAATTTTTAACGAATTTGTTTTTCAGAATGAAATATCTTTCTACTTTCTATAAGTTGTCTATTTTTATTCTTCGGTTATTAGTTGTTTCAGAATTGTCACAATCTCCTTTAGTCCAAACTAAAAGTAAGTCCCTATCATTATTTGTCTTCAATCTTAATTTTAATCCATGTTACATTATATATTAAACTTTTTATTATTATTATTATTAATCATTATGATATAATGTTACCTAATAATTTCTTATAAAATGGTTATCCTTCTATCAAATCCAACTTATAAGCAGCTAACAATGAAGACGCCAGTCTCGTAGCATAGATTAAGATTTTGTATTTTGTTAAAGTTAAATGTAGGATAAAAAATTAAGTATGATCGGTTGGTCACGCAACCACTACAATTTGGCTCGGACAACCACAAAATAAATGAACGATGTTTCGGACCAGAAAGATAAAATCAGATCTGAACATTTCTTTGAATTAAAGTTTTGATCTGTGTTTTTGCCGCAAAATAGCATATTTCATGATATTTGTGAACATAGCAAATTCTCTTCAGTGTAATTTTTCCATTTAAATTTACTTTAGTGTTGTTTTAATAAGATGTAAAACATACGGGAAAATGTGCATGGGTTAGTAATATCCATTAATGATTAGCTCTTTGGATCAATGTCTAATGGCATTATTTTTGATTTAAAAAACTACACTGTTAGAAATTCCGAGCCATGTTGCACCAAAAATTAGTATTCATTTGCTGTATACATAAAATGGAGCTCGATTTTATCATATTTTTTATTTTCACTAGCTCCAAATATTAGTAGAAGGTTGCACCAAACGTATTTTCAATCTTCCTCTTTTTTTCCTTTTATAAAAGCGAAAGAAGGTTGCACCATTATTGTATATTTTTGAAGTGCTCACATACAGGCCAAGGTAGCTATTTACCGTAATAAAACTGTTTACCCTAAGTTATTTGTATGGCATACCTCTAACCATTCTATACCGAAAACCAAATTTGAAAAGTCAACATAATAGAAATGAACTTTAATAATGTAAATAAGCCATTTACTTACCTAAATAAGTAGAAACTTAAAACAACATGCATTAGTCACCCCGATACACCGAGACCGAGTTGTAAAGAAAACATGACGTCGTAAACAAATATCGTTCAGTTTACAGTCACCGTTGTGTCTTTTACCAAATTTTGGTGCAGTCAGTTGTATTTCTCGATCATACTTCACAATTTATGGTGCAACTGCAATAAAACGATCTTTTATTTTGGATAATGAGAAGTTTTGCACCAAATACTGGTAAAAGATTTACCGAGTTTTTTTTTACAGTGTATTTACAATTATACGATTACTTAAAAGAAGGAAGATTTAAACCGGCTATTGTTCAGGGGTTTCGGTTTTTGTAAAGAGATTTCATAAATGATTCAATTTTTCCGAATAGTCATATATCGAGATTTATTTTCAGGTGTCCCTAGTATACGGAAATTTCTCTTTCAAGATAATGTAGTGGAGGGTGATTCAGTGACCGTCACTTGTTTCGCAGTGACAAAGACAAAACCAATTACATTCAACTGGTTAAAGAACGACAACACCATCAGTGAAAGAAAACAAAACGTCAGGTATGAAACTGGAAATGAAATTTCTAATTTGATATTGGATCCTGTTAAACTTGAAGACAGCGGCAATTACACGTGCTCAGCTACGAACTCCGATGGTACTGACAACTACACAGCTTTTCTCAATGTGAAAGGTAATTCCCCCTTTTTTACGTTATTTTACAGTACTGCTACATAACTTTCATGATGTTCTTTAGAAGTAAAAGTTTTATACAAACACTAACTGTTTTATACAGTTTTTCCAACGAAAGTTGAAATTATTCTTTTCAAAAATAAGGTACTATAAAGAATACTGCTTACAATTGTAACACCCTTCCCACGTTCCATCTTTTATTCTGAAATTAAATGTTTATTTTCAGTCAAATTTGATTGGTAAATAGTTTGAAAGATCTCGTATGATTCGATTTCCCTTATGATTCTAATTCATTAACATAAATAATTTTGCTTAGTACCCATTTTTTGTTGTTCTGACAAATTTGGCGATTTCACAACCGTAATTTAATATTTTCGCTTTCCGAACAGGTTCATTTATTAAATACATTTTATGCTTACATCACATTGTGCATGAACTGATTGTTAAGTTCTAGATCATTAAACGAATTTCTTTAACGATAATTTACACCCAGAAAAATAGTTTTAAAACAATTAATAATTTTAGGCGCAGAATCAAAAAAAAAAAATCTTTTTTATTAAATGTAGCGCAAAAGGGTAATACATATCTTAGACTTGAGCAATAAAAAAGAAAAAATTCTTTTCGTTTTAAACTCTTTATTTCTAACTATATATAAAAATCTAGTGATTTTGTTCCAGTTTTTCATTGTTGCCGGTGCAAATTTATTGGCCGGAAAATCACATGGTAGGATGCAGTTTTCCCTATTTTCATATTGGTTTGTTTGTCATCAGCAGAAAATTGAGATAAGTTATTAAAGTGTAGTTTTCCTATAAATATTTTTTAATCCCTAATTTAAAGATATTTACCTGTACTGTTATTATTACGCTTTTAATTTGATTTGTTCTCTAAATTAATAGCTTAAGAGGATTGTTTTTATTATTAGAAGTATAATAATTATACGTTACATTTTAAGATTAAGTAATTTAAATCGGTGTCTGATCTTATTAACCATGTTACAATTAGTCTGTGGTGCAAATTACGTTAATATGCTATTATGAGTTTCGGTTAAAGAGATTCGTTAAATGGCTTAAATCTTAGCCTTCAGTTTCATGCACAAAGTGAAGAATGCAAAAATAGTATTTAAAATAAGCATCCATTCGTTTGGCAAGCGAAAATATTAAATTACAACTCACCAAACTTGTTATAACAGTATACTTTTAACTTTAAAAGTCATTTTTTATAAAATGATTACTTCGAAAAATGTTTTATGTTCACTAATCGATCTCAATAGTATCATGAAGGAAAATATTTGGACGTGGGAATTGATGGGACATGTACTCTTCATAGAACATACATTTTTNAAAATGTTTTATGTTCACTAATAGATCTCAATAGTATTAGTTTGGAAAGCGAAAATATTAAATTACAACTGTGAACTCACCAAACTTGCTATAACAGTATACTTTTAACTTTAAAAGTCATTTTTTATAAAATGATTACTTCGAAAAATGTTTTATGTTCACTAATAGATCTCAATAGTATTAGTTTGGCAAGCGAAAATATTAAATTACAACTGTGAACTCACCAAACTTGTTATAACAGTATAGTTTTAACTTTAAAAGTCATTTTTTATAAAATGATTACTTCGAAAAATGTTTTATGTTCACTAATAGATCTCAATAGTATCATGAAGGAAAATATTTGGACGTGGGAATTGATGGGACATGTACTCTTCATAGAACATACATTTTTAATTGTTTTACTCCAAGAAACAACAACTGTTGAGAAAAAATCATCGGGGTTTGTGAGCGAGCAGGGAGCTTAGCCCCCCTAGTAGAAACCTTAGATAACTTTTAAACCATTGCCATTTTCTTATATTATTTTTAATGATATTTTGGCTAATTGTTTTGTTTAATATTTTTATATCGATTAAAGGAAGATAACTGTTCTGGTTTTGTATAGTATTATTATCAACATAAGGCATCAAACCAAAAGACTGAGTTGCCTTCAGGGGATAAATCAGTGAGATTCGACCCAGGTTTGAATCCCAGCGATGGCTGGTCAATAAAAATTCAGTTCTGCTCTCGACTCGCACCAACCACACGCTGGCGTAAGACATCCTCAGTGGTTGATGGATCATGAGTCAGAGAGCAAGGCTTAGCAATGACTAATCGTGTGAGGTATTTGTGGTTTTCCTCTATGTGTATCGCAAATAGGTGTTATTATTTAAATTCATCCATGAAGGGTAATTTGTCCCATTGTTGATTTTGTCTGCATTAGGCTCAAAATGACAAAGCAAAGAATTAGAACATTTACAGTTGAAATCCTGAAAATGGGTTGGCGTTTCAACGCTAGTTATAAAATGAAATGAAAAAAGAACCCAAAAAGCTTTACTTCTGAAAAAGTACTGAGAATTTAGGAGTATATATTTTTAAACAAAGTGAAGTCTGTTATTTTTTAGTCATACGACAGGTTAAAATGTTTCCTTTTGGTTTTCCATTGGCCATTAAGAAAGAGGGGATGCGGTAGTTCTTGTTTTCCAGTGGCGTCATCCATGGCCGAGAATTCAACTTCTTCCACACCCATACGTCACTCCCGTTTATAGGGTGAACTCATTCATACATCCATTCATTCATCAACAGATCGTAATTTTGACCTAAACCAGAGAATGATCAATCTCCAATTTAGTACCCTTAGGGGTATAATTTGTTATGGGAACTTGGAGGACATTGTGAACCGACAGATTTAGCATGCCCCAGTCACCATTTACTACACGGGGAGTCTTCGACCTGCTTAATTCAAACTCCCGTTCTCACGAGCGTGAGTCCATCGCCCTGCCAATCAGGCTATCCCGGCCATTTAGTGCTCTTACTTTATTAAAGCCAAACTCAATCAGTAGCAGTTAATTGATATTTTTTTTCGAAGTCACTGTCTTCTTTATCTTTCTGTCTTGATGGAAGAAAAGATTTTTAAAGAGCTTTATTCGCTTTCTTTTTTGATAGCCAGTCCGAAATGGATTGAACAGCCGAATGATATATCTACAATCGTGGGATTGTCAGTTGAAGCACGATGTTTGGCAACAGGATCACCCCATCCCACAATAACATGGAGAAAATATACAGGTAAATAGAAACTCTTTTCATACAATATATTGCTGTAAAAACCCTAAGTCTCGTAATTTCTAGTTTTTACCCAAGTCGAAATTTTTGATGATTATCCATTTAGGGACCATCATAATCTTAATGATGACCATGAATAATTCGCTCATGAACCATTATATTATTTGATGATCACCATCATAAGTAATCATCCTAATGTAGGAATCCGGATTGATTTTGTTGGTCCAACGTACAAATAGCAATTTGTTTTGATGATACATTCCTGCTGAACCATCAATAATTATTATTAAACCATCATAGAAATACATTGTTGAACCATTATGAACCATCTTGAATTCCATCATAGTTTCTTAGAAGTTAAATGTTAGAACGATCATAAACCACCATCTCCCCAATGTCAACTGATTTATGCGAGACCAACGTAAAAGAAAAAACAAATTGTTTTGATTCATGAGAGCCAACAAAAATTTCCATTAAACCATCATGGAAAGTTTAGACCATCGCGGTTCATTATGAATTTTTTTGGTGCGTGAGAATCAAACTTCCTCTGACGTTTAACCATCATAGTATGAAAGTAGCATTTTTCATCATGGAATGATAGAATTTTGCTGGCAAATCAAATACCATGAACGCATAACGGAAAATGTTGGATCATGGTGAAAATCAGGAATAGCACTGAAACCATCATAAACCATCAAAATGCTTTGATGGAAACATAAGGATTTTGACTTGGGTACCCAAACTTCGGGCTTTTACCGTAAAATATACAGGATTTATAATATCGCCTGAAACATTTAAGAAATAATCCTTTTATTTAATTGATATCGATCATAACAATTTCAATAATTTTTAAATTGGACAAAAAAAGCCATGTTGGCTCAGAAAATAGAGTGCTTGACTCCAAATAAAGTGACCTGGCTTCAAACTCAGCAATAGCTGGTCGATTCAAATTTCGCACCCGGCTCACACCGACCACTCTGCAGATAAGAAATATTCCTTGTGGTAGACGGATCATGGGTTAGATTCCCCTTGCCGTCAGGTAAAGCATGGAAGTTTGTCGTGGTTCTCCTCTCCATGTAACGCAAATGAGGGCTAGTTTCATCAAAACCACTTTATTAATAAAATACTTTTTTCCATAAATTAATTCCTACCTGACCTCTCAGTATAGAGGTTTTTGAGGTTTGCCTTCCCTCTTTGTTGGATGTTTGATCAAATTTTTCCTTCTTCCATTTGTATTTCTAAGATTTTTAATCGTAAGATTCAGATTCATAATTCTGAGATTCTATTGTCATGTGGGGACCAGTTTATTGTGCCACCATTCATTTCGTTGAAGAAAGCTCTAAGTGATATTCTAAAAGCAAACAAAAACCTGTATTTAAAAACACGTATTTTTTTCAGTCATTTATAGAAAAAGAGATTGTATCTAAAGATATTTAAAATGTGATTTAGTATACTCTTCAACTGTCGAAATGTATGGTGAAAATGTTTCCAGTTACAACAAGAACATAGAATAATCAGAAATTGCAGATCTAAATTAGTTATAGAACTTTTCAAATTTGTAATTGTAATAAAACATTTATTTTATTTCGGAAAAGCAATACTTTTAAATTTAGGGACTCTAGTACTGTAGTTTGTGATGTTCTTAAATTGTTAGTCGCGTTATAATATTTGTAGTTTATTTCCTTCATTTATCCATATTAAACACTGACTCTCAACCACTGTGCAGCCAACTTTTAGAAATGATCCAGTGAAATTTATAATGCCTTTTTCTAATTACGAGTTTGGTTTAAATTAAAGAAAACTATATATATATATATACTTTTCATAATTTTTCCACGCTTTAACGACTTGAGCATCGTTGTCGGCGATAGTCTGACAATGTTAAAATAAGTAGGAAATTAAATGACTACTAAATTTATTAATTAACGAAAAGAAGCATTATCATACAAAAATTATTTTAACTTACAAAGGGAAATTGAAGCTTACAATTAAAATAAGTTAGGCAATTAATAGTTATAAAATCAAATTAACAAAGGATAACTAACAATTAATAATTAGCGAAAAAAACAAGTTAACTAGGAATTACAAGAAAATAACAATGTAAAAACTATCAATAACTATGGAAAACAAGCTAACAATTAATAATTAGCAGCAAAAACAAACATTTTTACTACCAAATATAAATAAAATTATCAAAAAAGATCAAACTTAATAACGAGAATACTTCTACTGAGAAATTTTTTAACTTTTATGTCCTCATGTATATTTTAATCTAAAATTATTTTCTTTGCAGATAAATCTCAACATTCGAAAGAGATCGTAAATTCGACTTCCTTGAGGATCCCCTCCGTGTCACACGAGGCTGGAGGAGTTTATGAATGTACAGCACAAAATGGAATTCTTCCAAATTTAAAGGCAAATTTCACACTCAGTGTTCGTGGTATGAAAATCATCGAAATCACGCATATTATGATTAAATTAGATTTCAACATTTATCTTAACATTAACACTAAATATGAAACAATAATACAGTATAGGAAATTCACAGTAATATGAAATTCAAGGTGGTTGCGCAAGCAGATTTGAGAGGCATGCGTTATTTTACAGCAGTACAGTACTGCAAGGGGCATTTTCAAGTCAAGTTCTATATGTTTTTGCTTTTTTAGAACTTTGAAAATTATCTTTGTCTCTCTACCTCTTTTTCTTTGAACATTTATTTCGTCTAGCACTCAGATCGATTACCGTCAATTTAAATAATACTAAATTTTAGATAATCTGAAATTATAATCCGAAATAATAAATTACTTTATCCAGAATAACGAATTTTATAATTTGAATTTTTAAGAAATCTGTCGAAGTTCTGACAAGGATTTTAACGACAGTACTCTGCCACGTGATATTCTCTCAACAAAAGTGTGTTGGGAACATCGGAATAAAATAATTTACCTAAAATCCCAGATGGCGGAAAGAAGGTTTTTAATGACACTACTGTGTCGTGTGATACTCTCCTAACAAAAGTGTGTTCGAAACATAAGGGAATAAAATAATTTACCTAAGATCCAAGATGCCGGAAAGAAGGGTTTTAACGACACTACTCTGTCACGTGATACTCTCCCAACAAAAGTGTGTTTGGGAACATAGGAATAAAATAATTTACCTAAAATTCAAGATGGCGGAAATTTCTAAAAGTGGCTCTTCAACTAAAATAAGCAGTAGTAAATTTGTATTTTTTATCTATGCTTTTTTGTGCTCTCAAACTGGTACACGAATATATCAAGCAAATGTGAGTTTTGCACGAAAATTAATACAATGTTGCAGGAAATGGCATCGCTTTCGGCATTATTCGCTTCATTTAAGTTTAGATGTCGCATTCTTGTTTTATCTATGGAAACAAAAGTAACACTAATGATTTTACGTGTTCTCAGTATTTTTAATAATTACTAATGGCAGGACGACTTCGCGTTTTACGCACACTACCTTTTATTTCCTAATCCCCAGTCAAGTGCACACAAAAGTTAACTTCAATTTCAGGCTCTTTCGTTTCTGATATTGTATTGCCATTTTCGCTCGTGCAAAAATATTACTGTATTTTTTGTAATTTATGAATATAAGGTATTATAGATTAGTTTTATGAATGAATGACGTCGTATTAGTCGTGAAAAATTAGTTTCATTGAAAGTTAGAAAACTCAAATGCATGTCTCAAAGATGCTAAATTACATGAACACTTTTTATGGTTATTTTTTCATTGCCATATATGTTATAAAGTTTCAGGGGGTTTGTGTTAATATATTTTTACACTTTTGAATTTCTTTTCTCAAATTTAGGTAATAAAATTTCCATAACCATTATATGTATTAAATTGATAAAAGGTGATGTACTACTTTTTTTTCGGGAAAGTAATATTTTCGTTCCATAGAATATGTATTAGTGATGTATTGTTTCGTGCAAATCTTATGTATTCTGAATGGCTTCGTATTTATGCAATCAACTTTTCATGATCCATAAAAAGTGATGTATATAAATTCATAAAAAAAAATTAGATACTTTCTTTTATCAGAAAGTAAAAAATATTTTCAATCATAGATGACGTAGTTGTAAACTTGTATTTGAAACTGCTCTTGTTGATAGTATGCTATTTTTCGATTTTCTGTGACTGAAACGTTGAGTAATTTACGTTAATATTTATGTATATAAAGTCTCAGTCATATTTCCCGTTATCTTCAGAAGTATAAAAAATGAAGTAAATAGACTTATTTCATTGGAATTCTTTACTCATCGATTTAAAAGCCAATGTTTGTCAAATTATTTATTACTTAAACGATGTATTTTTAACAGGCGCTTATTAATCCAGAATATACTAACTCAAATAACTTGGTTCTCTTTGAGTAGCTTTCTTTTTTTCTATAAAAAACAAATTACTATCTTTATATTGTATTAAAATATTCGTGTTTAGTTTATTTTATTGCCAATGTGTGGCGCTGTATATCTGCTACTCCTTAAAAAGCAAATCGAGTGATTTTGATACATAACGCCATGTTCAAAGCTGCACTACTCGATAACCCAAAGAAAAGGAAATCGTAAACAATGAAAACTCTAATTTTTGATCATTGAAAATAATTCATTTATTTAAATCTAGCACCAATGTTTATTGCAAAAGAAATAATTTACGTGCTGCTCTTCCTGATTCAGGCTGCTGTATCCAAAGGTAAGTTGCGTCCGAGATATTTCTTTATTGTAATAGTAGATAAATTTAATCAGTTTGTTTAAAAGAAATCACCAGTACTTTTTGTTTAATTTTTCTACATTTAGTAAATTTTTCTTGTTTTCTTAACTGTTGATATTTTAAGCAAAATATTTGCTCTCTGATCTTTTCACTTTTAACAGAAAAAGTTGTTTAGATAATTACCTTTAGAATTAATGGATTTTGCTTGAAACAAGTTGCTATAAGTTTGACTTACAGAAACAGATATAAATTATACAAATTATTTTTTCAGACATCAAAATTTAAACTATGATTTCACTGTATAAACTTGCATTGTCTGACGATAACGACTTTTGTCTATGTAATTTAATTAAAATTTATTAATATTGAGTAACAAAGTAAACAGAAAGTAGAGTAGAGAAGTAAGTAGAAAAGAAGTAAGTAGAAAAGTAAGTAGAAAACATTGAGTAACACTCAATGTTTTCTCTAATCATTAATTTTCTTCGTACATGTTTTGAGAAAAAAAAAATATTTTTGTTATTTATATTTTTAATAGGTATACGAATAGCTAATATATTCATTAATATAGGGGAGATGTTTGGTTCGTATTTTTTCTCCCGACAATAATATTATTAAATGTCATAGACTTCATGATAGAAGAAATAAATGTTTATTGATACTTTTTCAGATGTAATATGATACTAGTACTAAGTATTAACATTTTTAAAACATCTGAAATAACATTTTTATTTCCACCCTTTGCGTTAACCTGATATGAGTTGTTCAGGATTTTTGATTTGTTGGATTTTTATCGCTAAATCATGTAATTTATGAATGGTTGGTATCGAACACAGAAAATTCTCTCCTTCTATTGTACTCTCTGTTTTATTTTCAGAAATTCCCCGCATTCGAGGATTTTCCTTTCAGGAAAATATAGTTCGAGGAGATGTTGTGTCTGTCACATGCTTAGTGACCAACAAACAAGAGCTCCTCACCTTCAAATGGTTGAAAGATGGGAAAGAAATAAATGAAGAAAACATACGCATCGACACGCTAAATAAAGTATCCGTTCTTGTGATTGAAGCTGTGAGAGTTGAGAACAGTGGAAATTATACCTGTTCTGCAATGAACTCTGCGGGGGGTGGTGATTCCTTCACGGCACCCCTCTCTGTCAAAGGTACGCTTATTTTCTTTCTCAATCTTTCACATGTTTTCACAACAACTGAAAACAAAACTTTATTAAATGTAAAGCTAGCATACACCATTGAGATTTTTAAATATTTTTGAAGCGTATTCAATGAATCATTAAATACAGTGAACATGGGTTATAGTGATCGAAATGTTTGCTCCCGTGTCTTGCTATACACATATAATATTATTCTTTGTGGATATAGTGAACCAAAAGATAGGGAAATTTGCGCATTATGAAATTTTTTTCTGTCTTCGACTGAATATTTTCTTCATTTTTTGGTAATTATGAAATGCATATTCCAATTTTTAAACCATATTCCAAATACATATTCCAATTTTTTTTTCGTGTTTGCTTCCTCTATCACAGTTTTCCATAGTTAAAGGCCATCGCTAAATTTTTTGTTCGCAAGACGAAGAGTAATATAAAAAATAAAAGTGTTACTACATATTGTTTTTTAATCATTTTTGCATTTCTTTTTATTATTCATTTATTTAAATGTGTAATAAAAGGGAGAAGTTCGGAAAAATTAGCTAAAATTGTTTGCAGTATCGGATATAGCGAACACCCGGTTACAGTGAACTGAAATTTCGGCCCCTTGAAGGTTCACTATAGCGGGGTTTGACTATATATATATAGTACTGTACAACTGCATTCTTTTAGTTTTTGCAGTGTTTTCGACACTGGTGTATAATAGTGTCTTGGTTATGGTGACAATTAATGCATCCTTCGTTAAATGACCAGCAAAATCTGTGGATCAAAATTCATGAATTTTTTTTTTCTGAGTTTAAATCAAACATACAGTTTATGAACCAAAATACTGCAAGAATTTATCAACGCACCAGTGCAAAACTTTAAAATGCGTAAAACAATTGTTGGAGTTTTATTTTCTCACTTGATGTAACGTGTCTAATTATTTCTAAAATCTAAACATTTAAAACCTTATTATTTCTTTATGCTGACATTGAAATGTCTCTATTTTAATGTTATCAGTATCTTTAACTATATATTTGCTAAATGAGTTTTTGTTTTCCAAACATTATAAACGTTGAATGAACATTATTGTACAATTGTACAATACGTTGAATGAACATTATTGTACATTATTGCTGGGAAAAAATGAACCACCCTGAATAACTTTTGATTTAATGATCGGATCACGTTCTATGACTCGATCGTAATGGATCGAGGGGTTGACTTGAGAAATGCTAATTAATTAGTGCAGACGATATTCTAAGTTATAAAATAAGGGACAAAAACGTACCTTCTCTGACTAAGCAGAGCTTTTTTTTCAACTGATTAGGATTTCTGACCCCCAAAATATAGAGGGTAGCCGCAATCTGGGAAATGGGGTCCCAATAGGTTGATCAGGAAAGCGCTCCAAAAATTTTATTGTTGATTTTTCGTTTTGCGTATTTCGCCATATCCCGAGAACTTTTTAAGCAAGTCAAAAAAACATTTACACACAATAATAAAATTCTTTTATCCAAAGATAATTCCATTCAAAAAATAAATTTTGCAAAATATTTATTTTTTGCTTTATTTAAGAATGGTCGAAAAAATGTTGAATTTTGTATAGCGAGTACGAAATTTGAGTAAAATCGGTTGAATAGTTACTGAAAAAACGAAATTTAATTATCTGACTTACTTGAGATTCAATTTTTTGGGAACTATTTGACCAATTTTGCTCAAATTATGTAATTTGCTGTAAAAAATTATGTTCTTTTAAATAATGCGAAAAATAACAAACCTTTAATTATTTTATTAAATATATTATTATTTCATTTAGCTATTATTTTATTAAACTATTATTTTATTAAATAATAAGTATTTACTGAACCTTTTTTTTGCATGGAATTATCTTTGAATAAACGAATTTTATAATAGCAAAAAAATTTCAATTCGATTTAAAAGTTTTCGGATCTAACGAATTACGCAGATAGTAAAATTAACATTAAAGGGTGCAAACTTTGGGTCATTCTCCTGACCAAAGTATTGGGACCGTATTCCTCAAATGCGGTTGACCCCCCCCCCTCGATATTTCAGGGTCAGAAATCCGAATCCGTCAACAACAAAAAAGGTTATTTTTATACAGTCAAAGTACGTTTTTGTATCAGGTTTCGTAACTTAAAATATCTTCTGCACTTATTAATTAGCATTTTTCAGGTCAACCCCTTAATCCATGAAGATTCGATCATTAGATCAAAAAATATTCAGGTGGTCCGTTTTTTTCCTTATTTTTTCCTCACTGTACATGAATTCTGAAAGCCGTGGTACAATTATATTTTTTTCTTTATCATCACTTAAATTTTAAAATATTTTTTGGCGTGAAGTGTCCTAATAAATCTATTTTGCTTTCTGAACTGCTTTCGATTCTTTCTATCAGACAATAAATTATTTCAGACATGAATCAAAAAGCTTGTAATTAAAAGATGTGTGTTTCTGATTTCGTAATAAACATTTTCAGGGAACTCTTTTGAAATTGATTAAAATGCCAAATACTTGTTTATGTATTTTATAAGCTTCTTAAATAAATCGGTTACATTTCATTTTTAATATGTTTCAAAAAAATTTGTGTTAAAAGTACATGAAAATATAAAAATATTGAAGTTGAAAACATCCTGAAAAACAAAATTGTAAAGGTGTCAATCACTTCGATAGAAGCACTATTAGGGACTGTGGTGGTTGGTGATAAAACAGAGCCATTTTATACTACCTAAATGATAAATGAAAATGTAACCGATATTCTCATGCAGAAAACCTCAATATCATAATGTATTAATTCCTTGTCATGAGCATATTTATTGAACGAAATTATTGAATCCTGACTGTAGTCGCCAAAATTTTTATGACAACAAAGTAGCACCTGTTGAAATATAGAAATCTGGCAAATTGATTTAAATTAACTCTCTAACCAAGAAATTTATCAGAAAGACAAATTTTTAGGGACTCATTTACTTTGTATACATGAGAAGGCTATATATGTATATAGAAATATTAAAAATTAAAAATGTGTTATTTTCCAATTTAAATCACGTTATTTTCAGTAATTTCAGGTATTAGAAGAACTTCAGCTATTTTTAATAACGCATATTCGTTTCTGAAACATTTCAGCCAGTCCGGAGTGGACGGAGCGACCCTCAGACATGGTTGAAACTTTGGGGAGTTCCGTAATCGTCCGTTGTCATGCATCGGGAGAACCACCGCCTAAAATAAAATGGATCAAATGGACAGGTTAGTGCACGTCAGCATCCATCAAAAATGGTGGCTCTAGTACAATGTAGTGTGTTTCAGTGCATCAAAGATGTTCTTTGACACAACTTTGAATAAAGTAGATGCTTTATTCAGTAACACTAAAGTTTATAATGACAGTAAGATATGATACACGTATGATACATTTTAACGACATACTATGAAGCAAGAATTATTAATTTATGATTTTTTTACACAATATTTCTGAAACTAAAATTAGTTTGTTAAGCAAACATACCTACAGCATAGAGCGGATATTAACATGAATTCAAACTAGACTTAACAGAATTAAAGTGAACAGAAAATTATTATATAATTAATTTAATAAAATTAATTTAATAATTATTATAAAATAATAATTTAATAATAGACAAATTTGTGTAAATCTTATAATGATTACAACTTTATCCTTTTATTAATGCATGCCGTTTACATTATAACAGACTATTAATGTTCATCTCCGTTGTCGTAAACTGAAAATTCGGTCTGCAGTTCAACGACGGTTATAAAATAAAACATGGGAGACTTTTTTAAAAGGAACTAATCAACTTCGTGGGGAACTTTTTTAAATGGAACTAACCAGTTTTTGCGTAACATAGAGCGGAAAACTACGAAAATCTCTCATGGTTAGCCCAAAGGCAAAGTCAGCTCATAATCCGTCAACCATTACTTTACGTCAGCACTGTGGTCAGTGCGAATCAGGAGCAGAATTCGCATCAACCAGTCACTGTTAAAATTCAAGCCTGGGTCATCCCCTTGGGAAGCAAGTGCTCTATCCTTTGAGCCATCGTGGCTTATGTTACTGTTACAATTTTGAACTTTTTTCAAATATGCTCTCAATTACGTCAAAATAAGGACTTTTATAAAAAAAAAATGTTAAAAATTTATGACTATTTATTTTTTAAATAAAGACTATTTTCTAATAAGTCACTACTTTTTTAAACAAAAATGTTGCATCTCCCTAAAGCTTACATCACATTGTGGCAAAAAAAAGGATGGTTAAAAGTTTCTGGGAGTTCATATGAGTAAAATCATTCTGGGAGTAAAATCATATGAGAAGTTTCTGGCTCTATGGGAACATTAAAGCATGTTAATTTTTACCAAAGCGCTTTGAAAATGATTTTTGGTTAAATTAGGAGTTAAGTATGATTTTACTACCATGCTGTTTGGAAGAAAATGTATTAAAATTCGGAAATTTTATGATTCCTTAGAAAATGACAACAAAAAAACATTTATTCGATTAAATTTGTTAATTTTTATATTTTTACTAAATGTCTTTCTTTCAATGTATTTCAGTTATTACGTTAATTTCAGTTTTTAAAAACATTTTCTTTCCTATGATTTGCAGGCCTGTTTCATGCTATTTCTGATATAGTTGTATAAAACTAAAAGTGTTTATTTGTAATATTTAGAACATTTTTATTTTAAGACTAATGAAAGACAAAAATAAACAATTGAAGCATAGCGATTATGATTGTTGTTATTTACTGTAACAGCTATATAATTCCCTATTTTATCGCATGCAATTTCAATCGATTTACACCTTTGTCTGATTTTATTGACTTCTGAATGTTTTGTGTGTCATGTATAGTTTTAACAATATAATGTATTTTGGAAAAAAATGTGCTTCATCCTTAAAAAAAAAAAAAAAAAAAAAAAAAAANAAATTAAAAAAAAAAAAAAAAAAAAAAACGTTTTTTGGAACAGCATGTCCTTTTTTAAACCTTGTGGCATTAAACCCTACATTCAACTAAATTCCTATTTTTTTCACATTATTGAACAGTACAATGAATTTTATTTATTTATAACTGTCATTGAACAGAAGAATTTGTATTGTTAAGTATTGTTAAGAATTTGTATTGTTAAGAATTAATTGTATATTGTTATTATTGTATTATTGGGATAAAATTTAACCCTACTAAGATTTTTTTATTTTATAACCGTCGTTTAACAGCCGACCGAATTCTCAGTTCCCGACTACTCCGTATTCCTGTAATTCTAAACCCAATCCAGAAGACAAGAAAAATCCTGGATCAAGTAATAGGAGAAATTTTGCTTTCTTGAGGACTTTTTGATGGAACTAACCCACATTTGTATTACAGGGAGAGGAAAACCATGAAAAACTCCCACGGTTAGCCAAACGGCAAGGGGATTCTAACCCATGATCCGTCTACCACTGAGAATATTTTACGTCAGCACTATGGTCGGTGCGAGCCGGGTGCGAAATTTGAATTGACCAGAAACTGCATGGATTCGAACCCGGTTCATCTCATTGTTAGGAGAGGGCTATATTCTGGGTCAACATGACTCAGTGTTATGAATTGTCATTTATTTTTGGACATTAAGAACTTCTTTACATTTTGTTGGATTTTTCACGTACTAAGAAACAGTATTTGAATTCGAACAACGTGTCTCAAATATGCTATTTAATACAGACTATTTCAGATTTTAAAAAATTCTTAATTTTCATCTGAGAAATTTTGGTGTCTAATTCCCCCATTTTAAGAAGGAGGTATTTTAGTTTCAATTCTGAAATTATAGTCCCACGAATCTTATGAGAAAAATGATCGGAAGAAAATATTATTTTAATTTTGTATTATTTATCATTTGTGTTCACTTCAAAAAATCATACTCGTTAATCCAAAGATAAATTAATGCAAAAACAATTTTTAAGTTATGTTTAATTGCATTATTTTTTGTAGGGAGTTACTTCTAAAGCATATCTATTTATTTTTAAACAACATAAATCCATTAGCAAATTTATGAATACAACTTTTCAAATTTGTGCTTTTTGTGAATTATGAAAGAAATTGTTTTTTTTTGTTGTTGCTAAAACTGGTTTAAATAAAATTACTGGTTAATTAAAAGTATGCATAAAACATATCCTTTGATATTCAACGTTTTTCTTTTTCCATTATTTATATTTAAGCAGTGAAAAATTATAAGTTATTATTTTGCGATAGCTTTTGTGTAAAAGAGTTTTATAAATGGTTACAAAATAGCAATTTGCTAATGGAGTACAATGCTGAAGCTGTAATTGACATTAAGGAGATAAATATTCTATACATCTATTAATAAATATTTTATTATACCTATTTATTCTATACTTCTATTTGAGATTTACATTAACGATCGAGATAAATATTATATTCCTTTTTTTTAATAGTTTGGGTTTATTAGTATTTTAGGCAACCGTTTTTTATTTTAATAATTCTATCGATACTACTATTGACTAATTGGCTTACAGAAGAAATACACATGAGAGAAAAACGACCATCGCTTATGTATGTCAATGCAAAATTCATACATAATATTTATATTTTTAGCAATTTTTATTTTTTAGCAGTTTCAATACAAATTCAAATTTTTAACTTAAACTTATCTTTATCGAAACACTTACTATTTGGCATTTATAATGCAAGTGCTAAAATTTATGTTATTCTACATCAGTGAAGCTTTATCAAGTTATTTTCCTTTGAGGGAAAGAGCGACGAGTGCCAAATTGTTATGTCATCACCATAGAAAGTAGCACGTGCTTCTTAAATTATGCTTTGTTATTTTTGATAAACAAAACAAAATTCTCAAAAATAGCGAAATAGTAGCAAATCATGCATTTCAAAGTTTGAAAAAATAAAATCTGGCACTTCTTCAGTTAATAGATTATGGTTTGATGAGATTTTTCTTCCTTTACCTTGATTTTATACATAAAATGTTGATTTGTATGCTTCTAAACTATATGTAGTTATGACTATGTAATTATGACGTATGTCCATTTTTTTTCAGGCCATTCTTCTGCTGTGAATATCCTGGTAGAATCTGAAAATTCAAGCAAGCTCTCCATATCTCCAGTCACCTATGAAAATGCGGGGAAATATCAATGCATTGCCGATAATGGCATACCACCCGCTATCGAAACAAACTTTACTCTATTCATTCGTGGTAGGGAATACCATACTCTAAAATACAATTAAATTTTAAAAAAAAAACACTTTTAAGTACATCATAATCCAGCTTGTTATTTATTTAAATTTGTTTAGTGTCTGACACTAATGTAGTGACAAACAAATTCAATGCCTAATTAAGAGGACGCCATAACGTGGAAGAAAATTTTCGTCGCATAATCTCTTTCTCCTTCTCTACTAATTTAAAACTGAAAAGAAAGGAAAAGTAAGTTCAAGTTAATTCTAGAGTAAATCATGAAGTCTCAATTATTGAAGAAAAAAAAATACTTCAAAGTATTAAAATGCAAGCAAATTATTAAAAGAGATCTTCTCCGTGGCGTTATCCTAAGTTATCATCTTATAATTTATTTTCATTTGTATATTTTAAAATTTTCTTTTCAGTATTTGAAACTTAATGGCTTACTAAATGGTTTGTCTGAATTCACTTTTTCTACACTTTAAATTAGTAATGAAGGAAAAAGATAATTTCTGACAAAAATTTTCTATGGTTGTATGGTGTCCTCTTAAGATTAAACATCCATTAAAAGGCACTAAAAGTGATTTAATTATTTCAGCGGATGATTCGAAACCATTGTATTTAAAAGTCCATACTCTACTCTAAAGTACGATTAAATTAAGAAACACTTTTAAGTACATCATGCTCAAACTTGTTGTTTATTTAAAATCAACTAGTGTTTGGCAGTAGTGTAGTGACAAATTTAATGCCTACTTAAGAGTAAACATCCATTAAAAAGCACTAAAAGTGATTTAATTATTTCATCGGATGAAGTATTCGAAACCATCGCATTTTAGAGAGCAATAATTTAGTTTCAGATAGCGACGATGTGTGGCGCTCCTTCCCAGTAAACATACATCATTGTTAAAATCAAACGCCATATTTCGTACACATATCCTGCTTTTCTTTTTTAACATCGTTTGTGGTAACAAATCTACAGATGCGTGTTTAATGCGTTAAAGCATTCCTAAAATGTATGAGAGTGCAAAACACTGGGTTTTTATGTGTTTCAGAATTCCATGTTTGATCATAGCCATGTTTGCATCTTTTCCTAATGGATATCATTTCAAAGGTAAGTGATCTTGGCAATTTCATTTTTTCATAGATATGTAATGCAATTTATTCAAAACAAAATTTTAATACTAAATAAATTCATGAGAAATCAATATTTTAGTAACAAAGCTGTTGCATTACATAGTATAATTTAAATTATAACGTTATTTTACGGGACAAATAAGATAAATTTGAGTTCAAATTTCAATAAGTTAATTAAAATTTTCTATTTTTAGATATACCCGAGATACAGAAGTTTTCTTTCCAAGAAAATATACTCGAAGGTAAAATAGTTTCTGTTACATGTTTGGCTATTACGAGATCAAAATCCGTCGACTTCAAATGGTTCAAAAACGGCAAAGAATTGTTGAATGCCGTTCGCAATGTGAAAATCAGAGAAGACAGTGAATATTCCATTCTTATTCTTGACCCCGTCTCTGCAGACGACAGTGGAAATTACACCTGCAAAGCTTCCAATGCTCACGGCTCATCACAACACACGGCATACTTGAGTGTGAAGGGTAAGTGAGATTCAAAACATTCTTAAATCACGAAATCAGTTTGACCTGGTCAAAAATTAGCAGTTTTAAAACGGTCATTTAAAAGAAATTAAATCTAAGATTGGCCCGTCTTAATGGCAAGCTCAGACATGTTTTGGACCCCTATACATGTCATACTGTTTAAAATCGAACTAAGAAAACTTCTCATACACAAAATAAATTCTTTTTTAGATATTTAATAATTTAACTTAAACATGTGCTTATTACCCCCCAAAACTTGATGTACATAAAACAAAGCACTCTTGAACTATGCTTAATTTTAAAGCATTGAGGAGCTAATCAGTTTCAATTCATAAATGGTAAAATAATTTTCAGCATCCATAAGCAAATTAAAGTAATTAAATAAAAAAAACATGAGGATATAAGAAGTAAAAAATATTCAAAACCTATGAATTATTTCGTCACACTATTAAAGTCAGTTATTAAAATATATTTCAATGCGCATCAGACATAACTAGTTTAAAATTTGCTCTCCCATATGTAATTTTAAACTCTTTCAGTTATTACTTCATTTAACTAGTTATAAATACAGTCAAACCTCTATTTAACGAAGTAGATAAATTTCGATAGTAAGTTTGTTACATGGAAAATTCGTTGAATAGAAAATCACCTTTTGAAATCCTTAAACAACATAAAACATGTTTTATATTCATAAATGCAATATATAATTAAAATGGCAATTAATACGCATTTATCCTGTTAACTAGTATCTACTACTTATTTTATAAGTCTTAACCATAAAAAATTTTCATGAAAAGCAAGAAGAGAGCGAAACATTATCCAGTGTTACACTATCATGCTACATACATTTTCAGCTTAAAAAAAAGCGCAAAATGTATGTATAAAATTACAGCTGCATTTATTACAAAAATAATTTTAAACATTCGTTCTTAAGTTTAATTGCTATTGATAAGATCCAATAATTTGATTTGAGTTTTTCGTTTGAAATGCAATCAAAAAGAGAATTTTTCTGCTTTCTCTGAAGTAACTTTTAGAGAAATCAGTAAGATATTACATAAAGCAGTAGCTTTGAAAATTAATTAAAGGTCATTTCCCCCCATAAAATGCGCTAACAAATTTGACATGTTCTGAAATATTTTTGAAAATAGGTAAAGTGGATCTCAAAGTAAAGTTCGTTGAATAGTAAATTCACTTCGCTATTTAGAAATTATTTTACGAAGAAATTTCCAAAATGTTCTTGGTACCTCGAAACAAATCGCAAAATGGAAGTTTGTTAAATAGAAGTTAGATTGTACTAAACATAGTTGGTGGTCAAGCATATTTAGAAACATTATGACTTAGAGTGTTGAGTACCTAAAAACTTCATTTTAACATAGAAAAATAGATTTCGGCTGACCTTTAAAGTTTTCCTGGAGATAAACTGCTTAAATTTTATTAGTGTTTGAATGATAATAAAGCACTATTTGTTAAAAAAAACTTTTTACTCGAAAATATATTTATTTTAAAAATTATGTAATGCAATATTGTTTATTCTTAATTTTTTAATACAATTTATGATACAGTAAGATTCTCAATGGCCCCCTGAGTGCCCCCCGGGCTCTACCTGGATGTGCTCATTCGTAAAGACTGTACTGATCTAAGCACAGCTGGGGAGTTGGAGTTGAAGAAAAATTTATTGTACTACGAGTTGCAAAAATTGATTAATTCTGACAATGATTAGTTATCAAATATAATTCAAGATTTTTTTTAATCTTACCATAATTATTTAAACTAACATGCACTTTTATGTTAACGGAAATATTACTCTAATGAAAATTAGGACAACTATTTAAATTATCACAAACTTAATTTCCCACATTTAAACGTTTTTTAACGTTTATTTGATAGAACTATTAGAAAGATATAGAAAATTATTGTATACACATTAATAATTATTAAACATAATGACGCTTATTAATTTTCATTATACATTTATTAATGTATAATTATCAGTTTTAAAAGCGTCATTTTATTTTTAAGACAAGTTATTTCTAAGATGAGAACTGGGGAGTCGAGGTTTAAGAAAAATTTATTGGACTAGGAGATACAAAAATCGCTAAATTCCAACATCGATTAGTTATTTACTATAAATCAAAAGGTTTTTTTTTATCTTATCATAATTATTAAGACAAACATGCATTTTTACCTTAACGAAAATTTTGCTGTAATGAAAATTACTGGAACTATTTAAATTATCAAAAATTCAATTCCCCACATTTAAACGTTTTTGATCGTTTACTTGATAGAACTATTAAAAAAGTATAGAAAATTATTGAATACACATTAATAATTAATAAACATAATGACACCTATTGATTTTCATTATACATTTATTAATGTACTAGCCACCTAAGGCGGCCAGCTGTCCGCCACTCTGAAGGTTTTCACAAATAAAGTTTTTTAAAACATAGCAGGAAATCTGAAGATTAGTGGACAATTAAAGTGTTCCTGTCCAGCAATTTTGTCTTCATATCCAGTTCTGCTGCAGATGTGTTATAGCTCTTGAGGATGTTTGAAATTATATAGCTACAACGCTTAAGAAAAAAAAAACTAAAATGCTAAATACATGAAAAGAACACGAAAACGAATAAATTTTTTATGGTATCAATTTCTATTTCTATATAATTTTTTATGGTATCAAATTCTATTTCTATATCTGTTACGTCAAGCACTCAGGTATTATAATTTGATCTAGTTGTGCTTGTATAATTTTGATCTAGTTGCGCTTTCTACGTCATTTTGTTAACATCGTTTGGTTTGTTATTTAACATCGTTTGGTTTGTTATTTCTAAGTTAACTTTCAAAAAATTGGCTGGCATCAGCATTTTTATTCTTTAAGTTGTTTATTTTTTCTTTTGGAATTCGTTCCTTTTTAGCGAAATGTTTTTCAACCTAATCGAATTCTTTGCCGACTGTTCTCTGTATATATAAAGAAAATAAAGTAAATATTTTTAAAGTGTTGTGAAAAGAATTTTTAGTTGTACAAAGTACTACAATATCGCTATAAAAATTATCGTCTTCGCTTAAGAAAAAAAAAAAAAGAGCGTGGAAAGAAGAAGAAAAACTTATTATAACAATTATGAACAGCGACAAATATATCAAAGCGAAGCGTTCTATTTACGTATCGAATATGTTGCCACATTTTTAATACAAAAGTTAAACTTTTCTCCACTTTAATAAATGTAAACTAATGCGAACTTTACAATTAAATTATTAATTCCTTCGTATATTATTGGTTTAAGTTGTCGAAAATTAATATTTCAATTGTGAGGTTCGTATTAGCCTACATTTATAAGAGTGGGGAAAAGTATATGCATTTTTTAATAGTTTTTTGAATATGGCTCTTTGAAGACGAAAAAGCAGACGAAAAGCATAGACTTACAAAATGACTGATAACTAAATAACTAATCAAAATGTTTGAAAAAGAGAAAAAAATACTTCTTCATTATGTCAAAACACAATTATGGGCCGAGTTTCGTGCCCGGGCGAGGCTTCTGGTGCGATATATTGTGATTACAGACACACACACAGCCTCGTTTATTATTATGTATAGATAATCGCTATTGTACAAGAATAAATTTAAAAACTTTAAATTTAAAAATGAAAAACTTTTTAATGAGTCCCGTTTTGAGTCCTTAATTCCAAAACCAAATATATTTAGTTGAATTACGAAGTTATTTGAGAAGATATGAAAGTAATGTATAGTTTTTTAATTGTTTCGTAGTTCATGAAAAATCATTAAAATATCTTGTTGACATAGAGATGTTTACATATGTGCGAGTCTGCGTGTAAAATAGTGATACTTAACTCCTTTCTTGCAATGATTTTGCTGATTTTGAATATTATTTGAAAATAATGCATGATAGCTTCAAGCTAGCACGTTTCATTCAAATGGAACTTGAGAAAACAGCTTGTAAAAGATAAATCTAATTTCAGTTCATCTTTCACGGCCTCTCATATCATGCCTAATACCTTCAGAGCAGCTACCTTTAGACGCTTTTTGTAAACATTTATTCTTGTAGTAGCTATGTTTACGTTTCAATGTATAATTTTTTATCCATTTAAATTTATTTTCCACACCACTACATATAAATAATTTAAAAGTTCATACGCAACGCCACTTTATTCCAGTTCTTTTCTTGTAAGGATTTTAGAATGTTGGCAAAATTACCAAACATTTTGAAAGTTAGAAGAAAGTCCACCTCTCTATAAAATATTTGGCAAAAAGCGTAGCAGGTCTGCACCTTAATAGGAATCAAATTATCTTTGGAAGGTTCTGCGAATTTTGTTTGTTGAAAAACTAACACATAAAAAATGAAATAAAAATTTACTAACTATGTGCCGCCATCAATATTAGTTTCGAGAAATATTTCAGACGCAAACAATAAAATTAACATAATTTTACATTTTAATTAATGTAAGATTGTTCTCTAAGTTGAAAGCTCAAAGTAAATGTTTTTTTTCCTTTAAAGACTTTAATGGGTACATTTCTGATTTAAATCTGAACCTAAAAATCTATAAGAAAATTGTTCATAAGAAGAATTAAATAATTAATTATTATAACTTTTTTCTAGCGCCTCCGAAGTGGGTGGAGACCCCCAATGACATTTTTGCAACTGTCAGAGACTCCCTAATAGTCACGTGTTCAGCACAAGGCTCTCCGTTGCCCAGGATAAGTTGGAAAAAATATTCAAGTAAATGCATTGTTTAGTATATAATACTGAAAAATATAAATAGCATACAAATAATATATAAATAATGTAACGTTCATTACAGCTTAGTGTTTATTGTTCATTATAACCCATGGTTCATTACATATGTAATATATATAGAAATATATAGATATATATAATTATATTAGTATATATGTAGTTATATTAGTATTAATTTTAGTATATACTACTAAAAAATACAAATAATATATAAATAAAGATATGAATAATAATGTAACGTTTATTACAACTGAGTGTTTATGGTTCCCTATAGTTCACCCAAGTCAAAATTTTTGATGGTTTTCCAAGATAGACTTACATAATCTTGATAGATCCATCAATCATTCCATCATGAACCATTTTATTTTTTGATAATAACCAGCATAAGTGAACATCACCACAATGTAGGAATTCGGACTGATTTATGATGGCCCAATATAAGAACAGCAACTTGTTTTGATGGTTTGTTCGCGTTGAACCATCAGAAATTTCCATTATAGTTTCATAGAAATCAAGTGTTAAAATGATCATGAACAATCATCAACCCGATGTAAAAATTCCGATTGATTTATGATGGTCCAACACTAAAAAAATTGTTTTGAGGGTACATTCCTGAGAAACAAAAAGAATTCGAATTAAGCCATCAGGGAAATATATAGTAGTTGGAACCATCATGGATTGTTGGTCCATGAGAATCAAACTTCTCTTGATGGTTAACTATTATAGTATTAGAGTAGAATCCTGTAATAATGGGAGTTTGTTTGCATATCAAAAACCATGAATGCATAAAGGAAAATGTTGGATGATGGTGACCATCAAAAAATGATGGACCATCATGAATGAATTGCACTGAAACCAACATAAACCATCAAAATTTTTTGAGGGGGACCATCAAGAATTATCATCATCAGGGGATCATCAGACTGTAACAATTTAGTAAATGTATGAAATATATTTATTATAAAAATATATTTATTTTGGCTGTGTTCCTTTTCAGATAACAGGAATGAAAACTTGACAAGCCATGAGCAGTTACGAGTAGAAGATAGAATAGTTCATCTTTTAAAGTTCTCATCTCTCTCTTATGATGATGACGGATCGTATCAATGCATCGCTGACAATGGAATTCAACCTTCCCTCGTCTCTAACTTTACTCTTTCTGTACGCGGTATGAGATTTCTACTTATGTCCCTGCCCACATTATTAAACTCACTCTAAGATTCTACGCGATATCTTAATTATCAGGTGATAGTATAATACAGCTTTATTGTTTTTACGAGACAGTTTGCACTTGATTACCTTCGCGTATCAACTTGTTAAATTAGACGATACATAATATAAATTCGATGATTGGATAAATTGGACGATACATTATGTAAATATAGAACGTTTATTATATCAGTATATCATAATAATTAGTCCAAATTATGAGACGCTCTGTAGTGCTCCAATAATGACTTGTTTTGCACGAGTTAATAGGCAATACCATTTTATTTAAGCATACATGTAATGGGTGTTAATTCAGAAGATTTTTTATATACTTCCTATTTGTATTTATTTTTAACGTATTGCATTACCAATGTTAGCCCATTGATACAGGAGCGTAAACAAATGCAAACCGGTTTCATCCGAGTAAAAAACAATACAGCTGCATATAGTTATCACGTGATAATTATAATTTTAAATAGAATTTTATAGTGCGTCTAATAATATGGCCGGAGACTGTAACTGATTCTACAATTCGTCTTTTAAATCAATTTTTTTCTTTATGCGTCGTACGCTAGCTTCTGAAACGTTCAATCTTCCTCATATTTCGCGATTTGAAAATATTACTTCAATTTTTCTAACTGCTGGAGGATCTTTTTTTTCTTTACCCATGATGAAAATGTTTAAATTAATTATTTTTACACTGTACACAAAATACACAAATAACTGCGAAACAACATAGCGAATACAGATATACGACTGAAACCGGTTTGCACTTGTTTACGTTCGTGCATCAATTGGTTAACATAGTAATGCAATACGTTAAAAATAAATACAAATAGGAAGTATATAAAAGAAATCTCCTGAATAAAAACCCATTACATGTATGTCTAAATATAAAAATATTGCATATAAACTCCTGCAAAATATGTAATTATTAAAAACACTACAGAGCGTCTAACAATTCGGCTAGTGACTGTAATTATGCACAATGAATTTTAAAAAAACAAATGAGTGATAAAAATAATCTTTTTATGTCATTGCACATTCACTCTAATTTATTATATTTTTTCATTTATTTCTGAGAAAATCGCCTAAAATATATTTATCATTCCAAGCAAGAATTCTCGGTGGCAGAGAACTAGAAATAAAGCGTTCTTAAAATACGGAATACTTATCAATGTTGAAAATAAAAGGAAGATAAACACGACATGCTTCGTACGCAAAAATGACCAAAACTGTACGTTATTTTATCGAAACAGGTGAACGAAAACAATGTTATTGCGTACTTTGCGCTTTGAAGACATTATTTTTATGCTGCTAACGTAACATGTGTTAAACGTGTTTTGTCATAATGAGCTCTACATTTATTAGTAAATGTTTGCGTTATTTTTGTACTCTAGTGACCTTACGTAGTATCGTTTATTTATTTATTTATTTTCTGTATGGATTGCTATATAGAGGGCAAACCTTTCTGAATATTTAAAATAAATAATACAGCTATAGAAAAATTGTTTGGATAATTGTAGAATTGGTTTAATTCAAATTGTTCTTTCAAAATTCAATTAATAAAAAGTTTACAGGAATTAAATTCCCCATTGATAATAAAACAAACTTACAAAAATATTACTAATTGTATCATTATAATCCATATCAACCGTTTCTCGAATTATCAATAAACGAAAATATTATAACTTAATTTTAAAAATAGTATGCACGCATATATGTCCGCTTACAGCGAACATTAATGAAAAATGAAATTATTTTCACGATATCCTAAATTTTCATTTTCTTCGAATAGTTGTAATCGTGGCCAATATGTGGCGCTGTGAGACTGTCATGGCTTCGGCTATGTTTGTTTCACACTATTGAGAGAACGCCATAGCTTGTGTTCATGCTGTTCTTTGAAAGAAAATGTGGAAACATTCAAAAGTTAAAATGCGTGTCTTAATAAACTCTTTTTATTTTTTCATTTTCCAGTCCGTCTACTTTCAGTGCGTACAGTCATCAGCGGGTAAGTAACTGTTTGATTTATATACCAGTAGATTATATTTTGAGATCGTCTGAAGACTTACTTTTTCTTTTGTTCGCAGATTTACCTAAAATAAAAAGTTTTTCTTTCGAGGATAATGTTCAAGAGAGTGACATCGTCTCTGTCACATGTTTCGCCGTCTCTTCTAAGAAACCACTGACGTTTGATTGGCTTAAAAATGGTGAAACAATTGGAAACAGTTTTAGAAACATTCGGATTGATAAGTACGAAGATTATTCCATATTGATTTTAAACAATGTAACGCAAAGGAATGCTGGAAACTATTCCTGCCTAGTGAAAAATGATGTTGGTAGTTCAAAGCACACAGCATCTCTCTACATAAAAGGTCAGTAGTTTCATTTTGATTCAATTACTGTACTGCACACAGGGCCGTCTTAATATCAAGCTGGGCTCCCGGGTCAGAGAAATGTTTTGGGCCCCTATAAAAAGTCATACAGTTTAAAATTAAACTAAAAAAGCTTNTAATATAAATGAAATGAGATCAAACTTAGCCTTAGAAATTAAAGCAGAAATATACGTCGATTGCCAGTCGATTTGAAAATATCTATAATAGCTGAACACTCAACATCAATCAATTTTTCTGGCCCATTAACAATAATGCGTAAATGCCTATCGAGTGTCTCTTGTTTCATCCTTGTTCGCAACTCAGTGAAAACAAATACATTTTCGAAAATAACCTTTCAACTGTAGGTGTTGACGATGGTATAATAACTGACAATGTTAATAGTTTTAATAAATTAGGAATTAGAATTTTAATAACTTAGTTCATTCACGTGCGTCTTTTTTTCCCCTGCAAAGGGTTTATTCGATTAACAAAACAATAATGAAGACAAACAAATCTGTGAAGGGTCCGATTAATAGATAAATTATTTTGTGAAGGGTCCGTTTTTATGAAAAGATATTTCGTGAAGGGTCCGTTAACGGACCCAAATTTCTTCTAAACAGACCCCTGTTAGGTGTCCATTTTCAAATTGTTAGGCAGCTCATCTTCAAACTCAAGTTCTATCTGTCAAGCGAGTTGCCATAATACCTTTGATCGAATCTTGAACCACCCAATAGGGTCTAAAATTCTGCATGATGGCTCCAAACTCGCACGTTTCGTACAAATGGGAAAGCAGCTTGTAAAAGATAAATCCAATTTCAGTTCATCTTTCTCGGCGTCCCATATCATGCCCAATACCTTGAGGCCTGCATTTTTCGACGCTTTTTGTAAAAATTTATTCTTGTGGTAGCTATGTTTACGCTTTAATGTATTATTTGTTATCCATCTAAACTTATTTTCCACAACACTACAGATGCATGATTTAAAAATTCATTTGCAACGCCACTTTATTCCAGTTCTTTTTCGGTAAGGCTTTCAAAATGTTGGCAAAGTAACAAAAAATTCTGAAAGTTTGACGAAAGTCCACCACTCTATAAAATATTTGGCAAAAAGCGTAGCATGTCTGCACCTTAACAGGAATCAAATTATCTTTGGAAGGTTCTACGAATTTTCTTTCTTGAAAAACTAACACATAAGACATAAAATAAAAATTTATTAGCTGTTTGTATCTTTGTGCCTCAATCTATATTCGTTTCGAGAAATGTTTCAGACAGCAGCAATAAAGTTAACATAATCGGTGTTTTCACTGCAGCGCGAGAATCTCGCATATTTTTTTCTTTTCTCGCATTAAAAAATGATTAACGCAAGAAGTTCGCGCACTCTATTAATCAATTTTAAAATGCGGGAATCTCTCAAATTTTGGAAAAAATTTCGTCCAACGCCATTTTGAAAAAAGGCATGAAAACAGCTACGGCAAGTGTTGAGAAAAAAAAATGAGTCCTGTATAATAAGTTGTTTAAAGTTAGCTCTATTTTTAGCTGTTAATGAATTACCAAACTCTCGCATTGACAATTTACAGCAATTTGTAAAATTTGAAGTCTGTGAAAACTATGCTGGAAGACATAACAAGAGGTATGTCATAACGGAAATAATTCAAAAGCCTATTCTGGCAGATGTAGAGGATAGGAAAGAGTGTGCACAATGCTACAAATTTAATTAATGAATCCGAATAGTTCATCTGTTACAAGGTCATTTAGCACCCAAAACCGAATTAAAATAAAATATCGCAACAGATTGACTGATGAGCATTTGAGCAACCTAATGAGAATAGCTGATGAAAAAGTAGATATGGAACATTTTCCATATGCAATGAAAATATTCAATGGTTTAGAAATTAGAAAATGTTAAAAATGTATCATAAATTAAAGAATTTTTTTTCCAATTCTATTCGTGTTTTTTTTTTCTTTTTTTTCAGAAATCTCACTTAACTTTTGAAATCTCACCCTGTTTTTGAGAAAGGGTGAAAAATTCTCTCCCATTTTTCTTCTGTAATGAAAACACTGATAATTTTACATTTTAATTAATATAATGTTTTTTAAGTTGAAAGCTAAAGGTAAATGTCTTTTTTTTCCCTTTAAAGACTCTATTGGGTAAATTTCTGATTTTAATCTGGTCTTAAATTTGCGAAAAAATTATTTATAAGAAGAATTAATTATTACAATGTCTGCTTTTTTTCTAGCACCTCCGAAGTGGGTGGAGACCCCCAATGACATTTTTGCAACCGTCAGAGACTCCCTAATAGTCACGTGTTCAGCACAAGGCTCTCCGTTGCCCACGATAAGTTGGAAAAAATATTCAAGTAAATGCATTATTTAGTATATAATACTGAAAAATATCAGTAACATACAAATAATATATAAATAATAATGTAGCATTCATTACCATTGAGTGTTTATGGTTCATTATAGCCCATAGTTAATTAGATATGTTATTAGTATGTAAATATATTAATATATAGTTATAATTATATGTAATTATATTATTATATAGTAGTTATGTTAGTATCAATCATATTAGTGTGGAATACTAAGAAATATAAATGATATATAATTAAATATATAAATAATAATGTAACGTTCAATGCAATTGAATGTTTATGGTTCATTATAGTCCAACCAAGCCAAAACTTCTGATGGTTTTCCATTGATGGACCAACATAATTTTTATGGTAACCATCAATAATTTCCTCATGAACCATTTTCCATCATGATACCATATTTGATGGTAAGCAATGTAAGTAATCATCACTTCAATGTAGGAATCCAGATTGATTAATGATGGTCCTACATAAAAAAAAAGAAACAAATTGTTTTGATGGTGTATTCCTTAGAACCAACAAGAATTCCAATTAAACCATTATGGAAATGTATAGTTGGAACCATCATAGACCATCGTGGATCATAATGGATTGTTGGTCCGTGAGAATCATCATGAGGACCATCATGAATGAATCGCACTGCAACCAATATAAACCATCAAAATTTGTTTGAGGGGGACCATCAAGAATTTTGACCTGGGCATGATCCATCAAACTGTAACAATTTACTAAATGCTTGAAACCCACATAAATATATTTATTTTAGCTGTGTTCCTTTTTAGATAACAACAGGAATGAAAACCTGACAAACCACGAGCAGTTACAAGTAGAAGATAGAATAGTTCATCTTTTAAAGTTCTCATCTCTCTCTTATGAAGATGACGCATCGTATCAATGCATAGCTGACAATGGAATTCCACCTTCCCTCGTCTCTAACTTTACTCTTTCTGTACGCGGTATGACATGGCATTTCAACTTATATCCCTGGCCACATTATTAAACTCACTCTAAGATTCTATGTAAAATCTTAATTATCAGGTGATACTATAATACAGCATTTATTGTTCTTTATGTCACTGTTTGCACTTGTTTGCACTTAGTGTATCAATGGGTTAAATGAGACGATATATAAGTTTGACGATTGGATAAATTGGACGATTTATTGAATAAATATTGAATATCCATTATCTCAGGTATTATAGTATGTTAATTAGATCAAATTATTAGTGTAGTTTTTTTTAATAATGCACAAGTTAATAGGCAATACTTTTATATTTAAATATACATGTAATGGGTTCTTATTCAGGATAATTTTTATATACTTACTATTTGTATTTATTTTTAACGTATTGCACTATAATGTTAACCCATTGATAAACGAACGTGAACAAGTGCAAATCGGCTTCATCCGAGTGAAAACAATACAGCTGTATAGATCACGTGATAATTATAATTTTACATAGAATCTTACAGTGCGTCTAATAATATGGCCAGCGACTGTATAAGACTCTACAATTCGTCCTTTAACTCAATTTTTATCTTAATGCGTCGTATGCTAGCTTCAGAAAACCTTCAATCTTCGTCATATTTCGCGATTTGAAAATTATACTTCAGTTTTTTTACATGATGAAAGATCGCCTTTTTTTTTTACTCATGATGAAAATGTTCCAATTAATTATTTATACACTGCGCACAAGATAAGCAAATAACTGCGAGACAAATAAACACAGAGCATGAAGCCGGTTTGCACCTGTTTACGTTTGTGCATCAATTGGTCAACATTGTGATTCAATGTACATAAAAAATCTCCTGAAATAAGACTCATTACATGTATATTTAAATACAAAAGTATTGCATATAAACTCAGGCAAAACATGTAATTATTAAATAAACTTCAGTGCGTCTAATAATTTGGCCAGTGACTGTAATTATGCGCAATGAATTTTTAAAAAACAAATGAGTGATAAAAATATTTTTATGCCATTGCACATTCACTCAAATCTATATATATATTTCTCTTACACGGCACCAAAAAAAAGCCTCATTACAACTCCCCGAATGGCAACGTTAGAAAATCTACCAATGATTGCTGCTAAAAATGTCACATGGCAAATGTCACATGAGGTGGCTCAACATATAGCGCTTTAAAAAACGGAAACAATAACCAGAGTGAGCATTATCAGGTTGTTCAATTCAGATTCATGCACTAAAAACATGACAATATTTAATTTAAACTCAATTAGGAATTAATTAATTAATTGAAGTGAGAATGCTTTAAAAGGCCGCTGTTGAATTGATATTTTTCTACTGGGAGCTACCTAAACGTCTAAAAAACGTTTAAGTGTTTGTATTGAATGCATTGAATTTTTTTATATTTCGCGTTTATTTATGCATTGAATTTTCACGCTTTAAAATGCAGAATATTAGTGAAGCAATATTTGATAATTTATTTTGCTAATATGTTTCTTATTTAGCTAATGTTTTGATTTTTTCACCATGTACAATCTAAATAGCTAATATACTTTTTTAAAAGCCAATAAGAACATTGGTAGAATTCTTCTACATAAGTACAATACTATGTCTTTGATGATAAAATACTATGTCTTTGATGATAATATACTATGTCTTTGTGCTAGAACATTGTGTTCATAGGCGAGCGAGCGCAGCGAGCCATGTTCACGACGTGAACCACATAGGATTGCGTAGCAATTCTCGGGGGTTGACGAGCGTTAGCGAGCAGGGGGCGGAGCCTCCTAGTTTATTATATTTTCTTTTATTTCTGAGAAAATCCCCTAAAAATATTCATCATTCCAAACAAGTATTCTAGGTGACCGAGGACTAGAAAAAAAAACGTTCGTAGAATAAGGAATACTTAACATTCTTATAAATCAAAAGGGGATAAAAGCGACGTGCTCCGTACGGAAAAATGACCAAAACTGTGCATTATTTTAATGAAACAGGTGAGCAAAAACAATATATTGCGTGTTGTGCTTTACGCTTTGAAGATATTATTTTTATGCTAACGTAACATGAGTTAAACGTGTTGCGTTATTGTCAATTACTTAGTTAGTTTCTTAATCTTTTTTAAAGTATACTACTGTTTGATTATAATGAGATTTTTGTACCCTCACGATTTAATGACCTTACTTTGCATCGCTTTCCTTTTTTTCTTCTTCTTTTTTCATTCTTTTTTTTTTTTTTTTTNTTTTTTTTTTTTTTTTTTTTTTTTTTTTTTTTTTTTTTTTTTTTTGCTTGTTTGCATGGATTACTATTGAGATCCAACTTTTATAAATATTTAAAATAAACTATACATCTATGGAAGTAGAAAAATTGATGTTTGCATAATTGTAGAATTTGTTTCATTCAAATTGTTCTTTCAGAATTCTTTTAATAAAAAGTCTTAAAGGAAATAAAACTCCCCATTGATAATAAAACAAATTCACAAAAACACTAATTGTATCATTGCAATCGATCTTAATCGTTTATCGAATTATCAGTAAACAAAAACATTATGGTTTAATTTTTAAAAAGTATACACGCATATATGTCCGCTTACAGCGAACATTAATGAAAAATGAAATTATTTTCGCGATATCCTAAATATTCATTTTCTTCGAATAGTTGTAATCGTGGCCAATATGTGGCGCTGTGAGACTGTCATGGCTTCGGCTATGTTTGTTTCACACTATTGAGAGAACGCCATAGCTTGTGTTCATGCTGTTCTTTGAAAGAAAATGTGGAAACATTCAAAAGTTAAAATGCGTGTCTTAATAAACTCTTTTTATTTTTTCATTTTCCAGTCCGTCTACTTTCAGTGCGTACAGTCATCAGCGGGTAAGTAACTGTTTGATTTATATACCAGTAGATTATATTTTGAGATCGTCTGAAGACTTACTTTTTCTTTTGTTCGCAGATTTACCTAAAATAAAAAGTTTTTCTTTCGAGGATAATGTTCAAGAGAGTGACATCGTCTCTGTCACATGTTTCGCCGTCTCTTCTAAGAAACCACTGACGTTTGATTGGCTTAAAAATGGTGAAACAATTGGAAAGAGTTTTAGAAACATTCGGATTGATAATAACGAAGATTATTCCATATTGATTTTAAACAATGTAACGCAAAGAAATGCTGGAAACTATACCTGCCTAGTGAAAAATGATGTTGGTAGTTCAAAGCACACAGCATCTCTCTACATAAAAGGTCAGTAGTTTCATTTTGTTTCAATTACTGTACTGCACACAGGGCCGTTTTAATATCAAGCTGGGCTCCCGGGTCAGAGAAATGTTTTGGGCCCCTATAAAAAGTCATACAGTTTAAAATTAAACTAAAAAAGCTTCTCATACATAAAACATTGTTAAAATTATTGCATATCTTAAAAAACTTGCACATTTTTATTACCCCCCGAAAGACTTGATGCGCATAAAACAAAGCATTCTTAAACTATGCTTAATTTTTAAAATAAATTGAGATGCTAATCAATTGCAATTCGCAAATAAAATAATTTTCAACACCAAGAAACTAATTAAAATAATTAAACTAAAAAAAAACATAATGGTATAACAAATAACAAAATTGAAAAGGTATGAATTATTTTGTCACACTAGTCAGTTATTAAAACATCTTTCAATGCCCATCAGACATTATCAGTTTAAAAGTTACCGTCTCATAGTGATCTGTCATTCTTTTTCTTTCAATTATTACATTATTTGACTAATTATTAATACTAAATGGAGTTGATGGTGTCGCATATTTAGAAAAATTAGTAGAGTACCTAAAACCTTCATTTTAGCATAGAAAAATAGATTTCGGTTGACTTTTTTTAGGTTTTTCTTGGTGATAAACTATTCAAATTATATTAGTGTTTGCTTGATAATAAAGCACTATTTGTAGGGGGGGAAATTGCGCACTTTTTATAAGAGAATATATTTATTTTGAAAAATATATGATTCAATGTTGTCATTCATGTTTTTAACGTATATAAAGGCAAGATTCTCAAGTTTTATTTGTCCCCCGGGTGTGCCCATGAGTAAAGACGGTATTGAGTACACAGTTATACAATGGTTTCAAAATATAATTTAGTGAATGCATTATTTACTCTAAACCCAACACTATTATTCAGCAACATGCAAAGATAGGTAACTCATTGGTTGGATTCTCCTGAATGTAGTTACTGAGGGGAAAATAAAAACCTAATTTGATTAACGAAAATGAAACTCACATTAGAAAAAATATGTATTAATAACCTAAATCTATATTTTAAATTCTTTGTAGTTTCTGAAAATTCAAGCGCAAGTAGTTTAGTTTGAACTATTATTCAGAAAATTCTAGAGTGATCTCCTTCCCCAATATTATAATGTCTTAAAACTTCATTATCAAATTTGTATTTTAAAATCTTATCATCATAAATAGTTATTCTCGGGTCTTTAATAGTTGAGCTCTAATAGTTATCCTTATATTTTACTGTTAACCGATCGGACTGTGTTGGGATCAGGGAACTGGCCTTGCATCAGAAAAGGTTCTGGGTTTGAATCCCGGTCAAGGCAACGATGTTCTGTCCTTCTCTGTACTATTTGTACTTACTGGGGGAAGAATGTTGGCCCACCTAATAGGTTGTCCCTGAAAGACTTGCCCGCCTACAAATCCGTTCAGTCAATGCCTGAATTAACTAATTCAAGTTAGCATTGGAAGTAAAATTTTAAAAAATATATTTTACTGTTATAAAAAATAAATTTTATGAGAGCATATTTAATATATATTCGTAGGGCTACATGTTTTTCATTAGAATATATAAAAGTTTTCGAGAATAAACTATAATTTTGGAGTTATGAGCATGCTAACTATATAAAGACACCTTTATATTACTATAATTTTTTCCGTAAGTCTCCCTTCCATAAGTAATGAATAGGAAGAAAGGGGGGGGAGAGAACAGACTAGTGTCAATCATTCGTGAAAAAATATTTCATAATTTATAAGGAATGATAAAATATTCAAGTTATCTTTTTAGTTCAATTCATGTACATATGAAATTATTTTCTTACATATTTGTTTGAAAAATTAAAATTTTTTGTAATTCTTTGAATATTTTTCGAAATGTACCATTGTTTTAGTCATCGATTGGATGTTCACTTTGGCTGATTTTCTGCCTTATTGCACTCCATGGCTGATGTTATTTCCTATGTTTATTTTGCAAATTGAAAAATCCAAAAGTTTGAAGTAGTCCATTCCCAAAAGTCCCATGAAGTAGTCCCAAAGTGAAAATCCATTTTTATATTTTATGAACTAGCGATTGAATTGACGAAATTTCTGAATCTTATACATAAATATTGTATTGAGTTAACTTTTTTGAATACTCGTGTAACACTTTCTCTTGCAGCATACATACATAACATAGTATTTCATGAACAAAATATATAATTGATATTAGTACAGAGGAACCTCATTAACAGGAAATCTCTTAAAGTGAAATATCGCTTTACACGAAGCACATGTTAGGTCCCGCGAGTTAGTAATCAATTATTATTGTAGTATACATGTTTAACATAAAATTTTTAAGCTGATTATCGCTTAACATGAAAAGAAACTGGACGAAGCACAGACAACAAGCGTGTGAATAAAAATCCCAATAATTAATTTGGAGGAATGCTATTTCTATTTTGTTTTCCTTTGTTAGAAGTAGCTGATGGACAAATAAAATAGTTTAATTAGAGTAGTAATAAATTTAAAGCTTATCTGTTTGGTTCATAATAGTATTGTTTGCCTACATTAACGTAGTACATAACATGTATTAATAATGCGTAATAATTTTTTGTCATAATGTATCGGATAAAACAAAATTCGGTTAACATTAAATAATATAACATGATAGTTCCACCGATTTCGTGTTAACGAGGTTCGACTGTGTTAGATATTAGGCATATAATTTCATAATTGAACTCTATCTACAACTGATCTTGCATTTCTGAATTGCTTTCCATTGATTAAAATATATATATCTAACTTTTCAGTAAAGCCTAAATGGATAGAGAGGCCTCCACCCTTGATTGTCAAACAGAGTGGCGAGACTGTCTCCCTGGCATGTTCCGCTTCAGGATCTCCTTCTCCCAAGATAGAGATTCGCAAATATTCAGGTAAAATTCAAATAAATATGTGATGCTATATATGTAAACTTTGCATACATATAAAGAGCCGGGGACAACCTTGTTGTCAGAGCGCTGGACTCACTTTCGTGAGAACGGGAAAGTCGAGTCCGAACACTCCCCGCGTAGTCAATGGTGAGTGATGCACGTTAAATCTGTTGGGTCAGAAATTCCTCCTTATTCGTATAACAAATTATACCTCTGGATGTACTGAATTGTAGATTGATTGTTCTCTGGTTCAGGTTAAAATTGCAATCGTGGATGAATTAATGGGTCCGCCCTATAAACGGGTGTGGCAGAAGTCGAGATCTTGACCATAGATGAAGTCACTGGAAAAGAACAGTCGCATCCTCTTGGCCTTAATGGCTGACGTAAACAACATCCATATGTTTGATAACAAAATGGCTCTAGGTTTATTAGATCATAAAGTTCAAAAGTTTAAGAAGACATTATTAACAACAATGTGTTAAATAATGAAATACTCTTTCCGTAGCGATTCAATCATGCATCATTTAATATATATCTCCAAGAGTATGGATGTATTTTCTTTTCAATGAACTGTACTTGCACTTAATTAATATAGTTTTTTTTTTTAAAAAAATCCTTACTATAATATGTAATTAACATATATTACTTTTGCTGTGAACTCACAAAAATTTACGAATTTTATTTTACTCATATGTAAAATTTTCTCTTTCTCGTATTTAAAATTTCTCATCTTAGGCTCGTTTTTTCTTTTTTTTATTTATTTTATTGAACAGGACACATTCCTTCACAATGATAAATGGGATATTTCCAGATAAAGAATAACTATCCTAAGATAAAAATTACTCTTTATAATGTGTCTATATCACTAAAAAATAAAAATGCGCAATTGAAAATAAGTTTGAGATAAAAGAAATCAGAAAACAGACTTACCGAAATGGAGCAAAAATAAAAAATGCCTTAAAATTAGATATATACTAGTTTAACAGTGAACAAAAATTCGCTAAGAAGAAAAAACAGTGCTTATAGCTTAAATCGTACTAAATAATTTTAAAATTAAATTTAGCAGGAGGAAAAAGTGAAGCAAATTGCATTTCAGTGTTGCCATCTATATATATAGTAAGAAAATTTTGAATTCATCATTTCATCTGCACTAATGACTGAATTGTGTGTTTTGTAGGTTTCAATTATTCAGAGTATTCGAAGGTGGAAGCAGTGGAGAGTGGTGACGTCTCTCATCTGACCATTCCACGCGTCACATATTCCGATGCTGGATTCTATGAGTGTTGGGCACACAACGGAATGGGTCATCCATTGAAAACTAACTTTTCATTAATTATTCGGAGTAAGCATTTTCATATTGGATGTTCACGCCAATCGGAAACACGCCATACAACTAAGAATCTTAAAGTACACAAAGGAAATTTTTTTTATTACTGTTTTTAACTTGTATTTATTGTATAGTTTACAATTTTATACACATCCCGCAGTGGACTGATCTTAAAGACGCGGTTCCCAGTAGAATACCGAAATATCACTGGTAGCGGTCAGTAAACTGGTGCGTGGCCACTTCGATCAGTCTGCGTTGAGATCGAAGTTGGACGGTATCGGTCCTCGTTAAACTGTTCTACAGTAAGGTGCTCGATTTCACGAGGAAGGTCGTCGGGCTACCTAAACAAGGGAGCAATCCCCTCTGCAAAGGATCAAAATTGTGATGACATGCCTTCGGATCATCTTCAGGGATGTTTCCCAAACCGTCACCAATAGCCCATTGTGCAGCTCTAGTGCGACGTAAATAAAGTACCTACCTACAATTTTATCCACTTTCCATCTTCGCACGTATTTCGTGTTCGTGCTTTTTATCTACTTTTATTCGCATGCTTTGAATTTTACGACAATTAAGAAAAAGTGTACTTTTGATCCACCAAACTTTCCATTCGATCATAATTTTATAAACACTTTCAAACTTGAAATAATGGCAACACATCATTAAGTTATGAACACTAAATCAACACGAATCATATTTTTTTTCTTTATGTACTCTATTTGTATTTTTAGTTTGTATGTAAATGTTTTATTGTACCATTTACAATTTTATCCACTTCGCATCTTCGCAGCGTTACACGTTTCGTGTACGTGTCTTTTGTCTTATTTTATTCACGTAATTTGAATTTTACAACAATTAAAAAAATGCACTTTTTATCAGTTTTCCCATTATGTTATGAGCACTTTATCACATTTGTGACACTTTCAAAGTTATAATATGTCGCACCGAACCGTCAGACATTTTGTTATTATCTTGTAAATACGTGAAAAAACTATTCGAGAGAGAAAAAACCTCGATAATTGCGAGCATAAAATCTATATTTTGTTATGTTTTTTAATGAGCACTTTTTCCAAAGGAAATGACATGTGGGCTGACTTATGTTTTCTTAATATACTTAAGGTGAACTATGAAATGTTTCTACACAACTGGCATTGTTTTATGCATGATTGTAAAATCATTTTGTACTTTTTAAAAAGCAAGATAAGGACTTCCAAGATTACATCTCACATTACATTAAACCTTTTATTTCTTTTATTTTTGCGTCAGACTTAGTTCATTATTTTGTACGATTCCGTTATTTTGTGTCGATTGTTTTGTATGAGTTTAGTATAATTATTCACTTGCGACTTTCACTTTCCATGTTTTCACTGTTTCTTATCATTCTTGGAAAAATATACATTAATTTAGAAAGACAATTTTTGTTTAATTTGATATTTGAAACCAAAAGTAATCCTAATTCAATGAGTGTGCTTTCGTAACATTATATTTGTGATAATTCCATCATAAGGTGATAAGTAATTCTGGGTGATATTTAATTGATTCACTGTCTGTGGAGTATTGTTGTGCACCATAAGGAGTGAGAACTCATTTGTAAATCTATCTATCTATTGTAAATCTAACGCTCTATCCTCTGAGCCATCACGGTTAACCACTATGATTAGTTTTAATGAAAACGTATTTCATGTCTTATTTGTTTGTGATTTGAAATGAAAAATCTGGAACAAAAAATGCGTAGAAAAAACTTACATGCTTAAAGAAACATAAAAAATTGACACTGCTACAAATTCTACATTTTGACAAATTTCTTTTGTCATAATGTCGAATTATTTAATAAATAATAATTCATTTATTGGTATAAAATATTGTTTTGAAATTGTAAAATCATTTGAGGTGACTTTTAAAGATAATATGTAAAATAAATTATTGTGATTTTTACAGATGCTGTTTATATTGTTTTGCATATTAATTGATAAATTTGAATTTTTTTCTACTCTCAAAGTTAAGATATTTGAAATGGAAATTTTTATTGTTTCAACTTTTATTAAGCTTTTTAGAGTGAATCTTTAGCAATTCTTGACGATTAAAAAGTGTGAAAATGTTGAGTTGGTTCTCGTTCTTTATTTAAAAACCTATTGCAACTTTTGATTGAGTGAAAGCATTGTAACATGTCTTCAACTATGAATGTTTTTTTTTTAATTATTATGAATCACATAAAACGAAAATGAATAAATAATTTCAACTTTATTTTTCTCTACTATATTAAATCTAGATTTTAGTTCTCAGTTGTACCAAAGTGTGGCGCTGCCTATGTATCAAAAGTGAATATGAGGAGCGTTCTTGTTGACTGAAATTGTGTTGTCCTATTATTTATTCTCCATAGTTTTATGCTAACAAGAATAATTGTGATCAGTTACTACAAATGATAATGAACAAATCAAGTGTGATTAGGTTGCGTTTTTAGATAGAAGCAACTTTCTGTAACAATTATGGATTGGTTCAAGTATTCTACTACAATACACATACTTTTCTGTGCTTTTCTGACTACTCTCATCAATTGCTCTGCACAAGGTAAGTCAGTTTACGTTCATGTTACTTGTAAAAAAAATTATTTAGCAACATTTGTTCTCTAATTTTTTTACGTTCAATGAAATTCGTTCTTTAAAATGCATTCTATGAAAACAGTATTTTTTTAATGTTTGTGAGCACTGAATTGGTGTTGAGAAATTGATGATAGATTCAACCTTTAAGTTAGAATATGAATGTTTCATCGTTATTAATCACAGTAGCGTGTGTATCGCTTTAATAAGTCCACTAATATTTTTGGTGGTGTAATATTTTTTCATTTATATAATGTATGTTTCACATGCATAAAACTATGAAAGAGACAGATACAATGTAGGTAAGCGGGAAAAACAGTTCCTAATACATATATCCTCTATTTTAGGTTAGGGAATAATATTCTTTAAAATGGTACTGATATGCAGAAAATTTTCAAACAAATGGAATTCCATATAACTTTTATATAATGTCCTAACATTAACGCTCGTCAATTTAACCTTTTGTATACCGATTTAAATTATTTATCGGTAGCTGCTGAATAAAATTGTTTTAAGTTAATATTCATACATAACCTTCGCTACCAATGGGGAAAAAATTTCTGAAACTACGGAAATTCCGTAGTTGGAGTGTATATTGATGTCCACTCTAGTAATCCTTATTAATAAGAGAGTGTTGATAATATTACAGAGTTTTCAAATCGAAAGCTAAAGGTTGATATGATTAATTGCAATTTTTGTTCCTTAGAACAGCTGAAAACCCAGCTTTGAATCGAGCATGAAATCGAGAAGCTTTTTTATTTAAAACAGGATATTCAAATTTTACACTCATCCAAAATCTCTTAATTCAACCCAGATTTTGTTTTTTCCTTTTGACATTAAAGAATTATAAATAGACGAGAAATCAGACTCTCCGAGGTTACCACGGCCCACACTTTGAGAACTATTTTTTTTTTGTCTTCATAAAAAGCTCTTCAGTTGCTACTTTGAAATACTTAACTTGATTCTCGATTATTTAGGTGATATTCCTGAAATCCAAAAATTTTCCTTCCAAGATAATGTGAATAAAGGAAAAGTTGTATCGGTGATGTGCCTGGCTGTTTCGAACACAAAACCTTTGACTTTTTCGTGGTTTAAAAATGGAAAACTATTAAAGAATGAGGATGGGAATAGGTTGAGAATCGAACACAGCACTGAATTTTCTGTACTGATTTTAGACACTGTGGATCAAGACAGCGAAGGAAATTACACATGTGCTGTCTCTAACAGAGATGGAAAAGCCAAACATTCTGCTTACTTAAGAGTGAAAGGTAAACTCAATTTCATATCTCACATATAGTGTCCAATTCCTTGCTTGAATTAAATGAAAGAAAAAATTCTGAATCCAAGCATTCATAATTCGAAAATGTTGGAATGCTCCTTTTCTTAATATTTCTTTTTTAAAGACATTTTTTTTCTATTCACTAGTAATCAAAAAAAATATTAAACTTTATACATAATCTTTATATTTCCTCTATTAAAATAAATCTTTGCAGATTAATGTAATTATACATACATATTACATCATACATATGTCAAATAGCTGATCTATGATTTTAGTTGCATTTTAAAATGTAATTATTTCTTTTATTGTGTGTTATTACTTCGAGGAAAAGTTTTTTGTACATTAAAAATTACTATTTCGAAAGCTTTCAAAGTGTATTAAAATGTATATACTGAAATATTAACTGCAGCTCTAACGTACTGTAAAATTTATTGAAAATTAAATTTATAGTCGTCAACATAATAACAGGCAAACTCTTCTGATATATAGAGGTCTTTATTTCAATAGGAACAAAAAAAATTTTAAAAAAAGTTTTTTTTATTCAACTTTTTTTATGAAAAGTAATATTATAGGATTACATAAATTGCAAAGCTAGTGATTATTTTTTTAAGAGTATGACACAAATGACTCGTTTTTAAACTTCCAAATAAAAATTAACTATGAAACTACGAAACTATAGTCACGATTGTCCTTTTTTCCAATATCAGAAATATTTTTAGTAAACATTCAATAAATTCTTTATTTTAATTTGGAAGTAAGAGATGTTTTTTTTTTATTATTTGATGACAAAACATTTTTTTTATTGTTTGTTTATTTATTTTTTGGAAAAAAAAGCTTTAACTTCTAAATATTTTCAGAAGCTAAAACTTTAATTTATTTTTAATGCAAACTTTTAATGCAATGAAAATAATTACTTTTATCTCATGCAAAAAGTTTAAATGATTTTCCCGTCATTATGAATTACAGGGCATTTTTTTTAATGGTTGTATTAAATACTTGTCTTTTTTGACAGTTCCTCCCAAGTGGTCAAAAATTCCGAGCGATGCTATCGTTTCTTTGGGAGAATCTCTTAAGATGGAATGTGAGGCGACAGGTTCTCCCTTGCCTCAAGTGGAGTGGAGAAAATACACAGGTATGCATCAAATCTATTTTATTTTCAGTTATTAGTTTAATTCAGTGATCGTGTGATTGTTATATGACATTTTGCAGTTTTTTGCAATACGTATATAGTGATTATCAGCCTTTTTTTTTGTTGCTGCACACTTTTAACGATTTCGATATTTGACGGTACACAAAGAACTAAAATAAGTTTAAAAGCTTTTTATTTACCTATAATGCACTGTGTAAAATAATTTGCGATAATTGTTTTGAATACAAAATAAAATATGTACTACAAAAACACGTTTATTAATGAATTTGCTCTTCCAGCTTGTGTAGTTCTAATTTCGCCTTCATTCTCTCCCATCCCATAATAGTTTTTTTTCTTTCTTTTTTTAGTTATTAACTGTTATTTCTTTTTTTGCTAATTATTAATTGTTAGCTTGCTTCTTGTAGTTATTAATTGCTAGTTTTTTTAAACATTATTTGTTTGTTTGTTTGTTTTTGTGATTCCTTGATAACTCTTTCTTTTTTTTTTCTTTTCTTTTTTTTTTTNTTTTTTTTTTTTTTTTTTTTTTTTTTTTTTTTTTTTTTTTTTTTTTTTTGCTAATTATTAATTGTTAGCTTTTTTGTAACTAACCTTTACTAATTTGTTTCTATAACTATTAATTGCGTAGCTTATTTCAATTGTTAACTTTTATTTCCTTTTGTTTGTAACTATTTACCTTGTTTTCTTTTTAAATTACAAATTTTAAGTCATTAAATTTCTTACTTAATTTAAGATTGTCAGAGACAGGACTATCGCCGACAAAGATATCCATGCCGTTAAAGCGTGGAAAAATCATGAAAAGTATATATTAAAAATAATATTATTCAAAATAGGAGTAGCATGTAATTTGGAAAATACTAAAGTCAGAAAAATAATTTTGGACCTCTTTATGTTTTTGTTTTCATGGGCTATTTAAGGCAAGGGGTGCAATTGTTCCTGTTTTACAATAGCGCTATCCATGGTCAAGAATTAGACTTCTGCCACACCCATACGTCACACCCATTTTTAGGGTGGATCTAGTCATACATTCATTCATCCACCGATCTGAACCAGAAAATAATCAATCTATAATTCAGCACCTCCTGAGCTGTAATTTGTTATAAGAACATGGTAGACTTTGTGGCTTGAGAGATTCAACGTGCACCAAGTCACCGTTTACTTCACAGTGAGTTATCGACCGGCTGAATTCAAACTCCCGTTTTCACGAAGTCCAGCACCCTGCGAATCAGGCTATCCTGGTCACCTCCTTGTGTTAATTTCCCTTATTACGCAATTCGCCTTGTCCCTTGAATACGTTAAGTGAATCACAAACTTTCTGCATACAATTGTAACATTTATTCGTCCAAAGGTGCTAAGTTATTTTTTATTTCTCAATTTTTACAAAGCCAAATTAATTGCAGTGCACAAATTTTTGAAATATTTTAATCTACATAACTTTAAGTAACAGAATCCAAAATGTGAAGGGTATCGGTCGAATAGTTTTTGAGTGATGAAATGTTAAAAATGCGACCCTATTGAGATGACGAAATAAGTAAGAAGCGAAATCAACACTTAGAGTGGCCCGAGAAACCAATTGTATTTTCCAGACTGCGGACGTATTTTGTTCAAGAATTCAAATTCCATGGAAAGAAAAAAAGTACGTTCATTCAGAGAAAATACGTTGTAGTGTAAGTCGAGGTCTTTGTTCAATTAATCTCGTTAAAATCTGACCATTAGATTTAAAGTAATTAAGGTATTCTCGTTTTTATTATACTCATTTCTTCGATTTAATTTTATCTCATAAACTTTATAACTTTATAATAAAGTTTATATAACTTTAAACGCAATTTGTTGGTATGGTTATATGATTTCTCTGTTACTGGCCAGTATATTATACATTGATTAGTTAAAAAATAATTGNATATATATACTTTCATTTAACCTTTAATCGTAATAAAAAAGCATCATAATTTTCACTATATCATTTCTAGAATTTGGCGACACACAAAAGTGGCACTGCACAGTGGTTGGGATTTCTCTGGGTTGAATCATGCTTGACATGCTTCTGGGACGGTACTAACTTCTGATGAAACCCTACTTGTAAAGTATTTAAAATAAAATAAAAAAGGAACACCTTAATAATTTTTTATCTAATTGTCAGATTTTAACAAGCTGATGTGTGATCTCGACTAGACGAGGGCATAACTTTAACTGTGATATTTTAAATTACGAAATCAGACATAAAAACGTACTTTCTTTAACGTACTCTGTTCTTTTTCTTTTATTTATTTATTTTTTTTCTGTTGATGGATTTTAAATTTCAAACATCAAAATAAGAGGGGTCGTGCGTAATTTGGAAAATGGAGTTCCAATACTACAGCCAGAAAAAAGTTTCCAGTGGCGCTATCTAAGGCCAAGAATTCGACTTCTGCCAAACCCATTCGTCACACCAGCTTAAAAGGCGGATCCATACATCCATTAGTCCACAGATCCTAATTTGGACCTCAACCAGAAAATGATCAATCTCCAATTTAGTACCCCCAGAGGTGTAATTTGTTATAAGAACATGGTGGACTTTGTGACCCGACAGATTTAACGTGCACCAAGTCACCGTTTACTACACGGAGTCTTCGACCGGCTGAATTCGAACTCCCGTTCTCACGAACGCCTTGCTATCCCAGCCACCTCGTTATGTTAAAATCCCGTTCTGCGTAATTCACTACGTCCTTGAATGCGTTAAGTAAATCACAAACTTTGTGCGTACAATTGTAAAATTTGTTCATCCAAAGGTGCAAAAAGTTATTTTTTACTAAATTTTTATACAGCGAAAATAATTGCGGTACGCAAATAAATTTTTGAGCTATTTTGATCTACGTAACTTTAAATGACAGAATCTAAAATGCGAAAGGCATCGGTCGAATAGTTCTTGAGTGATAAAATGTTAAAAATACGGCCTCATTGAGATGGCGAAATAAGAAGTGAAGTCAGCTCTTAGAGGGGACCGGGAAAGCAATTTCTTTTTCCAAACTGTGGACGTATTTTGAATTCAAATTCACTGGGGGAAAAAATTTATGTTCGTTCAGAGAAAGTACGTTGTTGCGTTAGTCGTATGTACTAACTAATAAACATATTTGATATTAGGTCTTTGACCAATTAAGATCATTAAAATCTGACCATTAGATTAAAAGTAATTAAGGTATTCTGGTTTTTATTTCTATTATACTAATTTTTTCTCCTTTATTTTATCCTAAAAACTTTAAACGTAATTTGGTCGTATAGTTATATGGTTTCTCTATTACTGGCCAGTATATTATGAATTGATTGGTTAAAAAGTAATTTTAATTTTTTATTGTGGCTAAGTGTATGTATATATATATATATATATATATATATATATATGTGTGTGTGTGTGTTTATATATAAAATAATCACTTAGAATCTACTTTTTATCTCTTATGCTTTTCATTCTGTTTTTATTCTGTAGGCAAAGACCTAACATCGACTGTCTTGTCAAGTATCAAAGATGTATTACATTTACAACATGTATCCTATGAAGATGCGGGATTGTACGAATGTATAGCTTTTAATAATGTAGAATATAATATTAGCACTAATTTTTCCATCATTTTACGCGGTATGTTGCTTTTCCTATCTATCTATATAAGTTGTATTCATAATCAAATCATTGTATTTCATGTTAATTTTCACTAAACGGTTAATTATATTAACGTGATTAGCACAGAGGCGTATACATATGTAATTAATTTACTCTTTAAGAAAAATAACCTAATTTCTCATGGGATTCTTTCAATCATTGCAGTAATCAAAATGTTTCATATTTTTGCCATTGTGTGGCGCTGCAATACCTTCATCCGTGCATCAACAAGCCATGTTGGAAAGAACGCTGCCTACTTTAACGATATTACAAATGATGTTTTGAACTCACAATTATTACAAACCGAGATTTAAATTACGTAAGAATGAAAGTTTCTGCTTTCGTGTGGTTACTCGCAATCAGCTGTTCAACTTATACGAAAGCGGAAGGTAAGTTCCATTATTATACCAAATTTCTAAAATTGTAACACAAATATTATTATATGAGAAAGAAAGTGTATTTAAAATATGTTCAATCCTTTATTATCTTGTTACTTTTTCATAAATAGTACTCCATATAATCTACACTTTTTTTGAAAATGCCACTTGTATTCAAATATTTGTATTTATTTATTCTGATAATGTATTAGAAATATATACAAAGAATGCTTTAAACAAATTGTAACCTTTTCATAACTTATTTTTAAAATGTCATTATTCATAGTATTTTCAATAACATTAAATGATTGCTGTCTTAATAAACTACGACTTTACAAGATTCACATGAGCACGTTTCTAAGAAAGAAACCTTTATTCCCATATTTTCGTTATAAATAGTAATAGTTGTAAGTTGTAAATTTGTAGTAATGGCTTAAAATCATACATTTCAGTCAGTTTTACCAGACGTTATAAATAGCAATTGCTTTAAACTACACATTTCAGACTAAATTGTGCCTCAGTTGTAACAAATATTAATAAATGAAAAATCATACATTTCATTGAGAATTGAACCGCTTTTTATTTATAGTAATTGCTTAAAATGGTACATTTGATTCAGAATTGTATCCGTTGTTATCATTAATAGTTGGTGAAAACTACTCTTTTTCTATTTAAATTCTGCCCCAGTTATTACAAATAGTAATTGAAATATCATACATTTCATTGAGAATTTAGGCGTAGGTGTTATAAATTGTAATTGTTGAAAACATCGTCGATTTCAGTGGGAATTAAGCCTTAGTTGTAATAAATAATAATTTATTTAATTTATAAAATTGTGCCCTAGTTGTAATAAATAGTAATAGTTGAAAAATCATAAATTTCAGTCAGAATTGAACCCTACTTGTTATAAATAGTAATTGCTTAAAATCATACATTTTAGTCATAGTTTTACCAGCTGTTATAAATGTAAATTGTTGAAAATTATTCAATTCTGTTTAAATTGTGCCCCAGTTGTTATAAATGGTTATAACTGAAATATCTAGTTCATTAAATAGTAATAGTTGAAAACATCGTCCATTTCAGTGAGAATCGAGCCCTTTCACTTCATGCGGAGGTACAGAGTGGGCGAGAAGGCCCAAACGTCGTGTTTTGTTTCAACTGTTGCCGATGACCATGTGATACAATTCCGTTGGATGAAAGATGGCGTGGTCATCGCATCAGAAACATTATCAGGAGTGCGATTAAAAAGCAGTAATGACTACTCTATTCTGATCATCAATCCCGTCACTCCGCATCACTCAGGAAATTACACTTGTACTGTGTCTGACGGAAGCAGTGAGGACAGCTACACGGCACAGCTCAACATCGAAGGTGAGTCTTCTTTGCTTTTATCAATTTCTAACACAAGAATATAAATTGGCATACGGTAACATACTAAACAAAATTATGTTAAATATATTCGAAAATGTGACATTAAAAAAGGAATATCAAAATTTAAGCAGAACTTGGGAGAGCACTAAAGCAGCATAAGCCCAAAATTTGTCTTCATAATATATTTTATAACCGTCGTTGAACAACCGACCCAATTTACGCTTTACGGCTACTAATGTTGAATTCCGTAAGCTTGTCATTTTGAACCCAATCCACAAGACAAGGGAACTCCTGGATTAAGTATAGGGAGACACTTGCCTTCGTGGAGGACTTTTTAATTGAACTAACCCGCAATTGCGTTACATGGAGAGGAAAACCACTAAAACCTTCCAAGGTTGACCTGACTGCAAGGGGACTCGAACCCATGATCCGTCAACCACTGAGAATATTTTACGTCAACATTGTGGTCGGTGCGAGCAGGGTGCGGAATTCGTATCAATCAGCCATAGCTGGTATTCGAACCCGGTTCACCTCATTGGAAGGCAAACGCTCTATTCCCTGACCCACCAGTACTTGACATAGGAACATAAATTGGCATACAGTAACATACTGCAGCCGAACCTCGTTAACGCGAAACCGCCAGGACTGAAATAATTATTATTTCATGTTAACCGAATTTCATCACGAAAACAATTTATTACGTATTTATAATAGATGTTATGTACTATTTTTATGTAAGGAAACAATACTATTATGAACCAAAAAAATTAAAATAAGCTTTAAAGTTTTAGCTACTTAATTAAACTATTTTATTTTAACTATTTTGTTTATTTGCCCATCTGCTACTTCTAACAAAGGAAAACACACTAGAAACCTTTCATGCTAAGTTAAAGTCAGCTTTAAAATTTTATGTTAAACATTGTAAAATACAACAATAATTGATTGCTGACTCACGAGACCAAACATGTGTTTCGCATTAAGCGGTATTTTTTAAATACATAATACGTACATAATTATCTGTTAAATACATTCGAAAATGTTGCATTAAAAAAGGAATAACAAGATCTAACTAAAGCTTGTTAGAGTACTAAAGCAGAATAGGTCCAAAATTTGTCTTTAAATATATAGATAAAAATTAGAGAATTAAACTTAAATTGAAATAGAAAAATAAAAGAAACACGAATTCAATACAGGACTTTATCTGGGGAGGCCATGTATGTGGGAACTTTTTTGTAAATACCTTCTGTAATAAATAAATGAAAAAAGCGTGTTATTGGTGCCCGAAAGCCTCATTTAGAAAATACATAAAATTAGAAGAAAGTAGTATTCAATACTTGAAAGGCAAAACAATTTGTAACACGCAAAAATCTTATGATATTTTCATTGTTTTGTTGTAGAAATCTTACTGCATCTATAATTCATTCATGTTTCTTTTATTTCTCTAATTTTCATAAATTTACAAATTGGCATGTTATTTTATATTCGTTTGTAACTGATGAATGTTAAAAGTGGTTTAAAAATGAATTGTTTGTATGAGTTGTTAAATTAAAAAGATGATTATATCAAATGTAATATGCTTTGTCTTTAATATTAGTGTTAAATGTTTTTAATATATAAAAGTAGATTTCTATTTTGATGATTGTTTCTTTTTCATTCATATTAACGTATGAATATAAAGTATTAATTTTAAATGCGTAAGCATTTTTTGTTTAATATGTATTTTGATTTTCAAAGCTTTATAAATTACTTTGTTAAATAATACGAATAATTTTAAATTGTTTAGCATTTTTACTGTCGCAAACAAATATTTAAAAACTATAACATTAAGAGAAATAACTCATTCACTCATTAGTTTGATTGAGATTAAAATTAGAAAGTAGATTAAAAAGCAGAATTGAATTTTTTTCAATGAAATTATAATTAATTGAATTTTGATTTTGTTAATTTTTTGAGAGTTAGCATTTGTATTAGTTTTTTTATCGTATTTAATGTTTATTATTATTATCATTATTATTTTGCATTAGTTAACAGTTCACATCAAATATTTATTATTGAATAAAATCGTACTAAATCTCAGACATATTTATCCAAACCACAAGAGTCATGAAGACAAAAATAATTTAAATAAAAATAACAGTTTAAATAAAAATAATATAAATCTTTATAGTAACACATTTTTTGCTGAAACTATTTAAAAAAGGTTTTCCGATTCATTTCTCTTTAGTAAGTTTTACAAAATATGTTACGTTTGCAAATAAACTTTTACTGCATCTTGTCTGTCATATTCGAATACTAAAATATGATTCAATCATTTTGTAACCACTAAACATCGAACATTATTTCATGTTAAAGTTAAAAGGAATGAAAATACATGTTTTAATTTTATTTTACTTTTTAGCTCCCCCCGAGTGGCTGGAAGAATCAAAAAATGTAACTGCAACTCTCGGATCTACTGTAACCGTACAGTGTCTGTCGACCGGGCATCCAGTACCTCTTATAAAACTGTACAAATATTCAGGTTTAAGGAATAAAACTCCAGTTTTATTGTTTTTATTTTCTGCAAATTAACCAAGTGGGCTGATTTTATTTCTTCTTGTATGTGTTGTGTAGGGTCTGGTTCAAAAAAAGAATTATTCGAATCCGTCAATGGTACTTTTGTGCTCATACTGAGTGACCCAGACTACGAAGGTGTATACAGCTGTGAAGCAAATAATGGTATCGAAAATACTATTCGAAAAGATTTCGCAATAAATATTGAAGGTGAGTATAAGTCAACGAACCTGCGAACTGCCTTTAGTATAAATTGTGTCAAATGACACAAATTATTACATTATGTATGTGTTTCGTCAACATTTTACCTTTTTATAAATGTGTTTTTTTTTCATTCCGATTAAATTGCTCGTGTATCTCATGTATTTGAATGTAATGATACATTTGTAAAATTTTGTGTTAGTTTCTACTTTGAAACCTTGCCAATATGTGGCGCTGTACGTTCTGTCCATCGAAAATAAATGACGCCATATTCTGTCTGAGATGCATTCGAGGAACAGCTCAACCTCACTCTTCTTGTATTAAACTGTAATGCCGTCGTTGTTTCCTTTCAATTAGAATGTTCTCCATGTCCGAAAGACACCATGGTTTCACTCTTATAGAAAAGTTATTTGTCCTTCTACTGATGACAGCAATGCATATAAAATCTGAGGGTAAGCATTATTTATTTGTAGACTTTCCTATTTTATCATTTTAATGCGCTCGATCCAATTAAAATATAATATGATTGGCCTGTTATTCTGTGTGTTCGAATTTTAAAAATATTTATGTTAGCATGCATTGATTATTGTAGCAATTTCTCTGAATGTTTTTAATTACAATGTTTGAAAATACTTAATGATTTATGTATATTGTATAAATGCTTATTTGTGGGTCGCAATTGTTGAATAAATTATATAAATGAATCGAAAGAATCCGGTGAGAAAAAGTTCAGAAAATATAAAAATCTGTTGTATTTTTATAGAAACGCAATTATCAACTACGAATGTGTTGACCCTGATAAATTTGACTATTATTCCATAATTTTAAATGCTAGCTGAAACAAATGTCCCTAATAAGAAATATATCGAAATTTATATTCAAATTTTTAGAATAAAAACTCCTCTTCCAGCGAAAAGCTGCTTTATCATCTAAAAATTATGAAATAAATTCATTTATCTTTTTTAAATTTTTAAAAAAAAAAATTCTAAAGCGCTTCACCAAATGTATAATTTAAAAAAATATAAGACATTAAGATAACATGATCTGAATGAAATGAATTATTAATGTGTGATAATTATAAGTTTAAGACGTTAAAAAATGTATATTGATTTGAAACTATACTTAATCGCTAAAAAAATTCTTTAAAGTCTAATTCATGTAATTAAAATGCAATCTAAAGTTCTGTAGCTTATTATTACAGTCAATGCAAAATTTATGCGTAAATGCAGCTTCGTTTAAATTTTAATATTGATAATAGGTAGCGAAATAATAAAACAAAACTTAAAAATGTGTGTTCTTTAACAAATTTTTCGATTTTTTTTCAATTTTAGTTTTCACGTTCTCTTTCTTACTCATAAATAAATAGAAAATTTTAAAAACATTATTTTTTATAATTTATTGCATAAATCACAACTGTTTCAAAAATCATTTCGGAATATTGAAAATGTTTATTCTACTCTACTCTTTAAGAAAAGAAGTTAAGCATCATTAAAAAAAAATTCACGAAAATCATTTGAATGTGTATAAATTTGAATTTATTTGTTAAAAATATTCTTTAGAAAGAATGTATCTTAAGAACTCAAACAAATAGACGATTCATAAACTACAAATTATAGTTTATGTATCGATTTATATGCCAATTGCATAAAATTTATCATTTTAATGATGTATCTGCAGAAAATTGTATTTAATAAAGTTATTAATACTCCAAAATTATATATTACTCTTTGAATACTATAACACTGCCGTAATTTTTTCTTATTTTTTCATTTAATTTACTTCTTATATCATGCTTTTCTCATTCCTCCTGCATCTTAAGCTGACGTTAGTAAGGCAATCTGAAAGTTCCAAATAAATATACAATCGTGCAAGCATTCTTGTAAACTTTTTAAAAAAAATTTAAGAAAAGAACATTATTGGAAGGAAGGATGAATCTATAAGGATATCTTAGAGAAATTAGATTTCATCAGAAATCACTAAATATTGAGTAAAATTTTGTTTAATATGACATTTGAGATGTCGTCTTGATCAGAATTTTCGATAGTTAAAATGCACAGAATGTTATACTCCAAATATATAATGAAAGTAACACAATAAACTTAACCATTTATGACTCTTAAAACCCACTGTAGGATGAAGGGCGAACGGTTTTTAAATCAAAAATACTCCATGATATCTCAGATTGAGCATCTCAATATTTAGTAATTACCACTAAAAACTTAATTTCTAAACCCATGGACTATGCCTTAGATTTAAAAGCTTTTCATAGATTTATAGTTTTGTGATTTAGTCGCATTGTTAGTGCTTAATCAAATATTTTAAGATTTTTTAATGATGTATATTACAGTTCAGAGACATTTTATGTCTCAAACCTAAATGTTTAAAAATTTTCTTAATGAAATTTTCGTAAAAAAAATATTGCTTTATTTTTTTCTTAATTTAATCATCTTAAGTTGAACTTGGTAAAGCAACTTGAAACTTTTAAATAAACATACAATCTTGAAAACATTCTTGTAAACTTTAAAGATTGAAAAAAGAGGCTATAAACAGAAGTTGAGAATAATCAAATGAAGACGGTCATATCTTAAGAAAATCTTTTGTTAGATAAAACTAGATTCGGTGAAATTTAGTTTAATGTCTTATTTAAAACTTTGTCCTGATAGTTTTGTTAGTTAAAATGCACCGAAAGCTATGCTCCAAATATATTATGAAACGAGCATAATAAACTCCATTTAACAATTCATATTTAACAATTAATATTTAACAATTAACATAAGACCTACTGTAGAAGAGGATCACTCGGTTTTTAAATCAAGAGTAATATAAAACAGATAGAGCATCTCTATATTTAGTACATTCCATAAATTTAATTTCTATACTCGTATGTGGGGCATTTCTTAGATTCTTGGATTTATAACTTTAGATTTTCTTAGGCTGATAAATTTTGTGATATGAGTAACACTGTGTTCGAAAAAATATTTCACGTATTTTTTTTTAATTGAAGCACATTTCATGATACCACAGTTCTGAGACCTTTTATGATGTTCAAGAAATTAATTTTTTCTTTATTTCCATAAAAAAATATTTCTTTTAAGGTGTTCCCAGAATTCAACCCTTTCAATTTCCAACGCATGTCAAGGCCGGTAGGAAGATAACCATTACTTGTTCTTTAGAACTGACGTCTGGTACTCCTGATTCCTTTCGATGGCTCAAGAATGGTCAAGAAATTCGAAACTCTGCTGAACTGAAAATAAGGAATGACGCCGAATTTTCAGTTCTGATTTTTGAGCCCGTAAGTGACAACAGCACCGGAAATTATTCCTGCATAGCTCGTAATAATTATGGAGAAGACAGTCACACCGCTTTCCTCCAAGTAGAAGGTAAAAGCAGTTTTTTCTTTTAAATTGCGACTATAAATTTTGAGATAATCTAATTAACTCCTGAAATTTTTTGTGTGAATTACATTTAATATGTTTCGAATTAATTTCCAACCTTTATAGTGAGCCGTGATGGCTCAGGGGATAGAGCGTTCGCCGTCAAATGAGGTCAACCGGGTTCAAGGATACGAATTCAGCATCCGGCTTGCACCAATCACAATACTGACTTAAAATATCCTCAGTGGTAGACGGATCATGAGTTAAAGTTCCCAAAATTGGATCAGCTGTACAATGACGGGTATAAAATAAAACAAAACCTTTTATAATAGTTCCGCAGTAGACTGATCATAAATACACGGTTCCGAGCAGATCACCGAAGTCAAGCATCACTGGCTGCGATCAGTGTGCGGGTGGGTGACCACTTTGATCAGCCGGTGTAGGGACCGAGGGTGCTCAGCATGGGTCCTCGTTAAACTGTTCTACCGTAAGGTGCTCGATTTCGCACTCAGGTCATCGGACTATTAAAGCAGGGGAGCCATCCCCTCTGCAGAGGATCGAAATTGCGATGGCCCGTCTTCGGATCATCCTCAGGGATGTTTCCCAAACCGTCACCAATAGCCCACTTTGCAGTTCTAGTGCGACATAAACAAAATACCTACCTACCTTTTATAATACACTTCTGTTCTCGGCTGAAGATAAGTTTTTTTTCTAATCTTTTCATTTTCAAAATGTGTTCAGTGTTTAACAATTTTTTTACTCTCAGAAACAAAAAACAATATCTTGAGATGTGTTATTTCATTATACTTATTCATCGAACAAATCTCCACAACCTCCGAGACGAAAAAAAATTGCATAAGAATCAAGGTTAAAGTATGTCAAAAACATCAAGAAAACCTCGAATTGAAGGATAATTTTAAACATCCTGAAGGATAATTTTAAAATTCATTTCTGTGACTTTGAGAGGACGCTATACAGAGAGAGAAACCCTTAAAGACTAATTTTATTCTACATCCATTGGTATATTGAAATTTTAAAAAAAATTGAATTCCGGTAGACCATGAAGTTTCAAGAGCAATAAATCTCAAAGTGCGAGCAAATTATGGCAGGATTATAGTTTGTCTAAAGTAAGAACTCCCCTGGCCATTCGTTTATCTGGACCCATGGCAGTGACTATGGTAACGAGGTATAACTATTTCAAATAGGGGGGTGGGGTCACCGTTTAGGACAGATGTTGGCTCGGGTCGGCGAGAGAAGGGGAATCTTTTTCTTCGGTGTCATCCCTAGAGTGAATAGAAGCTATCCTCCCTGAAATGAGCTATTCTTGTTTACATAGCAACAGACGGCCTCTGACTTTGTGGCGAAGTTTTACCATAGACAAACTATAGTTAGGATTCCGCAGTGGGGAAATTATCCTGCCATAGTTTGTTTGTCTGTATTTTAAAAACATATCTTTCAGCGTTTAAAACTTCTTCGCTTACTCTATGTTTACCTGCACTTAATTTTCTTTTCTAATTTAAAAAATACCCATATAGGTGAAATAGAATTTGCCATGTAAAGTTTCTCTCGTGGTATAACGTCCTTTAATAGCTGAGTACAGAATTGCTCTCGAAACATATTAGATGGGTAAACTATGATCCTTAAGTCAAGCTAATATCTTCATCAAATGTTCTCTCTTTGCCATCAGGTCCCCCTAAATGGTTGCAAAAACCCCTGAATGTGACAACTCGTGTGGGTGAGAGAGTTATTCTGGGATGTGAAGCATCTGGGCATCCCAAGCCACGCATCACTTGGACAAAATGTAAGTCTTCAAAAATGCCTTATTATGCATAGTTTAAAGATGCTTTATTTTACGTGCATTGAGTTTTGGGGGTAATAAAAATGTGTTTAAGTTTGTTAAATTTTTGCGTATCCTTACAATGCTTTATTCTAAGTATTTTAAGTATCTTAGTTCGATTTTAAACAGTATGACAAGATATAGGGGAGCATACCCGGGGACCCTGTTGACTATTAAGACGGCCCTGGTGGGAAGGGGAAATTCCCATTTTGCTGAAAGAAATTTCGAAAACTTGACCAAATCAATATGTGTGTAATTCATTAGCTTCTTTCGTTGTTACTATTTTTATAGTACGTTACTTTTTTCACCTCTGTATTACTGATTTTTGCCCTTGAGAGGGCTTAGTCATAAATGTAGACAAAGCAAAATACATGCTATTCTCAAGAAACAAGAGTCCCAGACCCCTCTCTTGAAACAGATTCTTATAGATTTGAAACCGTAAGGATCAGTTATTACTATTGACAACAGAATGACTCCTGAAATTAAAAAAGACCGACTCTATCTGGCAAATAGGGCTGAGAAGATTTATTAAATCTAGGTTTCTTTCTAGAAAAGCAAAGTTCTTTACGTGCAAAACTCTTGTCTGGCCGGTCTTAACATACGCTTCTGAAGCTTGGACAATGACAAAACCGGAAGAAAATTATATCGCAATACTTGAGAGAAAGATTTTGCGAAGGTGGTGCAGATGAAAACAATAACTGGAGAAGGATATTTAATTTTTAACTGTTCAAGATCTATAAACATCCCAATATTAAATACATAAAAATAAATAGAATGAATTGGATGACCCACGTGATTCAAATGAGTGATGACAATACAATGAAAAAGATACTGCTTTTTAAACCCACTGGAACAAGAAAGCGGGGAAGGCGACGTACGCGAAGGGCTGACTTGGTGGCGCCTGATTTTCTTTTAATTAATGAAAAGAACAGGAGATCAAAGATAAATCGGAAGTTTTTATGAAGAAATCTTGAGAGGAAGGCGTTGACCCACATTGAACTTTCAGGCCAACTATGAAGATATTACTGATTTAATGACTTTATACATAATTATTCTAGTCAATGAGCAACGACTGGACATTGGCTAATGCTATTGGGATGAATTGGGGTTCGACCCTCAATGAACCCTACCCACCTTCAGATCAATGGGTGTATTTTTGTCTGGGAAATAAAGGCTGCCCAGTTCAGTCTTTAAGCAAGAGCACACCGATCGGGTCCTAGGGGCCCCGGTACTCTAGGGCCGCTTTGGAATCTTGATAAATTGTATTAAAAAAGAAACTAAGGATAGACATTGCCTTATATATCTAATAAATATATATATTCCATAATATAAAATGTGCGATTCGTTTTTTTTTTCTTCAAAATAGTGATTGATTATCATTACACGATCAATAATTTGAATGGTTTATCACCAGGAAAACTAAAGAAAGGCACCAGAAATCTATTTTTCTATTTAGCTATGAGGTGTTCAGGTACTCGACTCTAACTTCAAATATTAACATATAATTGTGTTCTTGAAAAATATCTATGTAAAATAAATTAATGTGAGCAAGTTTTATGCTAAGTCATAATATGTCTAAAAATTTCTTGACCACCACCAACTCTGTTTAGTATTTAAATTTTGTCAAATAAAGTAATAATTGAAAGAGTTTAGAATTACACAGAAATATGGGCGAGCAACTTTTATATTGGTTATGTCTGATGGGTATTGAAAGGATGTTTTAATAACTAACTTTAATTTGACGAAATAATTCATACCTTTCCGATTTTTAATACTGCCTAGACCAGTGGTGGGGAAACTTTTTTTAAGACGGGCCATTTGTAATAACTAGACAATCGTAGCGGGCCAAAGAATAATGCTTAATCGTTAAAAAATTTATGTGTTCTATAAACATATACAAGAACGCGTTCAAGCATTCTCACGACGGCACTCTTAAACGGGCCGTATTAAACCTTTCCGCGGGCCGGACTTGGCCCGCGGGCCGTAGTTTCCCCATCACTGGCCTAGACAGTTACAGAACCTGTGGAAAATAGCCTAAAATTCATAAAACGAGGAAATGAATGTTTAATATGTTCTAACTCGTCGAGGAGCAGGAAATTTTCTTAGAAATAAAACAATATTGTTGTCGAAATTATTTAGTTTGGCTCTAGTAACACAATTTATTTAAATAAATTTTTATGTTAGCGTAGAAAATCACCACCCTTCAAGAAGTTATAAGATTATATTCATAATTATTACTTTTTTTTCTTTTTTGTTTAGATGTGTCTGAAGATGTGAAGGAGTCGGTGGACACATCGATGTGGAATGAGAGCGTCTTACACATCCCCTCAATCGGAGTCGAACATATCGGACATTATGAGTGTCAGGCTGATAATCAAATATTAAAACTAATCGAAAATATTCATATTAAGGTCATTGGTAAGAAGATCAGGACGTTCTACCTTTTTGGATATTTTTTATTACAAATTATCTCACAATATGATAAGTCATTGCGCAATATCTCTTAACATTGTTGCAACTTGAATATTTTAAATTTTGTGCTTTCGTGATATGTCAAATAGTTCTTTATTTTGTCAATATGTGGCGCTCATTTACCGTAACACATTGAGTGGCAACGCTTAGGGGTAGCTCTCTCGACAAATGCTTTCATTATATGAGAGTATGCATTTGTAAGCAAAAATACTGTCGGAGTCTACGAAACTCGAAATTCATCGAATAACATAACATATTTTTTTGTTTGCCTAAATATGTAAAGAAAGAAGCTTAAGAGAGAGATCTACACGATGCTAGCTGATGATGTACTCCGACGACGAAGTCTTTCGAAAACATATATTTCGATTTTATTGTCTTGTTCGATGATTTTCTCAATGCAAGGTAAGTCTAATTTCATTTGATCATTATTGAATGATAAAAAGTGTTTGTGATTTGCAGATGTTATTTCTCTTTATATCATGATATGCATATTGTCAAAAGCATATCACGATTTATAGAGAAATAACAGATTCTTTTCGCTAAGTGTCTTTTTTTTATTATTATTAATTTGTAATGTAGTGTAAGTTAGCGTAGGTAGTGGTAATAATTTTTAAAAATATCTTAAATTATGACTTAAAGTTATTATGAATAAATGTTATTGTGAAATTCAATTTATCTGATTTCAATTTCAATTAAGAATTATTGTTCCATTTTTTTGGAAGTTACCATGAATAAATGTAGTTGAGAACTTCAATTCATCTGATTATAATTCCAGTTAAGATTTATTATTCCATTTTTTAGAAGAATAAGTTACTTAATTTTTTATTTAGCTTCATCTGTGGTAATCCAGAAGTTTCATTTTGAAGAAGGTATTCAGGTTGGGGATAAGACGTCAGTACTCTGTACAGCCAAATCGAGTTCAAATATAATATCTTATTCGTGGCAGAAAGATGGAGAGCCGCTCTCTGAAAATGAAGAGTTTAAATTCAGAATAGACGAAGAATTTTCAGTTCTGACTATAAAAAGCGTGAAGACAAATCACTCCGGCAATTACACTTGCATCGCAACCAACCAACAACAGCACTTTGATAGATACACAGCAGAGTTGATAGTAAAAGGTATTTTTTTTTAATTTATTTAACTATCTTTTGTCATCCAAGTTTACATTTATATGAAATCCGCATTTTTTTCTTTTGATTTAGAGTGAGCAATAATGTTTTTATAAGCTGGATTTTTATCTCAAAATCAAATATAGCTGTAACAAATCGAACTATATTAAAGAAAGTTCTTTTTTTATTTTATTTAAAAACACATTTATTTGACAAACTTATGAACCTTAAATTCAAAACAGAAACCATTCTCATCATAAACAAAAATCAACTCTCTGATATTCCATAAATTGACTCATGCTTTTATTTTTAATTTATCTCTTTATATGTTTTGTTTTTATTCATGCTTTTGTTAGCCAAGTATTTTCAAGACTTTATAACTCAAAATTAAAATAATATGCAACATACTAACTAAAAACTCATAATTAAATATAACTATTTATTAATTCATGAGAACAAATAAAAAATATTATTCTGCTACTAAATATAACTTGTTACTGCTTAATTTACTTTAAAAACAATATGATAATACTGAATAATTTTAATAGCGTAATATATTATTTTATTATTATAATTTACATGCAAACAAGAGATTGTCTGAATGTTGTAACAATATATATTAATATGTATAGCTCATGTTAAAAGTTATAAAATACAATCTTAAAAACTGTATTGAAGTTTAACTTACTTCTTAAATGTATTTTACTAATATTTTCAGTCTATATTTTTTCTATGATACTTTTAACACAGTTATAATTTTTTGTAATTTATTTATAGTTATATATTTAGCATTAAAATAGGGACAAAACCAAAAATTCGAATATTAAAAATATTTTTTGTGTATGAAAATTGCAAGCAAGAATCTTGGGTAACAATTTCTTAATCTTTCTTAAAAGAGCTTGTTGAAGAACAATTTTACTGTATTTTTTTTCTTTGTAAAAATACAAAAACTCTTACAATTAATATACTTTAAACATTGCTTTCATGTTTGAAAATAACTATAACTTGCTTACATAATGTTATAATTGTTTAAAAAAAATTACAAATTCAATGGTTGACTGTATATTTCTGTAAAATATTTTTTACTACTTCATTTTCTACTTTTTATGACTATAAAACAAATGCTATTCCTGAAAACTTTTTCTTTATTTACTTATTTTTGAAAATAAAAAACTGTTTGTGAGACCATGAGAAAAAATTATATTGAACGCTAGATTGGAGAAATAGCAGATGTCTAACTATTTAAAAACAAAACTGCAAAAAATTAGTGGAAAGAAACCATGACTATAATAAGTTTAAACAAATGATATCATAATAATGGTTATATATAAATAATTTTAAATTAAATAAACTGCTCATAACGTATAAATGAAATCACTAAGAATGTTATGAACTTATTAATAACTTTTTTTATTCTTTTTAATTAATCATGAAGCAAGTTACTGCGAAATATGGCTTTATATCACATTGCATTTTTCCTATTTCATACTAATACCATAACAGGTATAGAAAAAATCTAACAAACATAAAAGAAAATTATAGATTGAAGAGTAAAAATGTGTCTTTAAAAAACGAAAAATAAACGATGTTCCATTTTATGTTTTTTAAAACAAATATATTCTCAAGCAAAAAGTGTGCAAATAGTTTTCTACAAAATAATTTATTATCATGCAAACATCAATGACTTGGATAGTTTATCACCAGAAAAACTTAAACTCACTCAACGTACTCAAATCTCTAAGTCATAATTTCTCTAAATAGGCTTGACCACCACCATTTCTTTTTAGTATTTATAATTAGTTGAATAAACTAATAATTGAAAGAGTTTAAAATTACGTATGGGGAGAGCAACTTTTATATTGGTAATGTCTGATGTGCATTGAAAGATGTATTAATAACTGACTTTAATAGTTTTACAAAATAATTCATACCTTCTGAATTTTTTTATTTGTTATACCCCTGGTTTTTTAATTGTTTTCATTAGCTTCTTGATTTTTAAAATTATTTTATTATATGAGGATTGCAACTGATTAATATCTCAATTTAATTTTTTTTAAAGGAAAAAAAATATGTATAGTTTAAAATGCTTAATTTTATGTGCATTGAGTTTTTAGGGGTAATAAAAATGTGTTTAAGTTTATTGAAATTATTGCAGATCTTAACAATCTTGCATATCTTAAAATTATTGCATATCTTTATTTTATGTATGTGAAGTCTTTTTAGTTAGCTTTTTAAACAGCATGCCATAAGGACCCGAAACATGTTAGCATGTTATAGGGACCCAAAACATTTCTCTGCTATTAGGACGACCCTTTCTCTTCTGCTGATATACGTTTTTACTTCGCAGCTCCACCCAAATGGCTCATTGAACCGGAAAATGCTACAGTTTTAGTCGGCTCATCCCATTCATTTCGTTGTTCTGCTCATGGATTTCCTACTCCACAAATCATATGGTTCAAAGGTCACTGCCTTTAATTTTTTTATTCAATCTATACATCACTAATTACAATTGAAGCTGTCAATGTCCCAAGGGGGTATGTAACATTTTTACAAAAACAAGTATTTTTTTGGTTTAGGAATATCAATCACCTATTAACAAATACCGAGTAATTTTCTTGACTTCATAAAGAAGAGAAGCCAATAATTTAGAAGCAATTAAAATAATATATCTCCAATTGGCAAAGTGTTTTGCTTTTCCTCGAAAGTGCAAATATGTAACATACCCCCTTTTTACATTCACCGTTTCAATTATGATTATTAAGTAATTAAGATCTGTAGTCACCATTTAACTTGTTTTTTCCTATTATTAATACAATAATGCTATTGTTATTAGAATCTATAAAATATCCTAAAAGTAAGGAAAGGTCAAATATCTTGATAAATTTGCATCAATTCCAAAAACTTAACGAAAAAATATAAGGTTGCAAATATTTTAAAAAGATCGATTCAATAAATGCAAACTCGATCTCCAAACTACACTTACTTTGACCATTTTAAAAAATTAAGAAAATATTTATTTAAAACTGAATGTATAATAATTAGTAAAAACACGTTTCAGAAAATGAAAATTTTTACTAAATAATATGGCATGCATTATACCCATTCGAAAAAAAGAGATCATTTAGTGATGCACAGCCTGCGACCATCTGGAGCTTATAAATTAATTATTGTGAATTGTATTGTGTATAAATTATTGTGAAAAATAAAAAATAATTTTTTAAAAATGTTTTTTTAGTTTTAAATAAATTCAAATAATTAAAAGTATTTAATTTTTTGCAAAAATGTTATTAGGCTTACTGTTATTCTGCAAATATGTTATTAGGCTTACCTAAAAAGCTTGTGCACCCCTCATAAATGATATGTCTTTAATGTTAACGTATTTCAACGTTTACAAATTTTAATGTCGATGTGTTTAATTCCTCAACAGCTTAATTAATTCTAAAAAGTATATTGTAAACTTTTTTAAATTAGTTTAATTACAGGAGTAAAATTATTCTTTATTGCAGGCAGAGAAGAAGGGATGAAAGGAGAGATCCTCAATTTTGATCACATTCAGAGTTCTGATGATGGAACATATGTCTGCGAAGCAAATAACGGTGTTTCACCTCCCCTCAAGAAGTTGGTAGTATTGAGAGTGCGTGGTACGATGTCATTCATTATTATTATTCTTTAAAGACGACGATCACTGCTCTAACGGTTACTGTACTCTACTCCGGGTTGTGGGTTCGAATCCCACCGTAGGCATGGATGTCACTTTCTCTCCCTCTCTATGCTTTATGTCCTTTCATCTGTGCGTGAATGTAACCCCGCCCTGTAAACGGGTTTGTTGTTGTATGACGTGGGAGACGTTACTCCATCGCCATGGCTTAGCCGCAATTTTTCCACTGGGTAATGATAAGAGATTCTGCCATTTCTGATGCCAAAGGGAAATAAACCCAAATGCCCGACACTTAAAAAAAAATTATTCTTTTAAGCAAAATAAATATATTCTAATCAATGGTTTTTTTTTCCTTAAAAAAATATTGATGCGTATGTATAGGTCTCAATAAGTGTCATTGCATTTAAGTTGAATCTGAGAATGCTTCCTAATTGCATCTTGGAAGCTGGCAATATATTTCTGAGATTATATTGGCTTGTTCTAGATCGTATTATTTTTTTATCGCACTAGAACACGCACATCAATTCAAAATTGAAATTTTTAGAAATAATCAAAAGGTTCCTTCAACGTGTGATGTGACGAGCTCGTACTTTGAATTGAAGGAACCTTGAAAAAGAAATACAGTGATCAGATTCCTTACTCTAGGAAAGTTTTGAAGGACGGTCATTTTAAAGAAACGAAATAGTTAAATAGTTAATTTTATACATTCAATCGTATGTTTTCTTTAACACATCTGTCATATATAGAATACATCTGTCTTTAATACATCTGCCATATGCATGTTTTCTTTATACATCTGTCATATATACTAGAAGGACGGTCCGTTTAAAGTAAAAAAAATATTTTAAATATTTTTTATAAATGTAATCGTATGTTTCCTTCATACATCTGTCATATATAGAAATTTTTGTACGACGCGATATCTTGGACAGTTAAATAACACTTAACTGACTATATAAACTTTTAATGCTGTCTCATAAAATTAAATTTGAACTTTATCATGTAATATTTCTGTATTGTGGTTGCATAATCTATCAATGTTATACTAACGTGATACTGTGATGTATTAAAAAAAACGTTCATATTTTTTTACTGAACATTCGCTAAAATTGTTATTCAATTCAAACTTTGTAGAAATAGCCATTTAACTCAGCTGGACTCTCAAATTCAGCGATTTCGAATTAAAATGAGATATTTTGTATTTAAATTTTTGTTATTTAAATGCTTGTAATTATTATGCTGATGAATTTTTACTATATTATAATTTCCCGTAAAATGTGGAAGTATTGCGATTTTACAACTTTAGACTTCAATCGCCGTCACAGAGTGGCGCTACAATACAGTATATTCACCCTCTTCGGTATGCTTGATGTGTTTACTTCTTTCTCAGAACAAACATATCACTTGTCGTTACGATTTAGTGTTCCTTTTTATATCACCTTTTAATGAAACTGATTGCTGAGAAATTCTGGATATTGAGGATGCTCTGGGTATTCCTCGTGTTTGCGATGATAGCTGTTCCTGTGAACTCTTCTAGGAAATCCGAAAAAGGTGTGTGTCTTCTCCTTTTGTTATATTCATTGATTAAAAATTTATAGTTATTGAAAATATAATATATCGAACATTTTTATACAATCCCTTTGTATGTTTATTTAAAAGAATTGTGATAGTTACGTTCTTTATTAAATCGTCTGCTATCCCCTTTTATGTTTCAGATGTACCAAAAATTCCGCCGATGTCTTTTCCCCCGAATGTCCGAAGTGGATTGTCCACAAAGATCCTGTGCACCATCGAGAAAGGAAGCAGACCTTTAAAATTCCAGTGGACATACAACAACGAACATTCAGTGTTAGTGAGTTCGTACGATGATTTTTCGGTGTTGAATATAAATCCTGTTTCGGCTGCTCATTCGGGTAATTATACGTGCACAGTCGAAAATGCTTACGGTAGAGACATCCGCACGGCACAACTATTGGTCGAAGGTATGTTTTCACTCTTATTTATTTTTCTCAATTATCTAAAAAATATCCTGAAATATGACCTTTTTTTTCAATTCCTACTATTAGTTCACACTCTCCCTACATCTTGTTCGAATTTTCAATCGCTTAAAAAAAATACTTTTTATTCGTGCACTCAAGTTCAAATACATTTTTTTAAACTTGACACTTGATGTTAATACAGTTTTTTCAAATATTAATTGATTCATTAAATTTATTTAATTAATTTTAGTTTTATATGGGAGAAAGAATTAAAATTGTTTAATTAAAAGTAACTAAAATAAAAATTTTCTTTGTTGACATTAATAGGAATTGAATTCAAAAAATGTTTTTTATATTACTCGTTGTTAAGATATTTCTCTACTATTTGTGACTCTGTAAAAGTGTGTTTTCTGCAATATGAGTGTTTCTGCAGGAAAACCAAAATACTCACGCAGAAATGAATATACTGTCGGATCTCTATTTAACAAAGTCGCGAATAATAAGTTCGTTACATGGAAAAATCGTTAAATAGGAAATCACCGTTTGAAATACTTAAAAAATATAAAACTAGTTATAAATTCTTAACGCTAGACTTAATTACAATAGGAATTGATACACCTTTATCTTGTTAACTAGTATCTACTATTTATTTTAGAAATCTTAACCATGAAAAAAATCTGCATGAAAAGCAAGAATAGAACAAAACATTATCCATTGTTACACTATCATGCTACATACATTTTCAGCTAAAGAAAGGCTTAATGTATAAAATTATAGCTGCATTTATTATAAAAGTAATTTTAAACGTACATTACGTTCTTAAGTTTAATTGCTACTGATTAAATCCGCTCATTTTGTCTGAGTTTTTCGTTTGAAATGCAAACAAAAATTGAAAGGGATTTTACTGCTTTCTCTAAAAGTTAAATTGCTTCGAAAATCAATTCAAGGTCATTTCCCCTGTAGAATGTGTTAACAAATTTGAAACGCCCTGAAATATTTTGAGAAATAGAGAAAGTGGAAAAAAGTCCAAAAAAAATTTAGTTAAATAAAAAATTCTCTTCGCTATTTGGAAGTTATTTTACGAAGAAATTTCCAAAATTTTCTTTGGTTCCTCGAAGCAAATCACAAAATAGAGAAACTCGCAAAATGGAAGTTCGTTAAATAGAATCCCGACTGTATATAAATCTACAAAATATATCCTATTTTCCTGTGATGTGTGTCATTTCCTTTTACGAATTGTATAACTAAAGTTAATTGTAAAGTCTTATTTATGTATTAATGCATGCTTTTGTATTTCAATAGAGGAAACGATAGGCTCAAACGTTTCTTCAGACTTTTCATTTGACTTATCTTTAAATACAATTATTCTAGGATGAAAATACTTTTTGGATCTTTCATAATGCTCGGTATTTTTTAATAGTCTCAGATTGATGTTAATTTGTTACTTGATTTTAATGACTTTGTCTAATGAATTCATTACTTAGTTGTTTGCTTAAGAATCTAAATCAGGGATTATGAATCTTTTGTCGCGGTGCACTTTTAACGATTTCGAAATTTGATGGCACACAAAAAGAAAAAAAAAATTAAAAATTATTTTCTTACTGTGTAAAATACTTTAGAATGTGACATAAAATAATAAGTACTACAAACACAATGCGTTTATTAAGGAATTAATTACAAGTTAACTGTTTTCTTTGTTTCTTTTTTGCTATTTATTAATTGTTAATTTGTTTTGTTTTTTACAATAATTACTTTTATGTGATTCCCTGTTAACTTGTTTTTTATACTTTTTTTTTGTTAGCTTACTTATTTGTTAGTTATCCTTTGTTATTTTGTTTCATAACTATTAATTGCATAGCTTATTGTAATTGTAAGCTTTTATTTCCTTTTGTAAGTTAATATTTAACTTGCCTTCTTTTGTTAATTAATAATTGTGTTATTAATTAATAATTGTGTGTAAATTTCAATATAATTATAACCCGTGAATTTATTAATGTTTCCTTTGTGTAGAATTGGCATTTTGGATCAACGAACCATATGATCGAGAAGTATTAGAGGGTCAGGCATTCGCTATTCATTGCATTGCAGGTGGACAGCCAAACCCGATCATATCTTGGTACAAATATCAAAGTAAGATTCATTCTACTTATTTATTATACTTTATTTTTAAAGAGCTGCTAACAAAATATTTGCTTGATCTAGACACATTCTTTACTCTAAAAATACTTTCGTTAAAATGTGGCACAAATTTAAATGCTCGCTATTCATTCCCAGTAATTATAAGATCTATAAACTTAAATGTACGCAATAACTCCTAACGTTGGACACTAAATAACTGTTGCAAACGGCATTTCAATCATTTACATCTCTTTACAAACCAGTGTAGCTTCAGTTACAAGTACTATTTTTTTATACTTTTAAAACAAAGTGATTTTATTTTATAACTGTCATTGAAAAGACTTTTGGTTTACTGATACCAATGTTCAACTTCGTAGCCTTGTAATTTTAAACCCTATCCAGAAGACAAGGGAACTCCTGGATCAAGTATTGAGAGGAAAATTTGCCTTCGTGGAGAACTTTTTGTTGAAACTGACCTTCATTTGCCTTACATGGAGGGGAAAGCACGAAAACCTCCTATGGTTAGCCTGAGGGCAGGGGGACTCTAACCCGGGATCCGTCTACCATTTAGGATATTTTGCGTCAGCACTGTGGTTGGTGCAAGCCGGATACGGAATTTGTATCTACCTGCCATCTCTTTGATTCGAACCAGTTCACCTTATGGGAAAGCGAGCACCCTATCTCCAAAGCCACCACAGCTTTGGAGATAGAGTGCTTAAACCAAACTGATTAGCGAAATGTAATTTAAATTTATTAAAATGAATTCATTGAATTATGAAATATCATTTAAACCCTTTACGATTGACTGTTCACTCTATAATTTCATTAGAAAAATATTGTAAGGAATCATTGACAAATTTTATTTTCCCAAATATATTCAGTTCTTGATAAAAATATAAAACATCGTATATATCAGAGCATACACTAAACTTTGAAAAGAAATAAAATCGCCCACTGCAAAAAAATACCTTTTAGGTTACAAAAATTTGAATAAAATTTAAATTCGTTTTAAAATAATGTGTTTATAAATAATGATATTGTTTGTAAAGCTTTTTTGTTGGTTGTATAATATAGTTTCATTGATCTGAACACAAATGCCTACTCCATAAAGTTGTAATAAATGTGTAATAATTTTTATCCAGTGATACAAATTGAATTTAAAAAATGCCGCGATAGTTTCAAATTTTGTGAAATCAATTTTAAAATTAATATATTCAAGGAGCAAATCAAGCGACGAGTTGAAATAACTTGATATCTAAAAGAGAACTAAGCAACGTCGATATACATATATAAGATAGACATGTAGCCTAACCACTATTCTTATATTTTTATGCCTTATTTTTCTCAATATCTCTGGAGATTGATTTACCTTTTTCTTCGATGAAATGTTATTATAGAGTAATTTTTTATGATGAAATGTTAGGATAATTGTTGTGATGTGAATTATTTTTTCAGGTAGTGGAGGTTTCATCAACGGAAGTAGAATCCGCGTGGGAAACAACGGAACCTTATCCGTCCACTCAGCCGGAATGAAAGACGGAGGAATGTACGAATGCGAAGCGGACAACGGCATCGATCACCCTCTCAAGAAAACCGTTCAAGTGAGGGTGAAGGGTAAGGGATTCGCGAATAAACATTCAAAACCATGGCCTCCTTTTATTTCAACCTCCACTCTACACACACATACACAACAACAACTTCTTCTAGAGATAGCGTTTTCACAAACCTCCATTAAAAGAATCTTCTTTTTCAGTTCCGGCAAAGTTCGAGGAGAAGTTCGCTGTGGTGAACGTGAAGAAGGGGGACAGCGGTCGAATGAAATGTGAAGCCCTCGGAGATCAACCCCTCTCCATCACCTGGCAGAGGGATGACGCTACCATCAGCAAAACTGGTGATGAACGGTAAATAGTATCCCCCTCTTTCTTCCAATACAGTTTTCATGCACTATATATATGTATGTGTATATATGTATGTATGTGTATATATGTATGTGTGTATATGTGCGAAATCTATATATAAGTTCAAAACGTAGAGAAAACATGGAAAAAATTACAGAACAATAAAAATAAGAGAAAAAGAAAAATAATAATAATAAGATTCCGAAAAAAAAATATTTAAAAAAAAATTAATAAATCCTGCTTTTCTTAATTTTCTTCGCTTTTCTTTTGTCCTTTTTGTATTTATTTATTATGCTACATGAATAAATGTATTTAGCACCATAAAGAAAGAAGAAAAAGGAAAACTAAGAAAATTAATAAAATTGTTGAGTTTTATTTACTGCGCATAAGCTGCAAGTATTTAGAACTCATAAAATAAGTAAAAATTATAGAAAATAATAAAAATTAATGAAAAGTGAAGAAGAAAAATTATTAAAATAAATTTTTTAAAAATATTTTTATAAAAATATAATAAAAAGCCGATAAACAAAATAATGAAAAGATATCTCGACAAAAAGGAATGTTTTATAATAGTGTCTCAATATAGCCAAAGCAAAATATATCAATACAATGGGTGTGAGGAGCTCTCGAAAACAATTTAAACGGAAATGGCACATATTAAGTAAAAAGACATACGAAATAAAACATATCGAGCAAAAGCCAGAAAACACTAAACAAAGCACGAGACGAAATCTAAAAAGCTAGTAGCGAATTCAAATGAACTTACACGTATCTTTAACACGTATCTAACACGAATCTTTAAAGAATGATTTAAAATATTTTATCCAAACATAAATTCAAATCTTAATTGAAATAAATAAAACAGGAGGTAACCAAAATAAACATAACTACATTAATTCAAATTCAAATTGGAACAGCGCACAAGGCAGCTAAAACCAAATTCAAATGTTATAAACAAGTAATAATATAAATTTACTCAAAAAATATATAAATATAATTAAAAGAAAATTAAATAAAGTTGTGTGTTTACAGAGCAGCACTTCATCAGGGGACACACTGTCTGTAAACACACAGGAGCCTTTCTGTTGTTAGTGCAGAAAGGCTCCTGTGTGTTTACAGACAGTGTGTCCCCTGATGAAGTGCTGCTCTGTAAACACACAACTTTATTTAATTTTCTTTTAATTATATTTATATATTTTTTGAGTAAATTTATATTATTACTTGTTTAAAATATTTTAGTAATAAGATTGCAATAATTTAATTTCATTAATCTTTATCAGTTTCCCTGTTTTCTTTATATTTTTAACTTATTAACTATGCCAGATTACAAAATACAAAAATAATAGCGCAAAGGGAGGTTCGAAGAGTAAATTGAGAAATATTTTATGGCGTGTTCTTACTGCAGTAGTGAAGCACGTTTGATCTTATTGCGAAAACATCTTGAATCATTCTTAAGATTCCGGTACGTGCAAGTTCATTTGAATTCGTTACTCGCTTTATAGATTAAGTTTTGTGTTTCGTTCTGTGTTTTTTTAAATTTTATTTTCTGTTTTTTTCTTGATATGCTTTATTGCGTTTTTTTTTTTTTTTACTTAATGTGTTCGATTTTCGTTTGTTTTTTGAGTTCTCCTCGCACAATAGTATTGATATATTTTGCTTTGGACAATAATTAATACAATATTAGAAAGCACTCCTTTTTGCGGATGACCTGATGACGAGATTATATCTTTTCATCATTTTGTTTTCCATCTTTTTAATAATTTTTTATTTTTTTTAACATTCTTCAGGGGTCTGTTTAGAAGAAATTTGGGTCCGTTAACAGATCCTTCGCAAAATATCTTTTCATAAAACGGACCCTTCACAAATTTGTTTATCTTCATTATTGTTTTGTTAATCGAATAAACCCTTCCCAGGAAGGGGGGGGAAAGACAAATGTAAACGGACTAAGTTTCGTCTTCGGTAGACGCTTCTTTCATTTGTCCGAAGTCAATATTCAGCAGTGTAGGCTAAATACCAAATATTTGTATGTTGCATCTCTAATTTAGTAGCAGCAATTGCTGTTTATTTTTTAAATTTTAATTTTTTTTAATTGTAATTTTGCAGTGTTGAGCATAATCTTGTATCTATTTACAATTTAAAAACTCCTTGAAAAAGTTTTTTGCAATAACAGGACCCTATTTGCACAAATTCGCAAAAGCAGGACCCTGGTTGAAAGAATGTGACTTAACGTTTATTTCATATTCACAAATTACGAGTAATTTTTTCACAATTTCACAAAAACGAACCTTTTACAAAATGTCTGGACAGATCCCTGTTCTTAATTATATTTTATTTTCATTTTTTCATTAATATTTATCTCTATATTTTAACTTATTTTATGTGCTCTATATACTTGAAGATTATGAGCAATTAATAAAACTTATTACTTTTTTTTTATTTTTCTCTTTTCTTTTTTGTCTTTATGGTGATATATGTATTCCGATTCTTGGTAGATACGAAATATTTGAGACGATGGTTCCAAAAGGAGTGGTGTCCGAATTGATAATTCGAACGTCAGAGAAAGAGGATGGAGCTCTCTACACCTGCATCGCTGAAAATGAGTTCGGCAACGATCATCGGAAGATACGACTCCTCGTTTTGGGTAATTTCCTTTTTTTAATTGTTCTTATTAATTAATTAAAATTTTCCTATATCTTTTTGTAAAGAGTTGAATCTCGAAAATTGCATAAAATACAAAATAAAACCAATTTGGAGTAGTATCAACTAGTATTAGTGATAGTGAAATTCTTTCTTTTCATATAAATTTCAATTTCTTGAATGAATTGGGGATATTCCTTTTTCTGCATTCAGATCTGACAAAAAAAATTGAAATTATACCTATTATTAAGGAAGAATTTCATTGCTCTATATGATGAAATTCTAGTATTTCAAACAAAAATTTTGCTTAACGGTTCTTTAGTAGGATAACAAAACTTTTGGTAAAATTACATTTAGTTCATTTGTTTGCTGTTATTATATTGTTATTTAAATAATTCTTTTGTTAAACCAAAAAAATTAGATTTTTTCTAAGACTATTTTAAATACTAAATCTAGGGAAATACGTTCAATAATAATTAAATGATTCAATCCAGTAATTTAATAATAAAGAGCAAAAATAATTAAATGAAAATTTATTTAGTTTATAAAATTGAAGAGCAGTTTAGATAAAATGATTGGTATTTATAGGAATTGAAACATAATTAATCTACAGTCTTAAATGTGGTACTCAAACATATAATTTAATTTAATATAATATTTTGAGTTATTACCTACGTTGGCGGTCACTATCTTAAAAATTTGATTTTTAAAGGTTATGTTATATTCATTTAAAGTATGATAATATAAAGTTTGAAAAAGTAAAGAAATGTGTGTTCAAAAACGATAAATTGAAATTTGGTATCAAAACGTTTCTTATAAATTTAAATATATTGAAATTGAGTTTTAATCTGGGCATAATAAGTATATTTGAGTAATAATAAGTATATTTATATTAAAAATTATCTAAATAACTTTTTTTTTGAACGTTTAAAAGAAACTGAAATATATCACGCATTCATGGGCAAAACTGAATGGCATACAATATAATATACTATAAAAATGTTAAATGTATCCGATCTTAGTATTATTATTATTTGGATATTATTAATTTCGATAATATTGTTTCAATATTTGAATTAAGAAAAAGTCACTAAATGCACTTTTTTGTTTTAATGAAGTTAGTAATACATTTTGAATTGCGTTCTACAGTTCACTAATTTTGAAAAGTTGTGAATGAAATGTATAAAAATGATAATGTATAAAATGTATGGATGTATTAACGGATGTATAAAAATGAAGTTAAAACACCCATATTTGTTTTATAGAAGATATAGAACCCAGTTATAGAAGATATGTCTAAATTGTTTTAGCAAAAAATTATTTTTGAAAAGTTTTTTTTTCTGCGTGCTGTTTCTGCTTAAAACTGTTTTAACGTATTCCAACTTAATTTTTTAATGAAGAAATTTTAAAAATATTTTTTTTGGGAAAGGGTGACTTGATTTAAATCACTGGATTGAAGAAATGACTAAGTCGTAATTTAAGTTACTTGACTTTCTAAAAAAATATTGATTAAACTCGATTTTTTTATTAAAAAACTCATTCATTTATTATCATTTCAGTTAAAAAATAATTAGTACTTTAATAATAATATAGTTTTAGAGTGGTATTAAGCATTATTTATACATTTTATAAGAGCTTTTATAGGGGTATGTAACAAAAAAAGTGAAAAATCTGATTGAAATCTAAAAAAAATACCGTTTTACTAATAAAAAATTCCTTTCTGAATTGAAAAAATTCTACTTTTTATTTTTTTAAGAAAAATCCGGGATTTTTGATAATTTTGAGTACTTAAAGTTTATATGATTTCAATTCCATGTTTGTTCATTTTTGTATTCTTGATGGTAATGGTAAAATAATGAATGTCTCGTAAATTGCAGAAGTTCCAGCTCCGCCTCTTGATGTCAAAATCCGTGAAATCTGGAGTCGGAGCTCCAGCGTCTCCTGGGCTCCCCCGTACAGTGGCAATTCTCCAATCACTAAGTACATTGTGCAGTACTGGCGAGACTTGGGTACGTTCTTCTGTGTTTGCTATCTTAAGAAAACTAATAAGAGTATGGTTCGTCTAAAGTAATTACTCCCCTAGCCATTCGCCAGTACCCGTGGTAGTGACTATGGTAACGAGATATAACTATTTCAAGTAGGAGTGTCGGGTCACTGTTTAGGACAGATTTCATGCGCTATTCTTGTTTCCATCCAAGCGAACGGCTCAGGCTTAGTGGCGAGAGGATTTCTTACCATAGACAAACTATAAGTGAGTCGTAATAGCTCAGGAGATAGAGCGTTCGCCTTCTAATGAGGTGAACCGGGTTCGAAACCCAGCAATGGATGGTCGATACGAATTCCACATACGACTTGCACCGACCAATGTGCTGGCATAAAATATCCTCAGTGATAGACGGATCATGGGTTTTATATATATATATNTATATATATATCGTGAATGGCCGAAATCAAGTAAATGTCGACTTTCACCGGTGAGTGTCAACAATCACATAGTCGCTTTGGGGTATATCAGAAATGCTCGTATTTGTTATATCCGATTTGATAGTAATTTATTCGTTGATATTATATATATTCGATATTTTCATATCTGCTTAGGATAGATTAGGAGATGCATCAGTGTTCGGAGTACCGGTAAAATACATATCGAACAGTGACACTGAAACTTAAAACAACATTGATATAGTGTATACCGGACAAATGTATACCGGGTAGTGGCATTTAACTAGACGCGGTACGTAGCGAAATCTCTCAGCAAAAAATAACCACCTTTAATGTGTTTTTTTAAGCAGTCAAAAAATATTTTTAAGCACTATATACATTAAAAAAATGCAAAATAATTTCTAGACTTTGCATGATCATGATAAAATAACTAGTTTCTGACAACGAACTCTTTTCTTGATTATATTAGCCACGATAAAAACATCGAGATTTTTGGTTCAATTTCAGAGTGTTGTAAATGAAGTCTGAAATTGAGAATATCTTGCACAATGCAGCAGAGTTGCACATAAGAGTACAACAATCTCACCGAACACAGCTCAGTAAACGCGCATGCGTTGGCAAATGAATGGGGTAACTAAATGGCGCTAGGGCAATGGCGCTTAACTAAACCAAGTATATTTTCATATTTGGTTTAGTATAGTATTGGTTTGGCTTAGTTATTCTCTTTCTCTCGTGAGCTCAGCTATGATTCAGAGACCTTAGACCTTAACCTTTAGACTCACTATATTACTTATCATTTTTTAATCCTAATTTAAATTAGCTAAAACTTTGAAGGCCCGGGTCACATTTTATATCAGGGGCCATAGTGGTGAGAGATTTCTATTTTACTTGATGTTTTTGACCATGCTCTTCAGTTTAAGCTTAGTTTTGTTTAAATAGGAATTTTACAGACGTATACTTCTTTTATCAGATAAAAAATGATTAATGAAATTAAACTTAATTTTATTAAAAATTCACTCAGATTCGAAATTGTTAACCTCCAACTGCACACTTCAAAGCAAAGCTATTTGTAGGGTTCAGTGAAATACGACTGTAATTAAGACTGCTGCTGTTCGTTACGTTGCTTAAACATTCTTTAAGAGGACTCCACACTGCTAAGAGTAATTTTCGTCACTAATTCTCCTTCATTACTAATTTAAATAAGTGATAAAAAATGTGAGCTCAGACAAACCTAGAATAAGTCATGAAATTTCAAATACTGCAAAGAAAATGTTAAAACATACAAATGAAAATAAACTCAGATGATAACTTAAGATTACGCAATGAAAAAGTTCTCTACTAATAATTTGCTTGCATTTTACAGTAATAGAAAATTCGTGACTTATTCTAGGTTTGAATGAACTTACTTTTTCTTTCCTTCAAATTAGTAATGAAGGAGAAAGAGACGAAAACTTTCTTCCGCTTTAGGGCGTCCTCTTAAGTCAGGTTTGTAATGTACATTCTAGGCCCAGGAATTTTGTTTATTATTTCTTTTATATTGAAATATATCTCTTTATATTGAAATATGTCTCTTTATGGTGAATTATATCTCTTTATAGTGAAATATATCTCTTTATAGTGAAATATATCTCTTTATAGTGAAATATATCTTTTAATATTAAAACACATATTTTTTTCATTGAAATATATATTTGTTCCAACTTTCGACGTCAATTAGAGTTTGCTGACATTTATTTATTTTTTTAAAAATTGCTCATATGTGTGTGTACATTAAGTGCTGAGTTTTTGTGTTTGATGTACAGGTGGTGCTCCCCATAGACTCATTGAGATCTCAGTTCCCAGTTCTCAGTCATCTGCCATTATGAAAGACTTGCATCCAGGTGCGGCTTATGTTCTGAAACTAGTTGCCGAGAATGCTGTGGGCAGAGGAGAACCTTCAGATGCCGCTACTTTCCGAACGGGTGAAGAAGGTGAGAACACTCTATCACAAAATCTTCATGCATGCATTTTTTACACCAAAATCATGCTCATTTGAGACCATGCTTCTTCCACACATCCTGGAAGAATTTTTTAAAAATTAAAAACTATTAAGTGTAAAAAAACACATATTTACATATACATATTAAGTAACATGTTTGTACATAGATGGAAGCACAAATGCTAATGTAGATGGCAGTCAGTTAATTTTTTTTTCTGTAACTAAAATAATTTAATAAGTTGAAATAATGTAATTTTCTTCTGTAAATGAAATACTAGTCTAGCTTCAGCCTCCACCAAGGTATGTAGTTATAATTCTTTCTTGCGACCTGCATCCTTAACTATTGGGTGAATTGTTCAACAACACGCATTAGGAGACGTTGCTTTTACAGAGACATTTAAACCTACGGAGGGGACGAGCATTCAATAATCTAAACAAAATTAGAATTTAAATAAATAATGTTGTTGTTGTCGTTGGCGATTGGTGCGATTGTTATTGTTTTCCATTGGCGCCATCTATGGCCAAGAATTCGACCCACACTCATACGTCGCACCTCTTTAGAAGGCGTACCCGCATTCATACATCCATTCATCCACAGATTGTAGTTTTGACCTGAACCAAAGAACGATCCATCTTCAATTCAGGGCTCCCAGAGGTATTGATTTGCTGTGGGAACATGGAGGACTTTGTGACCCAACAGAACATATATAGCGTGCACCGGTCATCGTGTACTACACTGGAAGTAAATAAATAATAAAAGAATATTTTGCTATAATTTTACCATTTAAGAAAATAAGAAAAATTTTAAGGAAACCAAAAGGTTTAGGATTATACAAAAAAATAATAAATAATATAATAACAAAACCATTAATAAAAACTTTTTTTAATGAATGTTTGAGGAAAATGCTCAAAATTGACATTGGAAAGAATAAAACATGTTTTGTTTGTTAAAATGAAGCATAATGAAGATGTAGAAAAGATGGATATTCAATCAAAACAGAGCGAAAAAATCGTATTAGTATATCGTTATTCGTAACGTTATACTAATACGATTTGTATACCGTTATACTGATACTATAACGATATACTAATACGATTTGTATATTTGTATATCGTATTAGTATATCGTTATGCGTAACGATATACTAATACAATAATTATTGAGCTAAATGTATGTTTTTATATAACTTATTTTAAATGGGCTACGTCTTTATAGTTTCCCAGAATTAAAGGGAAATAAAATGAAAACATAAAATAAACAATCTATTAGCTTTATATTACGGTTTAAGAAAACTAACAGACAATGTGTCACAATAAAAGGCACAAACTATGTAACTCACAACTCCACAAATTCTTAATGGAACTTTTTCGAAATTTCTCTGCCAGTTCCTAATGCTCTGAACTGGTAAAATTCAATCACCATTTCTCTAATCGTGATTTTTATTTTAATTCACCATTACAAATTCTATTTATATGAAAATATTGCTTGCCTATTAATGTATACACCGTAAAAACTGTGTAATATCTCAATTTTATTTTGAAAATCTTCCTGACACGCTTTAAAAAGTGTAATTATGTCTGCACTCCTATAAATAAGAAAACTTAAGCCAAAATCAGATGTGTAATGATCAATTTTTGCTTCTGAAAACACCAACTTTGGCACCTTTTAGGTATCGCTAGCAGTTGGTGACATCGAGTAAGAGTAGGCGCGCGGTTTTTTATTTTTGTTTTGTTTTTTCCCCACTATACAATGTCTATTGAAACAGAAGATCGCCGATAAAATATGTTTGTATGTTTTTAAATGTGTCATAAGGATAATAATAATTAAATCTTGAGTATCTGTGAACTGTATTAAATAGTTTAAAAATATTTAATTACTATCCGCCTTGTTAAATGAATTCATGTTTCGATTTAGTAGTGTCTGTATGTTTAATTAACAAACTAATTTTATTCTAAAAAGTAATGTATAAATGATTATTACTTTATAATGCATCTTGAAAAAAACTTTACTGATTGTTATGTGTATTGTGCCATAATGTATAATAAATCTTCAGTGTTACACCAAAAAGCATTAAAAAAAACTTTCCATATGTAAATTAATGGAATTCCACCTAGATGTAAAGTAGTTGCCACCATTTTCGGTGTTTAGATTATCATTTTAGATACATGATCTTACACTTAGATACATGATCATGAAAAGTATAAATCCATATGTCTAGCTCTATATTTCTCTGTATATCCGAAATGCAACAGAAAACAAAAAATCAATTTATTTTAAGCACCATGTTTCAGAAGAAGAAAATATTTCCGTTTGTTTCTCAGACATTTTATATGAATCTGCCCTTTTTCAGGTTTGTTACATTATACGATTATTTCGAACCTAGGTTTTATTTAAGGCTATCTAAATAAATTTAAGTAAGATACATCGTTTCTATTTCAGTTGCACACTTTGAAAAATAAATAACGGAACACCCAGAATAACTTTTGATCTAATAATCGGTTATTCACGTAAAAGGACTCAATCTTGACGATTAGAAAACCTGATCTCAAACATGTTAAAGAAACAAAATCTGACGCAAAACCAACTTTTTCTCAACAAACGTTCCTTTTATTTAACGGATTCTTGTCCCTTAAAATAGATGGGGGAGGTAACCACAAACTGGAAACCACAAACTGTATTACGTCAAAAGGATGGATACATTTTTAAACATCTTCATGTTAATTTTACTTATTGCTTATTTCGCAGCATCTCAAGAACATTTTAAACTAGTTAAAAAAAATTTGCACGCCATTATAAAATTCATATATATATAAAGTTAACTCCATACAAAATATAACTTTCAGTAGTTATTTATTATTTTTTGACATTTTATTTAATAACAGTTTAGAAATGTCTGAATTGTATTGTATTCTATTTTTACATAACTTTAAAAAATGAAATTTTAAATGAAAAAAAATACAAACTTCAACGAATTCGTTCCAATAGTTTCCGAATTATTAAATTTTCAATAGGTCTTTCTTTCAAAGATTAATTCCCAATCTGGCCATTAGATAAAAAGTTATTCCAATTGTTCCGTTTTTTTTTTTTTTACTTTGTAAAATTCCTTTTAATTTTAATTGTGATGTTCTCTTTTAGAGCCAAGTTCTCCTCCTTCAGATATTATTGCTGAGCCAAGAGGTTCCTCTACAATTCGAGTGTCATGGAAAGTGAGTCATTCACTATCTGGATAAAAGTATTCAGAAATATATTTCTTATTTTCGTCTTTTAAAAGTGGTGATCACTCAAAGTGCATTCTATGGGATATTTAAGGATGATATTTCAGCTATACTAAACTATTTCATTTACTAAAGCATTATTTTCACTATGTTCCTTTTTTCCTTAAGTTTTTCGGAAAGTTTAACTAGTATATTGCCCAATACAGTTCATACGCAGTAAATGTGTGTTTCCTCTTAATATATTGTGCATAATATGTGAAGGAAAAACTCAGGGTATTTTTTTCCGGATTTGAGTGGCAACCCTGTCGTTTGGGTATGGAGATTTCAAATTTAAAATTAATTTTGCTCTTAAAAGTACAATTTTTTAAAAGACATTTTTAGTCTATCTTTTGTTTAAATGTAAGAATTTAAAAAGTTTTATATAAGAGAGGTTTGCATAAAAGTTGCAATAAACTTCTAGGGGAGTTCAAGCGTATCATCAGGGTTAATACTGCATAGTAAACCTATGCCTGAAACTGTAATGGAGCGCTTACCTATTAAGACCTGTTCAGAAGCACACGAAGAAATAGAACACTTTTTGTATATTATGTTGCTTACAGCAGAAAAATAAGTTTTCATTGAAAAAGAAATACTTGCAATTGGTGAATTTTTAACCCATTCTAAGCATAACAGCCTTTATTCCGAAAAAGTCGGAGATGTGGCCAGGGCTGTGCTCCATGCCTTCGGTCCTATTTGAATTGTACTTTTCTGCACTTGTCAAACGACAACAACAACAGCATAAAACTTTTGTACCTTTATTAGTTTGATGGTAGTTTAAAAACTCATCTTGATTTCAGTCTTCTCGTAATATGTTATACTCGTTACCTTTAGCTTTTACTGTGCAATATTTTGAACTACACTGTCTACCTAAAAGTATGCAGAGAGTTAGGGTGGTGGGAGCATAATGGTTTGTGTTCGTTAGTTCCTGTGGTTGGAACTCTGATATGTATGTGGGCAATGAAGCACTCTTTGGCAATATTTCTGGCCCATTTCTCTTCCAGCATTCACACATTGAGGTTTGCACAGATGAGGTTTGACAAAATGGGTGTTCGAAAACTGCCTTCTCAGAGATCCGATCCCATAGAACACCTATGGGAGGAATGAGGGCGCTGATTACGTGGCCAGTCAAATCCTCACTTCAGTTGTGGTGGAAGTCAATTCCTATTTAAAAACTGATATAAAGTCTTTCCAGAAGGCTATCATCGATGCAAAGGGAGACAAACATCATGCTATTAACATGTGCCTCAGGACACTAAGTCCACCCCACTGGTTGTCAGGACACCTTTCGCCAGATAATGTATTTATCTTATGTTTTTCAGAACACACTCGGTTACACAAAATTTTCAAAGAAAACAGATCGATCTATTTTTTTTTGGTATACGAAGCAGACATTCAGAAAGTATATCCAAAATTGTAATTCAAATGTTTCAACGAATCATTTGGAAGGATGTAAAATTTATTTTTAATCAAACTTCTTTCTTTCCTTTTGATTGTTCGAAAAACCCCAATTATAAATATATGCTGATATTTTTTTTTAAAAAAAGCAATACATAGTTCCAAAAAATTGAATTTCGCAAGAAGCCCTAAAATTTTACTGGATTATAAATACATCGCTATTTCAATGAAGTGATAAAAAGCAGATCAGTTGATAGATATTCTAACTTCAAAGCGTGTCAGTTACACTTTCTTAGCTGCCAATTTTACTGGATTTTGCCAGTTTCTACTGGTTCAGTGAAAATTCTCCTGGTTCTTAAAGTTTTCTAAAAATATATATTGAGATAGAATTTTTACGAAATTTCTTTCTTTCTTAAATATTTAAGTAAATATTACTAACTCATAATGAAACGAGCCTTATGTATAGTAATCAGTTTATAAGCTTTTCTTTTCTCTTGTCATTTTTTCCTTTGTTCTAAAATTTTCAGTTAATTTTTAATCAGAAATCCTTTTTTTAAATAAACAGTCCATTACTATTTAAAATAACAGTCAATAATAAATTACTTGTCCATTACTATTCAAAATTATAATGAAATACGTATATATAATTAAAAAAAACATTTTAAAATCAAGTTCTTTTAATGTTAATTATAAATGGAAAACTTTGAAAGGTCATTTATAGTTTTTAGTTTAATAAAGTTTTATGTATTTTGATTGAAGTAAAAATCCTTAAATTTTAAATATTTAGTATATTATGAAACAATTATCCTGAAATTCATATTCTTTAATTTACTGGATTTTTTTCCCATTTATGTTGGCAGCTATATACGATAATATACGATATTTACAATAAAACGAAGGAATTCAAAAGCAAAGAAAGTGTTTATTTTAGGGAACACTGATAGCTTTGTGGCGTAACTACCAGTACGATTATTAAACATCAGCTCGCTAGTATATAAGACATGTTAACTCGATTCAATTTTGGGGTACATTTTGACAGATGAAGGCATTGTCGATATCATCTTTCATGGGTGACTTGAACTCTCCAACTACGAAAGTAACGTCCACTTCGTTGGGTGGTCCACATTGAACTATTGACTTGCTATTTGTGACTCCTTCATCGTCCTCCTTGCGCTGTTGCTTCTCAGTCTCATTTGTAATCCTGCACACACTCGACTGCTGAGAGCCACACACACAACCGTTAACTTAATTCAACCCTCACGACAAACATTCACATCTCGGTGAATTTAATACAGCTCTCATCACAGGCGCTCAATATCCGGTGAGCTTAGCACAGATCTCCCCGTCTTTCGCAAATACGGCCACTAGCAGTATCTATTCATCGAATTCTATCCCTGATAAAATTCTAGTTTTGGCTTAACTACCACTACGATTATTAAAAATCAATTCACTAGTATATAAGACATCCCAAGTCAAAATTTGTGATGGTTTTTCATTGATAGACCAGCAAAATGTTGATAGTAGCCATCAATAATTCTACCATGAATCCTTATATTTTTGATTGTAACCAACATAAGGAACCATCACCACAATGTAGGAATTCGGACTGATTTATGATAGTTCAACATAAGAATAGCAATTTGTTTTGATGGTTTATTCGTGTTTAACTGTCAGAAATTTTCATCATAGTTTCCAAGAAATCAAATGTTGGAGCGATCATGAAAATAACAATGATTTATGATGGTCCAACATAAAAATATTGTTTTTATGGTATATTCCCGAAACCGACAAGAATTCACATTAAACCATCCTGGAAGTGTATAGTTGGAACCATCATAGATCATCACGGTGCATCATGGATTGCTGGTTCATGAGAGTCATTCTCCTCAAGTTCGTTAACCATCATAGTATTAAGGAGCATTTTCCATCATTCCATGATAGAAGTTTGCTGACTTATCAAAAACCATGAACGTTTAATGGAAAATGTTGGATGACGTTGGACCATCATGAATCGCACTGAAACCAGCATAAACCTTCAAAATATTTTCATGGAACCATCAAGAATTGCGACTTGGGATGCTGACCCGATTTGATCTTTTCATAGAAGAGGGTTGACATTTCAGTTTTCATGAATTTTCCTTTTCATTGTTTTTCAGCCTCCACCCAAAGACAGTTGGAACGGAGAACTGAGGAGTTATTACGTGGGATATAAAGTGAGAGATTCCAACCAGCCTTACTCTTACAAGACAATAGAGTATGCACCGGAAGCGCCCCAACAGGAATTCTTTCTCACTAACCTCCTCAAAGCATCCGACTACAGTGTAGTGGTCAAAGCTTCCAACACTGGAGGAAGCGGACCTCCCTCACACGAAATGTATGTTCGAACACTAGATGGCGGTGAGTATCATTACTATAATAAAAACAATATACATATGATGTTTTGCAATACGAGGAAGCGCTGCAAGCTCTTGACTGTCTATACTTCTGGCTTACTGTTTTTGGTGTGTTTTGAAGTCATTTGGCTCGCAACGTGATCATTGTGTTTTGAGACTCTCCTAGAGTAGTATTTCTTGTATACGTGTATTTGTTATGTGAATTATTATTTGTGCTTGAAACATAGGCACGTACTTTACTTATGTCACACTAGAGCTGCACAATGGGCTATTGGCGACTGTTTGAGAAACATGCCTGAGGATTTTCGCAGTGAGGATGGTCCTAATGTAATCGCTGATCCTAATGTAGATTAGTGTAAAAAATCGAATTATGACCGAAATTCAAGAGGTGCCTCAAAGAACATGGAGTATCTAATGCCCAGGCATTGTATAAAAAAACTACTATCTGAATGAAACATTAATTTATACCAAGTGGATATTTATTTCTGCTACCTACCACTTTAAAGAAGTAATATCTAATTATAAATGTTTGACGCCCGGTGGCTAAGCGGTAGAGCTTCGCGCTGTCGTGCCACAGGTCCCTGGTTCGATCCTCGGACAGGGCAAAGTTGACTCAACCTTTCATCCCTTCAGTGGGTCGATAAATAAATGAGTACCAAGCATGCTTGGGAACTAAACAATGGGGATTCCGCGTTCGGCTGACCACCTGACCGGAACATCTGCTCCTGCACCCCAGAGCCAAAGGTCAAGAAAAATGATATGGGCACAGTAGGCCTTGGCCCTCTATGGGCTGTCATGCCGCTGACTTTGGTTTAGTAATTATAAATGTTTGCATTATTTTTTTATGCCTTGCTTCTGAAAAATTAATCTTAGCCACTTGTGCTACTATATTTTTGAAAATAGTAAGTGTCCTTTTATAAGTCAAAGCATAAATGGCTGTCGAAATTCTTGAAAGGGATAACTCTGCACTTTTCTTAGTAATTTACTTAATATCTCATTTATATTTTTCATTCGTTGAATGTGTAATGAGTTGTTGCATACATCTCTTAAATGTGTTCATTCCCTTTATTTGTTTTCAGATTTACCACCGGCACCGTCGTTGTACGTTTTGTCAACGTCATCCACTTCAGTCAGTTTACGTTGGAACACTCGGAAGATTGACAATCCACTCTCTGGTCAGTTCATACGTTTTCATGCATAAGTATTTATATTTAAGACAAAAAAACGTTTATAATTCAATGCCTTAAATCCATTAAACAAAATGACCTACTTTATGTTATTAAAAAAATGTTTTCACCTCTCCCTTATGCACCACCTTTTTCATTTATACGACTACTTTTTACAGGTGATTGCTCATTATATAGGAAAATAATGATAATTATCATTCTTTAATGAGTCGCTCTAAAAATAAATATTTCAAATATGCGACGAAATTATTCTTTGAAAATCAAAAATATAATTTTTTTTCTTCAAATAGAATGTCTGTTAAAGTTAAAGTGGAAAATTAAAAATTGTAGCTAAACAATGTTTGTTACAGATAAAAAGAATACTCGCAATGTTGCTGGATAAAGTGTAATAGTTCATTTTTCGTCCCCTTGTAAACTTATAACCTCTGTCGTTTCTAAGATTGTAAATATTAATTATACGATTTATAACTATTATAAATATTAACTAATAATGATATTAATTCATTACAATTTCATTTTTGGAAACATAATTAATCATGTTTTTAATGCAATTTATGTTGCGTTTTAGAATTTTGAAAGGTTTTCACTTGCGAGTCCCTTTCATTTATGCGCATTTTTGGTTAGTCCCTTAAGCCGGTGTATAACTGAGAGTTCACTGTACAACTGTTTTCACTCACATGTCAGAGGTAGTTTCAAGACTTTCTTTAGTTAATCTTCGACAGATTCGGTCTCTATAACACCTACAATTGGGTTTTGGATCACACAGCACATCTGTCGTCTCAAGAAGACTCCATGCCGCCGAAGAAAATTTTTGTCGCAAATTCTTTTTCTCCTTCATTACTAATTAAAAGGAAAGAAAAAATATGTTCACGCAAACCTAGAGTAAGTCATTGCTGAAAAAAAGAGCTTTAAAATATTAAAATGCAAAAAAAAAATATTAGAAGAGAACTTCTCCGTTGCGTAATCCTCAGTTATCATCTCATAATTTATTTTCATATATATGTTTTAAAAAAAAAATTTCTGTATTTGAAATTTCATGGCTTACTCTAGGTTTGTCTGAAAGCATTTTTTCTACACTTTAAATTTTAAAATAGTAATGAAGGAGAAAGAATTTTCTTTCTCGGTATGGCATCCTCTTAATGTGCACCATTGATACATTAGGCCATATTTTAATTACACTAATGTTAAATGCTCAAAAGTATTTAGCGTTGTAACAAAACGGCCAAACTTTATAAATGTCTCGTGCCGCAATTTCTGTAATGTAATGCAGAAAACAATCATTGCGCTTTTAGAAAACATGTATGATGGCAAATTAATTTTACGCATATTCGTCTTTCTTGACTGTCATTAACGCTTCTGCTCTTCGACCATTTGGTATTGTACTTAAGTGTAACCGATCGACTAATACTCATTTTTCATTCAATTACAATGAATAAAACTATTAGTATTGAACCTACAGTGTATAATTAAAACATAATACTGAACACTTCGTTTGTTTGTTAATATGCGCTTTTAACCTTTCAATTCTTACCAATTTTTGCTCATTTTGTTTCAGATTTTCGTTGTTCAAGCGAGAACAGAATTCACAATGAGATATTTGTAAACATATGCTTTTACGCTTTCATATTTATGACGTAGCTCACACGCTTGATGTTTCAAGTCCTTTCTTGCGAGTCGTGGGGGCTCTGGGGATACAGGGTTCACCTTTTAAGGAGGTGAACTGGGTTCTAATGCCAGTGACGGTTGGTTGATATGAATTCCGCACCCGGCTTGCACCGCCCACAGTGCTGACTCAAAATATCCTCAGTGGTAGACAGATTATGGGTCCCCTTGCTATCGGGCTAACCGTGGGCGGAATTACTTTTCATGTAACGGGATTGCTGGTTAGTTCCATGAAAGAGTCTTCCAAAAAGACAAAATTTCTCCCAATACTGGAGTTCACTTGTCTTCTGGATTGGGTTCAAAATGACAAGGCTACGAAATTGAACATTAGTAATCGTAAACCAAGAAAATAGGGTCGTCTGTTTAATGACGGATATAAAATAAAATCCCTTCTTGCCAACGTGTGAAGGAGACTTTTTTCGCGTAAGATTTACATTTTTTGTATCATCCAAAGTAAGTTAGATTATTGTTGCTTTAAATGAACATTGGATTTCCATGCTATGTTAAGTGACGTCACTCAAAATTATATTTTTTTTATCGTACCTGTAACGATAGGCAGCGAGAGGGCATTTTTCTATACCTATGTAAGCATTGTAATGTTTCCCAAATAATAACACAAAACCATTTACTTTTTTAAAAAAAAAGATGCATTCTTTTATCCAGCGCATCTGCTCTGCCTATGAATATAATGAAATCTGGCAAATATTTCTCGACAATTCAAACTTTAAACCTTTTTAAAAAAAATAATAATAATAATTTCAGAAGCTATTGCGAACTCAAATTAAAAATTATGCCATTCAGAATTACATTCTGTAAAATAATGTTTAAAAAAAACTGTATAGTCAACAATTCAAGCATTATTAAATAAAATAATAAATAAGTATTTTTAAAAAAAATTGTATTGAATTGTATTTGGATAAACCTAATTTATAATCATGCTCAAAATTTTTCGCTTAAAACGTTTTCAAGATATAGTGAAATGCTCAAATATTAAGAGACTTTCTAAAACATGATTTTCCAAAACATGACTCTTACATGATTAATTTATTGGGAATCTTTTTTCCTGATTGCCGCTAACCCTCCTATCTAAACCTCATTTGAGAACCTCATATCAAAACCTCATATCCTCATTTGAAAGCCAAAAAACGGAATCTTTCAACAAAAAAAGGAGTTTTCGTAAAAGAACTGTGTAATTATCTTCATTTCCAAACTGGCGATCTATTTCATATGACACTCATAAACAATTTTAAAAAAAACGTGTGTTGCTGATCACAATCATCAAATTAAAAAATTTGATCAAACCCATTAAGATTGAGTCTTAGTGCGTGAAAATCAGATCATAAGTTAAGTATTTACTCACTTGATTATATTTTGTCTATAGAACGAACTCCCTTCTCCACAAAGTCTGAGGTTGCTGCTATGGAAACAAGAGACATCACATTTCAACGAGGGGAGCTCCTCTTTCCCCTGATTCTCTTTCTCCCGCTGACTCGAGCCAAAACAAGTCTTAAATATTTACCTAAAACCCCTACTCGAAATAGTTAAACCTCGTAACCATAGTCACCGCCACTTTTCCAGATGAATGAATAGGGGAGTTCTATCCATAGACAGACTGTACATAATGCGTGTTGCATTTTCAGGTTATACGGTCCATTATCGTGAGGAGGATCAGGGTGAGTGGCAGGAGGTTGCCGTGATTGCCCCAGAAGACAACACCTACATATTAAACAACCTCCACCCACAGAAACTCTACCAGATCTACGTCACGGCTACCAATCAGTACGGAAAAGGAGATCCTTCAGAGATAGTGGCTGTCAAAACGGATGAAGGTAATCAGGGGTCTGTTTAGAATCTGTTATGGGTCCGTTAACGGATCCTTCACAAAATAATTTATCTTTTAATCAGACCCTTCACAAATTTGTTTATCTTTATTCTTGTTTTGTTAATCGAATAAACCCTTCCAGGGGGGGGGAAAGACTGTTCGAAACTGAGTTTTTCAAGCTTCTCTTAGTTTAAATCCCAAATGTAGTAGTATTCTAAGAAAATATTTCTACTTTTACAAACATCGTGTGCACATTCTTATTGATATTAAATTATAACTTTGTTATTGATATTAAATGATATTGATATTGAATGATAATTTTGTTTTAAATAATTGATCAATTTATATTTATTCATAAAATTAATAAATAGAATATTATGTAAATAAAAAGTAATTTCTGGCAATTTTTTAAATAAAATGTTATAAATTCAAGAATTGTTTAAGTTTACTTAATGCGTAGTACATTGTTAAAGCGATACACTTCTAAGTTGTGTTATTTAAAATACGTCAACTGAAATTATTAAAAATGTGAGTGATTTTGTTTCCGTTATTCGTCGGAAATGAATATTCTGCGTTGAGCAGTATAGGCTAAATACCAAATAATTGTATGTTGCATCTTTGATTTAGTAGCAGTAATTGTTGAGCATAATATGTATGCTCAACAATTGTAAAATTTAAAATCTTCTTGAAAATGTTTTTAGCAATTTCTGCCATAACAAGATTTGCACAAATTCACAAAAGCAAGACCCCGGTAAAAAGAATGTGACTTAACGCTTATTTCATATTCACAAACTATGAGTAGTTTTTTTCATATTTTAACAAAAACAGGACTTTTCACAAAATGTCTGGACAGACCCTTGGTAATTATTTTGACATTATTTCTGATTTTGGACCTTTTTTCTTCAATATACAGCAGAGAGCCGTGATAGCTTAGGGGATAAAGTGCTCGCATCCTAGTGAGGTGAACCGGGTTCGAATCCCAGTGACGGCTGGTCGATACGAATTACGCACCCGGCTCGCACAGACCATAGTGCTGACATAAAAATATGCTCAGTGATTGACGGATCATGGGTTTATGTCCCCGTGCTGTCAAGGTTACCGTGGGAGGTTTTCGTAGTTTTGCAATAGTTCCCTTGTCTTTTGGATTGGGTTTAAAATTACAAAGATACGGAATTGACCATTATTTGACCCTAAATTGATCGGCTGCTCAGCGATGGTAATATACAGTAGAGCGCTTACTTTTTACTCGACTTTGGCGATTAAATGACTGTAACAGAGTAAAATGCCTGATTGACACTAGAGCAGTGATTTATATTTTAGAGCCAAATATATGTTGGTAGCTTTTCTGCTTTATTAGTTTTCAATTTTTTTTTCTTACTTTAATGATATGACGATGGCCTTATGACAACCTTATTTTGAATTAATTTCATTGATTAGGGAGCTAAGCTCCCTGTTCGCAACCGCTCACCTACTCCGATGATAGTTCGCAATAATTGTTGATACTTGGCCGGAATCAGTTTTTATACTAAGTTAAAATTTTTCACTTAACATATATCTACTAGAAATTCTGTTTGCTTACACCACGTCCAAATATTATCTGTTAGTATTATAAATATCTAAATCTATTGGAGAACAGAAATAATTAATCATTTTTTAAAATAACTTATGTTCTTATAACATTATATTGTTCAAACAAATTTGAGATTACAACTGTAATTTAATATTTTTGGTTTCTAAACGGACGGATATATTAAATACTATTTTTGCTTGCATCTCAGTGTACAGAAACGGATCGTTAAGTTCTAAATCATTTAACAGATCACTTCAGCTGTAATTTATAACAGCATATTAGTGTTATTTGCACAAAAATAATGATCGTAAAACGGTTAATAAGATTAGACCAGTTTTCTAAATAACTTTATCTTAAAATGTAGCGCATAATTGCTTAATAAACAATTCTTGGCTTTTAACTCTTGAATTAAAAGCGTAATAATATCAGTGCAGGAAAATAACTATAAATGAGGGATACAAAAATATTTATTGAAAAATACCTTTATGACTTTTATGCTGATGGCAACTGAAACAATACGGAAATAAATGAGGAAAAACTGGATCCAACCTCGTGATTTTCCAGCCAATAAAAATGCACGGACAGCAATGGAAAACTGCGAACACCATCCATTAGATTTTTATGCGCAGTAAGATACTTTGTAAGAAATATGTTTCAATTTTTTAAGTTAATATTTTTTTCATAATTTCGGTCACTAAAAAGTTCTTTATAATACACTTTTTAAAATTTTTAAAAAATTTCATATATTTTCAAAAAATATTGGTGAGCAAATATTTTAGCCTAATTAGTAGTACTTTTAGAACTGAACTTTCTTGCCCAGCACTACGATGTTGATCTTAATAATATGCTACTCTGCAAAAGATTATAAGCCAGGGCTCGAAAAAACTCAGAAATTTTACCCGTCTCCGAGGACGGCTTGCCCAACAATGTACCCGTCCTCCTTTGAAACTAACCCGTAGCTTCTAAATAAATAAATATATAATTTTCTCTTATTACAAACATTTATATAAATTGCACAATGAATTAGTAGTTACTTGGATTACATTGTACAGTAATAAACGAAATACTAGGTTAATAATAGTAACCTTAGTATTTCTTTTATGAAATAATTTATTTCTTTTATGAAATAATTTAAATGACAAAGGTCAGGTTATCTGGAATGTCAATTTATCCAAGGGTACTGCGTTTTTTAAATGCATCAAATATGACGTTTGCCAGTTCTACAATCAAGCCAATGATTTGCAGAGGTTTCTGCACAGAAATCTGAAAGGGGTTTTCCATTTAGTTAGATGTTCATAATTGCGTTTAACGCTTTTTGTTTACGACCAGTGCGTAATGTGTTTTTTGTAAGTTCATTGCTGAAAAGCCCCTTTCAACCACTGCAGTACTCCCAGACAGAGAAAACATCAATTCTAATAGCAAGAATTGAAAATGTATCACGAAAATTAACGGGAAAATGGCCATCCGCGCGGACGTCGGATTCGAGAGATTCGTTATTATTTTTGATCGCCGAGGACAGGCGGTTTATCGAGCCCTGTTATAGGCTGTACTTTCTGCTACGTATAGAATAAAGCAAAACAGTGTTAATAAAGCACAAACTTAGTACACTTCTATATTTCCATTTGTTCTTTATTCACTTGCTTTACGATTTTATCATTTCTCTTTCTTTTCGATATTGCTTTACCAATTTAAAAATAAAATGATTTGCCAAAAAACTTCACTCATTTTTTAATCTCTTAAATCTCCACAGTTTTTTATGCTTTATAAATAATTCAGTATAATGAATAATGTTATTTAATAAACATAAATAATTAATAAATATGAATAATTAATACATATAAATAATTAATAAATATAAATAATTGATAAATAATATTAATTAATAAATAATATTAAATCATAAATAATAATTTATAAATTTAAATAAATTATATGCTTTATAAATAAATCTTTATGATAACACTTAACTCTTCCTGCTCCTGAAGACAACGCAAATTTCAATCATTTTTTGACATCCACAAACAGAATTTATCGTTACAGTATCTCAGAAGGTATCGTGCATAACAATTTGTACAAATAACATTTGTACATAGCAATTTGTACAATTTGTGCATAACAATTTGTACACTTGTACAAAAGAGGGTAAATAATTTCCTTCTTGTTCCACTAGTTAAAGGAAATATGTTGATGGTATAGGTAGAATAGAATAGAAGTAGGGAAATTTTTCAGTGCTGATGGAAGTTCATTACGGAAGCCTCGTGCTTTAAACTATATGTATACCAAATTTTCCAACCGACATTTCTAGACATTAATTTTTATGTATATATAAATAAACACAAACACCATTTTTTTCCGTAATTTCGTGTAATTACTTGGTTATTTTTAAAATTATGGTTTTTAAAAGTGTTTAAAAAAAATTTATTTTTCTTTTATTGAATGAAAGCATTGATGTTACAGGTGGTCACTCCCTATTGTCCGTGGCAGGTGGAGGAGTTGGAGGTGGTTACATGGATGTGGCCATCATCATTCCAGTGGCGGCCTCTCTCTTGACCATTGGCGTAGTTCTCTTCGTCGCCTGCATTTGTGTTAAAAAAATCAGAAGTCGACACAATCTTGAAAGAGGTTAGAACAACTTTTGAAAATCTTTTTCACTTCTTTTGGATTTTCAACTGTGATGACAGCTGTAAGATACACTTTTTGCATATTCCCGAGATTATACACCTTTTTCGCCGTACTTCTGGAATTATTTGAGCGAATCTAAAAAAATTTGCACAGGCATTTTGAATTCAGCTTATCCAAGAATAATTCCACACGAAAAATAATTTTCAATATTCTTTTGCTACTTTCTTATTTTATTTGCTTTGTGTCGAAAACATTTAAAATTGTGAGAGTTTTAGGTATACCATTACAAAGTATTTATTTTCAATGGCAAAATCCAAAAGTTGAATGAAATGGGTGGAATAGTTGAGTAAAAATATAACTTTCTTGAAATTTTATAATTCATGAACTATCTAACCAATTTCGTTCAAAATTTCGCATTTTGCAATTTAAAATAATTTAGTTTAAAATGGTGTAAAAAAAATTTATAGTTATAATTATAAAAATTATAATTCAATATTTCGACCCATATTAGATAAAATGATTATGAATTATTTTTTATATGGATTTATCTTTGATTAACGCAATTGTATAATTTGGTGAAAAAATATTTCAATTCGCTTAAAAAGTTCTCAAGGCGTGACGAAATGCGTAAAAAGGGAAGTTAACAGTAAAGAGCCTTCAACCACTCTCCTGTTGAAATTATTGGGGCCTTATTCAGGGTTGCCGCTCCACAGGGAGAATAGGGAAAATACAGGGAATTAAAAAATCACCTGAATGCAGGAAAATTTCACTTTTTTTTCCTTCACAAACTAGGAAAATACAGGGAACTTTGTTTATTTTAAATAATGGTGACCACTCAAAGCGTGATGTATGGGATATTTAAGGATGATATTTCAGCTTTACCAAACTATTTCATTTTCTGTAGCATTATTTGTTTCAAGCAGGGTTCGTTGATTTAAATCATTTTGATTTAAATTATGATCTAAATCATGATTTAAATCAAATGATTTTTTTAAAAAAAATCATTGATTTAAATCAACTAATTTTTTTTATCTATATATATTGATTTTAAAAGTTAAAAAACAGTGTTTTAAATTTTTGATACTTTTATTATTTTCTTTTTGATACTTTTATTATTTTCTTAGTATTAAAATTTAATTTAAATAAATTGCTGCATTAATTAATTTTAGTTAGCGAAATTACTTTCTTTCTTGGTGTGTGTTAAACACATTTGAAATTACATGTTTAAAAATCTTTTGATTCTTAACATTGAAAGTACAGATTAAAGTAAATATTTAATGCTGTCTTAATATAGACTTGCATAGCTGTAGAAAGTAATTAATAAACATGAATTTTTTTCAAAAAATAATACAAATAATGTTAATTAAAATTCTACCTTTTGAATGAAAAAGCGTGAATTAAAATCTACATCATATTTTATTGGTGGAAAATGTATATTTCTGAAGCTTGAGGTTATATTAAAAAGAAATTACCCTAATATGCCAAAAACAGAAAAAAAAAAAAAAAAGGGCTGATGAATTCAGATTTTTTTTTCCTAATATAGTGTCATTCTTCCCTTTCAAACTCTTTCGAAGTCTATTTGATGCAGTAGGGTTATTAACTGGTATTTTTTTCTCATAATATGTTTACAGTATCTTTGACATTATCTGATTTTCTATAAAGAAATTTTGCGAAAAAAAATTCCAATGAATACATAGATTTTCTAATTTTTTTTTTAGCTTAACTTATCTATTTTGATATAGAATTAAAAATGAATATTTTAATATAAAAATATATAGATTAAATATTTATTTATTTTTTGATGAATGACTACATTTATAAACACAGTCTGCTACATTTATTTTGTCATTTTAAAAATCAAGAGAAAAAAAAAGAAATCACAATTTTAAATTAAAGTTATGGTTTGCTAACTGAAACTTTGTTTTAATAGTTAAAGTACAGGGGTCTGTCCAAGCCAAATTTACTACCGTTTAATGGTACCTTTACGAATTCAACTTTAGGAAAAATGATAGAATAATCACACAAAATACTTTTTCTTAAAATTTTATTTTTTTGTCTTGTAAGAAACGATAAATCTATATTTTTACTATATTTGTGTTGATTCTATAATATAATTTTTAATTTTCACAGAATAGGTACCTCTCAGAAAAACCCAGACTGACCCCTGAAGTATTCTTTAAATTCTCTATTTCATCTAGTCTTTAAATTTTAATCATGCATTTGTTTCAAAATGGTTGCTATGCATTCAAAGCCATGTATTCTAATGAAAAAAAGTTATTTTAGTTAGAGCTTCTAAAATATTGTTACAATATAGTTTTAATATTAAGTTAATTTGATTAAACATTTATAATTTTTTTAATCATAAATTAAAGTTCTTACAGTGTATTTAAATGAAAATCAACAAAATCTGATTTAAATAAAAAAAAATCCGATTTAAATCAAAAAAATCTGACTCTTTTGATTTTTTTTAAAAAAATCAATAAAATCACGAACCCTGGTTTCAAGTATGTTTAGCTGTTCCTTTCTTATCTAAGTTTTTCCAGCAATTAAAACTAGTATGTCTAGACTAATACAGCTCATAGAAGAGCACAGTGATTGTGTGTTTCCTCTGGATATAATCTGTATAATATGTACAGGGAAAACACAGGGAATTTTTTTTTCTCCAGATTTGACTGGTAATCCTGATATTAGCCAGTTATTATTACAGTTTTAATTTAAAAAGAAAATTTTTCGGCAGAGACGGGAAACCAAGAAAATATACCGAATCCTCAAAAGTCTTTTAAAAAAAAAATATACTGTTATATATATAATACTGTTGCAATCTTCTTGTGGTAGCAAAAAAAATTTAATGAACAGTCTATTACATTGATAAAATAAGGAATCCAATGCATGTGCGTAGGTAATTTTAAAAAAATAATAAGCTCCTTTTAAAGCATTTTTTAAGCACTAAGAAAATTGTAAGCACTTTTTATGTAATAAATTATAATTAAGGCATGCGATTTTTTTTTTATTGTTTAAAGTTTTTCATATATACACCACCTTACAATAATTCATGAGACACTTTAAGTTTTTGACATTTTTTTAACTCTCTATGTGTTTTATAAGAAATTTATTTCATAACTTTTAGGATGTTTAGGTCATGCAATTTCTCATACTTAACATGAAGATTTGTGAGGTTTGACAGACTGCCAATAAATTACTAACGGAAAAAAAAATTGAACACCCACTGTTAGAAAATATAGCAATAAGCTTGTACTTGTCTCATTTGCTTTGGTTACAAAATGCTATAAATGTATAAAATTTCGAAAGCATAGGTTAAATATTTATGGCGAAATTTAAATTTTCACTAAAAAAAATAATATATTTGTCTTAGGTTTCTTGCTATAACTCTGAAAATATTTAATAAAATTAAACAATAAAATTTAAATTAAAATTAACTTTCATACTATGCATGCAAAGAAAAAATTATAAAAAAATTTCCCATAATTTTGTAGATAATCGTTTTTGGTTAGTAATGATAAAAGTTCGATTTGTAAATCTCGAAAATTTCAAACAAATCTAGCAAAATCTAAATAGAAAGTTTCTAGCAAAAAAAATCAAAGCACCTTTTATTAACACCCAAACAAAAAAGCACCATAAAGGGCTTTTAAAAGCGAAAATCAAAAATAAGCCACCTTTAACCCTTTCAGGGGTCTGCTTAAAAGAAATTTGGGTCCGTTAACGGACCCTTCGCAAAATATCTTTTCATAAAAGCGTACCCTTCACAAATTTGTTTATCTTCATTATTGTTTCGTTAATCAAATAAACCCCTCCCAGGGAAAGATAGATGTAAGCGAACTAAATTTTGTCTTCGGCAGACAGTATAGGCTAAATACCAAATATTTATATGTTGCATCTCTAATTTAGTAGCTGCAATTGCTGTTTATTTCTTAAAATTTAATTTTTTTAACTATAATTTTACAGTGTTGGGCATAATCTTGTATTTCTTTACAATTTAAAAACTCCTTGAAAAAGTTTTTTTGCAATAACGAACCCTATTTGCACAAATTCACAAAAGTTAACCCTGGTTGAAAGAATGTGACTTAACGTTTATTTTATATTCACAAATACGAGTTTTTTTCACAATTTTACAAAAACGGACCTTTCACAAAATGTCTGGACAGACCCATGCATATTGGGCCATCACATGTAACAGCAGTAAGCAGAAGGTTAAGTACTTTTTAAAAAACGCTGTAATATGATATTTCAGATATTTAAGTGGCAATTTCTTAAAATAAGAGAGTATTTTCTTTATGTGATTGTTATTTGTGCAGCATTGGCGGCAGAGAAACATCTGGCGATGGTTGGCACATTGCAGAGATATGTGGACATAGACAAGACCCGTTCTCTCATGGATCCAAGTAGACTGGGTCACTATCCACTTCCTTATGAAACGATACAAATGATGGCCGAGGGAAAAGGAGCCTTTATAGGAAAAGTAATGCTTTTACTTACCATTATTTTTACTCACATGTAATGTTACCCATAAAAAATTAGCCTGTCTAGGGAAAGAACTCCCCTCGCCATTCATCTGAAACAGTGGCGGTTACTATGGAAATCGAGGTTCAACTAATTAGAGTTAAAAACACAAATCAAGCAAGGAAAAAAGAATTTCCAAACATATGTATGTTAGCAAAAATAGCAATTCATTACAGGACACACTGTCAGCTAACACAAAGGAGCTTTTTTGTCGCCAGTGGTAATACCAAAAAGTGATTGTGTGCTAGCAGACAGTGAGTACCCTGATGATGTCCTGTTTTTGCTAGCATACATATCTTAAGAAATTCTTCTTTTTTTTTGTTGCTTGATTTGTGTTTCTAACTGTCTAAATTCTTTAAGACAAATTTGATTTTAGCTGTTTCTAGCACTTTTCCATTTTGACTTATTATAATTTTAAATTTTATTTTCTTAATTTGCTTATATCAGTTTCATTCTTTGATTGGGGATTCAACTTTTCTGATCAAGTTGGGTCAATATTTTACAGGCGTTGGCTTGGGTCACCAAGAGAAAGGTAATCCCCATTTTGAAATGTGCTGCATAGCAGCAGGGAGCAACCTTAGAGGATGGGAGTTCTTTCTATAGACAAACTATAATAACCTTTAGCTTTACATATCATAAGAGTGACTACACTCTTTATGACTACAGCTGTTCAATTACGGTTATAAAATATGAAACTTGTTGAAATATTTATGAATGATAAACCCCTTTCGATACCATGGGATTAATATCATATTGATGCGGTCAGGAAATAATTTAAAACTTTTTTTTATCATCCAGTATCCGGTTAAATTTGAGTTATCCAAAATTTGGAATGATGCTAAATTCTCTTTGTTGATAAATTCTGTTTCGGGAAACGAACGAATCAAGTTGACGAATCACAAGTCATGAGAATGTGGTACATTTTTTATTTTTATATTTAATAAATAGTTACGTATTCCAACATATTGCCGTTGCTTCAGAAAACTTTTGGCTGCGAGTGCTTCTTTCTTTAATAATGCATAAACTATTGGATGAAAAGGTATGACGTTTAACTTTTTTTTTTATGAGAAATATTCTATTATAATAAAGCTAATGAAGCAGACATTATTTTTTTAGAGCTTGTCAAAACTAATGATATTTTCTTTTCTTATTTCAGGTAAACAAAAACTTATCAGAATTATGATTTTTTGCAGCAATATACGGTTTCATTTAAAGATGCACAAAGCTCAAAGTTAAAAACGGACCACCCTGAATAACTTTTGATCTAAAGATCGGATCTTTATGTTCGAGGACTCAATCTGAAAGGTTCAAAGGGGTGACCTCAAATATGTTAATATTTATTTTAAGTGATTCATTTTAAGTCACAAAATCGGACACGAAAGCGTACTTTCATTAAATAAACATACCTTTTTTCGACGGATTCGGATTTCGGACTTTGGAAAATTGTCTCAGTATTGTCAAGAGAGCGGTCCAAAGTTTGCACCCCTTAATGTTAATCTCACTTTTTCCGTATTTCGCCTTATCTCGAAAAAAATTTATTTAAATTTTAAAAAAAAAATTGAGTACAAATATAAAATTTATTCAGCTAAAGATAATTTCCATGCCAAAACAATTTTTAGTGAGTATTTGCCATTTTTTATTAGTTTATTTTATAATGGTCGAAAGAATTTTGAAATATAAGGCATACAATTTTTTACAGAATTTTAAGGAATGTGTTTCATGTAATGTATGACATGAGAAAATACAAAATTTGAGCAAAATCGATCGAATAGTTCCTGAGAAATTATATTTTAAAAATACGACTTTTTCAAAATTCAATCTCTCAGGAACTATTCTACCGTTTTCGTTTATGTTTTGTATTTCGCCATTTGAAATGGTATACAATTTTTCGCATTTTAAATAATATCGACTATTATTAAATAAATTAATGAAAAATAATAAATGTGTACTGAAAGTTATATTTTGCATAGAATTATCTTTGGATAAACAAATTTTATAATTGTGCAAAAAAATTTTTTTAATTCTCTTAAAAATTTCTCGAGATGAAAAATTTAAATGTAAAAAGTCAAATTAACATGAAGGGGTCCAAACGTTGGACCGCTCTCTTATTGGGACAATTTTTCCCAGATTGCGGCTCTATGATTTGAGAGTCAGAAATCGGAATCCATCGAAAAAAAGGTATGTTTATTCAGGAAAAGTACGTTTTTGTGTTTGAGTTTGAGTCTCAAACTATCGTCTGCACTAAAAAATTAGCATATTTGAGGTTATCCCCTCCAACCATTAAGATTGAGTCATGGAACGTGAAGATTCGATCATTAGATCAAACGTTATTCAGAGTTGTCCGTTTTTTCGCGCACTGTACGTACAATAATGTTCATTCAACATTTATAATGTTTGGGTTAGAAAAACAAATAATTTAGTAAATAATATTTTGTTAAAGGTACCTATAACTATAAAAAAGAAACATTACAATGTCAGCTTAAATAAATTATATGAATTTAAAAATTATTATGCACGTTACATCAAGTGATTTTTTTTCCTCCTTTTTTTTTTATTTCGAAAATAGTTTCAACGTTTTTAAATCTTTCGGTTTACTTTTTTTTTTGCAGCCTTGTACTATTATTATATTATTATCTATTAAAAGCCTTTTTTTCCTCCTACATTTTTAAAAAACTTATTAATTCTTGAAGAAATAGTTTTGTTTTTGGCCTAAACTAATTTGAATTTTACAGAATCCAATAAATTATTGAATCACCAAAAAAGTGTTTTTTGTAAGAAAGAAAGATGGGAAATGGGTGCAAACTAATTTCTGAACGAGTCTCAAAACAACAGTTTAATTGAATCATTTTGTTTTGATAATGAAAATATTTAAAACTTTTATTACTAAATTTCATACTTTTGAATGTTCTTAAATGCACAACGTTCCAATGTAGATTATTTAAAAAAAATTTGTTCTGCTTCATGTGTTCAAATTAAACACTTCCCGCTTCCCTGGTTATCCCGAGTTAACTCGGATATGTATATATTGCAAATACTTATCATCCCGAGAAAACTCGGGCTTAGCAGAATTTGTCAGTGCATTTTGTTTCATCACGTTTTTACTCGGTCGAAAGCAAAAAAAAAACATCTGCTGTAATCGGAAGTAAAGTTTTATTTGGGAGTTTAGTTGTTGGACTGTCCATGTGTTTTATGTGATTGTGTATACGATGGTTGCTGAATTTACATAACGCCATTTTAAAAAAATGGCGTATTCCTTCACTGACGTTTGAAAAGTACCATTTTGTGTTGTCCCTTGTGTTAAGAACTATCATACAAAGACTCATATATAACTTATTTCATTTGTCCGAGGTCCCGCAGTGGACTGATCGTTAAGACACGGTTCCCAGCAGATCACCGAAGTCAAGCTTCACTGGCTACGGTCTGTTTGCGGGTGGGTGACCACTTGGATCAGTCTGCGTATGGGTCCTCGTTAAACTGTTCTACCGTAAAGTGCTCGACTTCGCGCGCAGGTAGTCGGGCTACTGAAGCGGGGGGGGCCATCCCCTCATCAGAGGATCAAAATTGTGATGGCATGTCTTTGGATCATCCTCCGGGATGTTTCCCAGACGGTCGCCAATAACCCATTGTGCAGCTCTAGTGCGACGTAAATTAACAACAACATCATTTGCCCGAGGTAACTCGGGATAGTAAACTGATTTTAAATTAAATGTTTCTTACCCATAAAAAAAAGAATCTAATTTCAAGTTAAAACTTGTACATTTTGTTTTGTTTTAGTTCCTTGTATTTATTTATAAAATAAAAATATATGTTGATTTTTGCAGTTTTTTTTTTTTCAAAATAAGTGATAAGGAAAGTGGTTAATGTTTGTAATCTGAGCTATATTTATGTATAGTAATTAGCACACTTGAATAATTTATTAATTGCAGTTTCTTCTTTCAGGACGGCACGCAGACAATTTATAACAAAACAATTTCTACCCTAAGGGCAAAAGAAGATCAAGATCATATATATGATAGTGCTCAGTAAAATTATGAATTTGCAAATAAATTGAAGAAGATCCTCGCTGAGACAGAAAAAGAGTTCGTTTTATGCAAAACAGCTTTCAAAATGGAGGATTTCAGAGAATGGATATTTGAAGACTCTCTGTGATTGATTTGTACAACATTCAAGTCTCATTTTTGTTGAGTTATATCATTACTTTTTTTCTATTGAATATTCTGATATGCCAATAGAATATTGACAGTGGAACAATGGAATACACAAAACGATCTGTCTCGCACAATACAGGGTTTGTCCGAAAGGTAATGTAACCTAGTCAATCAATACAACACCTTAAAAGGTTTCAAAACACTCTTCTCTTGCCTTAATACTTCACTTCCGACAAGATGTTCAGAGGTCGATACTCTTAAGATAATCTTCCGGCGATATTTTCAGATATCAAATTTCAGATTTTTTGCGGAAATGTCCTTTACAACCTCTCTGACTCAATCCGAAATGCTGACCAGTTTATAACAGCGAGAGTGGAAAGAATTTTGGGAGAGCTACGTCAGAACAGTATGGTGGATTGTAATAAACTTTTTGTTCGTTTGCCGGCCGCAAAACGTTGAGGAGAGTGGATCACGACGATTGCGAAGTGACGAGTTCGTGGTGAAGTTTCCAATCGTGTCTAGTGTCCGAACTTTTTGGAATGTTTAACGCATGTATATGCGTGAGTTCACTAATTTAGCTACATGTTGCATCATGTTTTTGTTGGTTTGATGTCACAGATTTCATGGCCAATCTCTTTATAGCCTTCAAATACTGCCTTGACTCAGCGTTACGATAAACAATCATCACTATAAAGCTCTTAATTTTTAATGCGAAATTTCGCTTGCAAACTTTCACGAAACTTGATAGCAATGGAGACACAATTGGAGGCTTACACCGAAGAAGAAAATGAATTTCAGGACAAAGTTTCTTTTTTTAATTTATTTTTCTTATAACCACCCTTGAAAAGCCGATACAAATTTGAGTTTACAACAACAAGTGTTCAACTCCGTAGTCTTGTCATTTTAAAACTAATCCAGAAGACAAGGAAACTCCTGGATTAAGTAATGGGAGAAATTTAACTTTGCGGAGGACGTTTTAACAGAACTAACCAGCATTTGCGTCACATTGAGAGGAAGACGCGAGAACACCCTGGTGACAAGGCGACTGTAGCCCATGATCTGTCGACCACTGAGGATATTTCACGTCAGTACTCAGGTCGACAAAAGCCGGATGCGGAAATCGTATCGACCAGTCATCGCATGAGATTCGAACCCGGTTCACCTCATTGGAAGGTTAACGCTCTATCCTCTGAACTATAGTGGCTCGGACTAAGTTTCTTATACTCAGGGTGGTCGGAAGAAATAAAATAATCCACCATGCATGTGCTGAGTGTCCCCTATACCGATCAAAAATAGCCCAGACTCGCTCAATTGAAAGAAAGCCAACACTTTTGTGACAAACCCTGTATTCTGATGTGAAATATTGACGCTAAGCAAAGCGATCGCAGCAGTAATGTGGCAATGAAGGATAACAACCACATCCTCGACCATTCATCAAGTGCGTTTGTAGAAGAAGTCATTGAACAATCCTTTTTCGAAAGGAAACTGCATTTTTCAATTTTCTAGATAAACATTTTTACGTATTTTTCACCTACGAATTCATTGTTAACAAAGGAACAAGCATAAAAAGCTGTAGCTAATAAAAGAAATATCCTAGAATGCGATTTGCAATTTTAAATCTTCGATATTATTTGAACTAACAAATTTTACAACCTATTTGTGCGAAATGCTTTTGATGGAACTGGCTGTTATTTCATTCAATTCTCTTACCAATTAAGAAAATTATTATTAAACAAATCCAGTCTATTCATTAAGTGTATCTTAAACAACTCAGTTATTTTTGTGTAATACGAATGTATATTGGAAAAAAAACATAAGTTATGGATGATTGACCATGTAAAGCTAAACACAGATGGCGCTAGGGGTTAAAATTCGTAGTAAGACTTTCGCGTTACCGATTGATTTTTAAATTTCAACGAAGCAAACAATATAGGAATTTGGAATACTCCGCAAGCATCTCATATCCTTCAAGATGCAAGCCAAAAAATAATTAACTTTCATATTTTACAAAAGTATAGCCAAATAATTTATAACACTCAAAACATGACAAACCTTTCATTTAATTTATGTTGTGATATTAATTTTATTAAATTTCTTTTAGGTTCACAACCAGTTCGAATTTATAAATTACAGGAAACTCTTATGAATGGTGAAATTAAGCGTAAATTTAAACAAAAATTTCATTAACGAAACTTACAAGAATATTAAGCCTGTTCACACTTCGCCTCGTAAACATCTGGCAGGGAAGCGGAGAGATACACCGGAAGTTTTCTAAATTTCTTCCCGTTTCAGGAAGCTAGTTATTGTTTACATTCAGTCAATCATCCATTCTTGTGTGCATAAAATTTTGAATCTGTTCAACAAATGAAACACGTAGTTCCTAAGACACAAAAAGTGTTAGCTCAAAATGGACAATAATAACAGCGAAACATTATCCACACAAATAAATTAAGGGCCCATAAATGCACCTTTTAAACTAAACTGACGTTTTAACACTAGGTTTATGGACGTTTCTTATATACCTATCTCTGCGAACACGAGTCAATTTGACGCATGAAAGATTAGTACATATAACAGCTCTTAGAAAGTAATGTAATTATATAGGAAAAAAATGAGATATATTTATATTTACGGAAAGTTATTATTATTCAATAATTTTATTATACATTTATACTCGCATCTTTTACACCAATACTTAATTTTGTTTGTACGCTTTCACATATCAAACAGCCTTATCACATATTTTACAGGTGTTATTGATCCTGTTTCTTTTACGAAAGCCAATTTGGCAAGTCTTGCGTTCTCCCGAAGTATTAGATGGTGGGTGATTTTAATCTGTTTTTGTATTTTTTCTTTTCTCCTTCTGCAAGTTCTTTGGCCAACTGCAATAGAAAATCCTTTCTGGGTAATTTTGACCCAGTACACTCTGTGTATAAGATCCATGCGTTTATTGCCACTAAATCTAAATAGTTGAAGAACACCTGGAGAGACCATCGAGAAGATGCTGAGTTGGTGGTAGATTTGCGAGCCATTTGGTCTACTACGTCGACTCCAAACTTTGTCTCATTGCAATATGCTATTGTTTCTGGGGTATGTCTATTATTGTTTCATTTGAGATAACGATATTGGATAACGGATCGAAGTATTGTCGGTACATTCCTATTTATTATTGATGTGATGTTTGCATGTTTATTCAAAATTTTGTCTAAATTACGATCGCGTCAAATTGACGCATATCCATAGAGATAGGTATACCACAAAGAGAATTTCAATATTTCAACGCTTTTGACGAAAATAAACTTCAATAATATTTACCACGATCGTTGGATAAAAGTCATGACAAGAGATAAAATAAAAACACAAGCGGGTGTTGTAATTTTCCTTATAAAATTCGAAATGCGTCCCGTAATCCTAGTGTTGAAATTCTATGTAAAGCATCCTTTGTCTAGAATTGTAATACTATCTACCGATTTATGTCACTGCTGCGATTCACGCACCTCCGATCGCCCTCGAAGATTCCGAAAACCTAATTGATGATATAAATTCTCCAACGAAAATCTGACCGATCAGATTGTCTTTTTCTCTCGACAGCAGCCGCAGGTGAGCGAAGCGCATGCAGTATGAACGGTCCTTAAATCTGATTTTAAAAAAAGAACCAAATAATTATAAGATGTTTAAAATAAAGAAGGGTGAAAGAAGAGGACAAATTTATTCATAAAGTGGAAATGTTCATCATAGCTTAAATCTTCTGTGGTCCTGTGTTAAGTTTATGCTTAACTGTCATTCAGGTTGAACAAACATAATATGCCAGATAATGAAGAAAAAAGTAAAAACGTTTTGACACTACCTATTTAGAACCGACAACAAGAGAAAGCTCTTCCCTAGAGTATATGAAATGGGGGATTTTCCCTCGTTAAGACATTTAATTAAAAAGTCAGGTAAAACCAATGTTGCCATTAAATACGCTGAAATTAACAGTATATTATCATTGATATTATCTGAACATAGTATTATAAAATGTTCGCGACATTTAAATAAACAAATGCAACACTGGCAAAATAAATGCAAAGTATTATCCAGCAAGTCCGAGGGTGAACGGTATCGATCCTAGTTTAAACTGTTCTACCACAAAGTGCTGGACATCGCGCAGGTCGTCGGGCTACCGAAGTTCGTGTGCCATCCCCTGTGCAAAAGATCAAAATTGTGATGGCATGTCTTCGGATCATCTTCAGAGATGTTTCCCAGACAGTTGCCAATAGCCCATTGTGTAGCTCTAGTGCTACGTAAATGAACTACAAAACAACTGTCCAGCAAACTGCAAACGACTCCCACATAAATCCAATAAGCATTTCATCCATTTCCCCACTCTGAAACAATACCCTTGAAAACGAGAGAAGAGTGCATACAGAAAGTTAGTAAAACCTCTCGGTTCCACAATAAAGTGGAGGTTATCCGTTCTTAGAGGTTAACTCCATTCACTTTATCGAAGTACATAAGTAAAATGTTATCGAAGGTACGGGATTTTTTGCAAAGAATTTTACTTTTACTCAGTGTCATTTACTCAGAGCAGAAATGCCCCTTGTGTTGGCGTCATAAAAACCAGATCGATAAACAAAATTTAGCGTCAATAAAAATGGTCCCTAATGGTATAATTATATGTAAAAAGAAATGTACCGATTATGAATGATTGAACTATTTGAAGTAAATAGGCAATTATGTTTTTTGTATAAGTTTTCATTTAGTTTTATATCATAAAAATTTATTTACTTTTAGAAATGAGGGTTTTGGTTGAGATGCTTAGTTTTTTGGTAAAATATTCTTTTTTTTTTCTAATTTTACTTTGAACACTGAGACTAAATCATTTATTTTTACTTTATAACAGTCGTTGAACAAGTTTTTGAGTTTACGAATACTGTGTACAGCTCCATGAATCCAATCCAGAAGACAAGGAAACTCCTGGATCAAGTGTTGTGAGAAATTTGCCTTCGTGGTGGACTTTTTGATGGAACTAACCCGCATTTGCGTTACATGGACTGGAAAACCTCCCACTGTTAGCCTGACGGCGAGGGGACTCTAACACATGATCCGTTTACCACTGAGGTAATTTTACATCAGCACTGTGGTCAGTGCCAGCCGGATGAGGAATTCGTATCGACCAGCCATCGCCGGTATACGAACCCAGTTCACCTCATTGGAAGGAGAACGCTTTATTCCCTGATCAATCACGGCTCAAGACTAAATCATTGATGCATCGTCTTTCGTACATTCTGACAGTAACACGAGGTTGTCAATCTCTCTCAAAAATCATCAAAAAGAGTTCCCTAAATAAGAGACAATCAGAAATATTTTGAATACATTCGAATTTACTTGTTTTGTTAAAATTTTATCGTGTTTCCGTGTTTGGCCTTTTCCGCATTTGGCGCGGAAGTTCGGTGCGGGAGGTTTTGATGGTCACTCCTAAACGTTTTCTTCTACATAAAGTCAATGGAAAAAATTCCATCCCTCCCAATAGTGGTCGTAAATAGAGGTGGTCACTACACAGAGGTTGTCTTTCTTGGAGATTTCAAGGTATATTCATCGGAAAAATGTTGCTTAGTAGCTTTTCTCCTTACCAAACTCAACCATCAAAAGCTTGTCACTAAAAGACTGACGCTGTGCATTTAATCTTTACAGCAGTATCTTTCACAACATATAAAATAAAAGGTATCGTCACCCAAATGATGAGGGGAAAAAAAACTGGCATCATTTTGGAAATTTAATTTATTTCTCTTTCTGACAAAATGATACGAATGCAATTCTAAGGATAAGCATTTTTCAAAATGTGGGGATAGTCATATCGACTATGTCAACCTTCATCTATGAGAAAGGTACCCCATCATAGAATCGAGTTAACATGTCTTATATACTAGTGAATTGGAATTGTATTTTTGTAGTGGTAGACACACTATAGTTAAGCATTATACATTTGTATGTTTTTTGATTTTTAGTAAACATATCTTTATTTTTGCGCTATCATCCAAATCCGTTTTCGTTAGTTCAAGGCATTATGAAACTTAACTTTTAAAATAAGAAAAGGACAACTGCATAGTATTAAATTAGTTAGTTCTCTTTGTTAACAGTATAATTTTATTCTTTTCAAAAGAAGAAGAAAAATCGGAAAATTGAATTTTTGTGAAAAAAATAAATTAAAACTCTTAAAATTATCAAGACATCATTTTTCCTTATATATTCTATTTTATTATTAAAAAATCTTTGCTGCTGCCGAATGATTCGCTTTTAAGTAAAAAACAAAATAAACATCCTGAAAACGATAATAAAAAGTTTACAAGATGGGAAGGGGAAAAAGAGCTTTATACTCAGAACAGCTCCAAGAGAATGACGCAATGCTATCCTTTCAATGGATGCTAAATGAGAGAAGAAGTTTGGATGCTCAATAAAATGTAGTTCAAATTATTTCGCCTAGATTTCAATAAAAGATTTCGCAAATGATTGATTGCAGTCAAGACTGTATTGTGTACGATTTAAAACGCTACGTAGGAAATATGAGTGAAGAACTGTACTTATTTAAAAAAGAGAGAAATATGTTATTACAATGATTG